CAAGCCTTCTGGGTGTGAGTATGTGTGTTGTGGGTCTAAACCCAGGTCTCATCATGTGCTTTAAAAATGTTGTGTTTATTCTGATGATCATTTCAACACATTTACTCTGAATCTTTATACTTTTCAATTTTTATTTTACTGACAGATATATCTTGATTTTCTGTCTGCAAATATTGCCTAAATTAATTGAATGATGTGTAGCCTCAGGTATGTAAAATAAGGCATTTTTTAGACTCTAGAAAACTTAGAGAGAAAAAATTGATTATAAAGTAGCCTATTCATTGTTTTAATCTACAGCTTTTATGGCACTTCAGATTGCTTTTGTCTCAACTGAATGAGGTAGATTTCTAGATTTGCAGTCTTTTTTATCATAAACCCCAAGTGATTTCCCTAAAGGTGCTGCCTTGTCCAATTGCAGTAGATAAAGATTTTGTTTGTAGAAAGCACTATTTGATCCATCTAACAGTGACAGCTCTACTAAGAAAAGAACAGCAGGTATTGTCTTTTAGACTAAAAGCACATTAGGTAAGGAAGACCTTCATTGAGAGTATGTGGAAAAAGGAATTACTTCGGTAAGCCAAACAGGTACATGAGACTCCTAATTATTTTTCAAGAAAGATTTAAAGACATAGAAACCAATCCATCAGGGTTTCGTATTTGCAAATCACTTTTAACTGAAAATCAGATCAGATAATGGTTGGTTTTAAGCTATCTGAAATACCTGCTTGCCTGGTATAGCTCCTGGAATAAATATTTAGTGCTGCAACAAAGTTTGACTTCAGAATTCAATGGCTCATTTTACACTGTCTTATAAGCATAGACCGTACATAGAATTGGCTTTACCTGCCTCCTCGCTGGGTGAAGCCACCGCGAGAACAGCACCCTATGGTGAGGGGCTGCAGTATAGGTCATAAATCCCGCCTCCTCCAGCAATCCGTATGGAGCTGTGGACAAACTTTAGAAATTTATTACACAGAATATAAACTTTTCTCCCTCCTGGTTGCGATGTTGACATGCAGTTATTGTAAGACTGTTTGTGCTCAAGTCCTCTTTTTTTCTCCATTGTGGCTCCATTTTTAAAAGTTATTATGTGGTTCATGTTTTCTATGATTGACACTTGACATGGGCGTACAAAGATTGCGTAGCTCACCCGGGGGATATGCTGTTTAAGCTGAGCGTTATCACAGCGACTCTCAGCTACTCTCCCACTGAATATGTAGAATGCTACTGCGCAATGTTGGTTTTAGGAAGTGGAGAAAAAAACATGGAGATACCAAGAGCTTTTTAGCCTTAAATCCGTATATTAATTCCATGGAAGGCGGAACCAAGTTCTCTATAGTATATACAGTCTATGCTCATAATGTAGTAGGACTGCCTCATGACATCATTCATGCTACTTCTTAATTCTGAAAGGGTTGCAAAGACACTTCATGTAAATGTGATTGAGTACCCCATTTTTTCAACAGGAGAGTTGGCACAAATGACTCTTAGTAAAACTCAAATAAATCAGGCTGTGACAGATGCAGAACTAAAGTGGTTGCTGCATTGACCACAGTCCAATAAAATACTGGAAAATTATTTTCTCGAAAATCCTACAGGTTGGTGCATTTGGCAGAAAAATATGAAATTAAATCATATTGGAGCAGAGCTATTAATCAAGGTAGACGTTTTAATGATATGAAATTCCTCTATAGGCTGGCTATAAATAGTCAAACTTTGATTTATCCTGTAGGAAACACAAGCAACCAGTAGAATAACTCCCAATTTACAAGTACTATTCACTGTAGCCTGTATATAATCCAACCACTTTTTTTTTTAACATTTCATCTCACATTTCCACATTACTATCATCCACCTCTTCTCATTACTGCTTTTACTTATGGAGCAAACATTGTTACACATTGTATAATCAGCAGAGCAGGTAAAACCAACTAATGACTGGTGTGCTGGAACTGTTTTCTAGATGTCCATCACTCAGTCAACAACACATGTGTGTACGTGTGTGTCACTCAGGTCTCCTCATGTGTGTGGGTGTGTGTGTGTGTGTGTGAATGGCTCTCATTGTTAAGTCCAGTGGTGATGTCGTCCTCATTAAGACGGATGAGGAGCGGCCAATGTCATGGCTGGGTTAGCAGCCCATTGGCAAGAAGAGAGCCGCCCCACCGCCGAGCCCCCAGCTCCAGCTCTGCAGCGTGCCACGTAATTATGTGGTTAAACGTCAAATGAACAGGATAATTTATTCACCTGGATTATTTATGAGTGGAGGAGGGGATAGAAATGTTTCTCGCCTGCCCTTTCGGAAAGGTGACACAAAATGTTTTAGGTTCACCTTGTTAAAAACAACAGCCAGGAGAATGGGGGAATGGTTTCATTTAGCTCTGGAGTGAGTAGAGTTATTAAAACGAAACAGGTGCTGACAGCTGTCAATTATCCAGCTGATGTTTTAGATTTAAAACACCCCAAATACATCCTAACCCAGGGTTGGAGCCATCTTAAAGCCAGATATTTCCATCGGCTAGCAGGTAGCTGTCGCTTTTCAGACACACCTTAGAGTTGCCAACTCTAAGGCTTTGTTAACGGTTTTGCAGATGCTGTCCAGGCTCATGTTGAATTCTTCCCCTCACATCTGTTTTTTTTTCTGAAAATGCTTTTGCTTCACTGGTGGAAAAGTGTTTGATTTTGCAAAGAGAGGACTTGCCCTACTCTGCCTGTGGTTGGCCTTTTGTCTAAATTTAAAGAACAACAAAGGCAGATGTATTTATAAGACATGTATATATCTGTTTTAACTTTAAGTTTTCTTGTCCCTTAATTATTTATTTATTTATGCTGCTGTAAATTGGAATTTCCCCCAGTGGGACTAATAAACGAATATCTTATCTCAGTTTATCTTAAGTAGAAGCCAATCAGACGTTGGGCTTATGGGATGAAAATACAGAACAACTTGTTTCCTTTATTGATTCAACACCAGTTATCAAATACAGGACAGGATATAACTGCAACATTAAGAACAGTCCACAGTCCTTTGGCATCATATTTACCACAGTCTTGTTCAACAATCCACAGTCTATCTCCCAAGTTCTAAAGCCATCAGTGCTTGAGCATGAGTTGACTCACAAGTCCTCAAAAACCAGGTCTTAATTGCTGCTCTCTGAATCATTAGTTTTCTCATTATTTCGCCAAAATTATAAGGTTTACTCATCAAGCTGATGCAAAATACCCTTTGACTGCCTCTTAAGACACAGTGAACTTGATTAGATGTATATATATATATATATATATATATATAGATATGTGTGTGTGTGTGTGTGCGTGCTTATGTGTTTAACCTTTTAGCTCCTCTTACACAAAGAGTGACCCCATCCATAATAGAAGTACCCCAGCATACGTGTTGAACATGTAAAACAGACATTTAAATTTCAGTTTTAAATGCAGAGTTTATATTCTCTGTCACTCTCTGAATCCAGCTTGTTTCACCTGCATAAATTGTGGCTTAATATGGTCGAACTAAATTTATTTTTTTCCAGTAATGACTTCAACCCTTAACAATATCATCTGTGCAAACCTGCAAATCCATTAAGTGGCATGTAAAATGTGTTTCAGACAGCCCTTACAAGAAACACTGGAGGATTTGAAATCCCTTACAACCTCTCCTAACCTTGATATGAGCCTGATTTGAGTTGGAGGTTAAGAAAAGAAAAACATATCCAAGTCGAAGGCTTTTGGACAATCGCCTGTCTCTTACTTAAATCCTTTTGTAATGCCTCAGCTTGGCTAATAAGCTTCCCACAGTGCACAGAGGATTGACTGAAACAGAAACTCACAGCTTCAATGATTCAAGGAGACTTTCTTTTACAAAGTGGGCCAACAATGTGCAGTGAATTCCACATGAGTGGGGAGGTGTTGGAGGAGGGGAGGGGTGCCTTCCTGTGGGGAGAGGAAGTGAGAGTGGAATACTGATACCGGCACCCAAAACCTCCTCATTAAGAGGCACCATATGGTATTGCCACAGTAAGCCAGTGGCCCGGAGCCGGCAACTGGGTGCACATTTTGTTAACTTCGGGCTCACGCTGGTGAGGGTTCTCCAGGAGAGAGGTTCTGAAAATGAATAATTGTGTTGAACTATCTTTGCTTTTTGCTTTACTAACCAGTGTCATTACAGATGATTGGCTGGGGAGGGAAGAGTAGATGGAAGGGGGGGTGGAGCTGCAAAAGTTTCAAATATGTATCATTGGACATCTTAAAACTCATGGGAAATTCTTAAACATGTTTACAGTGCCGTGCAAAAATGACTTTTGTCTATTGTATCATGTTGACTGAAGTGAATTTTGGTGACAATAAGTGGGTGAACTACACCACAGGCCAAAAGTTTGGAGGAAAGATCAGATTTGTACAAAAAAAGATCAAAGTTTCATTTATATAATTTGAAACACAATAAACATGACTATTGTGTAAAGAGTAACTTATCAGAAGACATTTTGACTATAATTATTAGGTATTTAAGTTATTGTTGCTTAGACTTTGCTTTCTTTAAAGTAACCTCCTCTGGCTTTAACAACAGCTTGGCATATACCAGGCATTCGTTCCAAGATTTTTAAGGTATCTTCCAGGGATTGAATTCCAAGCTTTCTTAAGTTCATTAAAAAAAAGACTGCTGATTCGTGGGACGCGTTTTTCTGACCGATCGATCCAATTCATCCATCACAAGCTCAACTGGAAAAAGGTCTGGAGACTGAGGGGGCCAAACCATCTTTTGAAGAACATCTTCCTCTACTTTTTTGTCTAGGTAACCCTGACAGAGCTTGGCAGAGTGCTTAGGGTCATTGTCCTGCTGCAAAACAAACTTATGAGCCACAAGTCTGAGTCCAGATGGAACAGCATGGTGCTGGAGGATGGAGTGGTACTGTTCCTTCTTCATAATACCCTTACCTTCAAACAAATCTCCTACTCCATCACCTGCAAAACATCCCCATACCATGGAATTACCAGCCCCATACTGAATTGTGGGTGTAACACATGGTGCTTTCAGACGTTCACCAGTTTGTCTGTGGACATAGACTCTGCGTTTTGAACCAATCAGTGCAAACTTGTTTCTAGTCATCATAAGTCCAATTTTTGTGAGCTTTTGCCCACTCATATCTCTTTTTCTTATTCTGTGGACGAAGTAGTGTTTTTTTTGCAGATACACAACGCCTTTCTCAAACGTCATTTCACGGTTGTCAGAGATATGGGTTTCGACCTTGTCTTGTTGATTTCCTCCCTTATTCGTGGTGCTGTCTTTCGCCAATCTCTCTTACTGGTGACAATGCTATGTTTATCCTCTGCTTTTGTAGTAACTCTCTTTCATCTAGGCCTTTTTCTATCATCATAATTTCCACGTTCCTCTGGTCTCTTCAGAGTGTCGTGGACTCCCTTGTTAAACACCTTAAGGCGTTTTGCAATTTCTCTTTCTGTGTATCCTTCTTTCCTCAATGTACAAATCTGTACTTTTGTTTCTTTATTCAGTTGCTTCTTTCTAGCCATTTTTGTGGTAGTTTGAACGCAGTTGAGATTTATTAGGATTTTTGTCTGCAGACTCTCAAAAGCCAAAAAGTTGAAGTGAATAATCCAACTGTGATTTGTTTTTTTGCTTTTGCACTGAAGTTGTGACTCTTGCAAATGTTTTCAACCCTAAAACTAAGCCCTTATTATCTTTTGCTGACATATATTTAGCAATGGTCTGTTAACATCCATGTATATCTAAGGGTAAATGGAGTAAAATGGTGCATTTCCATGAAAGCAACATCTGATCATGGAGTAAATACATCCCAAAATACATAAAACTCTTGCTGGATTTAAAAAAAAAGCATTGTGAACAAAAACTTGAAGTTTCTCCCAACTGTTTGGCCTGTAATGGCCTTGCTTCCAAACTTCTGGCCTGTAGTGTACATAGAAGGTAGTTGGAGTCAGTGTGTCCAGTAGGGTAGACGCCATCTTTGGGCTTCAGAGCACCTTTTCAGAAACCATGAGTGTCATCACTAAGACCACTAGAGCTTCATTTACTCTATGATTGGGGCAGATGACCTTTGTGTTTGATTCCCAGTTTCTGTGCGGCACTACACATGGTAAAGGGTAGGGGTGTGATGATACACTCAGCTCACAAGAAGAGACGAGACACGATATTTGGTTCACGAGAACGAGACGAGATTTTAAGAAAACTACAATGACAAAATATATGACTAAACCATCTGCGTATTAGCCGCAGTGTACGGCATTATTTTCATGTTTGCATATTGTTCGTGTCTTATCAGTCACTCTACTATTTATCATTTCCGCTGGGTACCTAAAATGCTGTCAAACAAATGATTTGAAAGTGGCAGGGACATTTTCGATGGCAATACCGGTATTTTCTGATGGTATTCTGGCTGCTTGCTGCTTCCCCTCCTTTTCCTCCTCTTCTTCTCCTTCTCCTTCTGTAGGTTCTGGCAGGGTAGACGTAGCAAAGGCGCATTACTGCCCCCGTAGGTCAAAAATAGAAGTTTGGATAGCTCACAAATCTCACAAGACAGATTTTCAATGCGACAAGAAATATCGTTGAGTTTAATCTTGCGAGGTCTCGTGGTACGAGATCCTGTCACACCCCTAGTGAAGGGATGTGTCAAATATGGTCTGCTTTTTTTTTCATTTCTCTGATGTAAACCATTTTGTAGTACTATTGGACAGCCGGAGCAGCCTTCCAAGCTGTACAACACAACACATTGGAAATTGGGTGCTGTGCTGCAAAGTCTAATAAAGTGCAACTGAAGTTGATATGAAAGGTATTATATAGGTCAAACAATGTAAGACATTTAGCAAGGAGACCTGTTTTTAAATCCTTGCTGAAAAGTCAAGTCAGAGCGTAGTTATTAAACCAAACCTAAACCAAAGCAGTTTATTATCTCCGTTTCAGAACATTCACCACATTAACATTGGAGGGATTAAAATGACCCTAAAACATGCACCAATGACTGTCCTGAAACATGCGCTAGAGGGTACAAGGTCTGTCATAGAGCTATTATAAAGCACTGGTATTAGAAATGGGATGAAAACACATTGGGTATGAAACTAAATTATTGCCATCCTTGACTTGATTAGACAGCCAGATGGGAGGTTAACAGTGTGTCCCAGCTGCGACTTTATGTTTTCATAGCAGTTAACTGAAATAATAACAGATGTGGTCATACAGAGGACAGGGAGATGTACAGGCCAGGTAGCGGCTGTTTGGCATGTTTTATCTAACCAAACATGAGCAGCCCTCTCCAATCCTCCCAAAAAAAAAAAAAAAAAAAAAACATGCGGTGAAAGAAGTTAAACGACATCCTTTGCATGTTTTTGCTATGTTTCTGGCTACGCCACATGTGATTGTGAGTCAGATTCTGTGATTCTGCTTCTTCCTGATCCACAGAGGGAATGCAGGCCAGTATGGCAGAGAGGTTAAAAGGGAATTCTTAACACAATTCATGCCCTTCAGCTGTTTTTGCTGTCCTACAGAGATGGGAGAAAAATAATAATATGGTTGGCATTATGGCTACATAACGTCTTTTTCATGGTTCGACCCACTGGCTTTCATCCGCGAAACAACTCGGCTCTTATCTGATAGATAATGAGACTATGGAGTGCAAATGTGAGGAGAAAGAAAAAAAATTATAAACAGCCTCTTTCAGTGTGAGCGCAGAGGACGTAACATCCATCATGGCTGACCGGTGTTGCAGAAGGCTGCATCACTCAGACTGGATGCCTTTTGGTGAAGTCTTTGTGTTGTGCTTTGTAACTGTGAAAGTAACATTCACAGTTGGGGAGATCAAAAGCTTATCAAATGGCTTTGGAGAGAACTGGCTACCCGATTGCTCCTTTTCTTTACAACTTCAGAAAATGATCTTCCATTTTCTCTTTGAAGCTTCACTCATAAGCAAATGTTCAATGAGATGTTGTAAAATATGCATGTAAAATACATGGAAAGGTAATTCAATGAGGCTTAAGTATAGTAGGATTTAAAACAACAGAGCTTTACAAACGGAAACAAGAAAAAGAATTTAAGAATAAAAGACTCTCAAAAAGGACTTAATGTTATTTAGCATGTTATAAGAAATGTACAAAGCGCTTTCTCAACAAAAACAGATAAAGAGTATCTCCAACTGAATCAGGGTTCCTCTTTGTCAGAATTTCCCATGTCTTTCACACACACAAAACAAAACACAATAAAAAACACTACATACAGTTGATGCCAACGGAGCAAAAATCATATCTGCCTTTTGGACTCTTCGGGTGCCAGCATTCCTACCAACCAAGGTGGGCAGAGAGTTGGAGAGCCAACTATAAACTTCCCCATTGTCTGCCTTTGTCTCTCTCACAGGGGAGTGCACTGATTTTATCTGGAGATAAAGTTTGTGTAACTGTGAGAAAGGTGTAAACTGGTTGTGTCTAGATCTTTATCCGTCAGAGTTGTTGACCATATTCAATGGCAAAGACAGTGTTCAGTACAGTTATCTTTGACACTACCATAACAGCGTCACTACAGATCTGCTTAAAAAACCTGTGTAACTTGCTAATCTTGCAAAGTACCTCACTTCCCTGCTCAGTTAAATTGGCTTTAAATAGCAGCTTTAAATTTTTAATGATACCTTTGGTGAAGTTTGGTCATTGCAGCTGCAAATGCTTAATTTTGCATTTACTCCACAGAGTGTCTGTATAACCATTTGTCACAGCTCAAAGTACATAACTACAGTGATGAAACAAGGGATGCTAAATGAGCAGGTTCCCAAGAAATGGGAAGGCTGCTTTCAAATTGTCCTTCTGTAATGCCTGTAGTGTCAGTCTGTGCAGCCTTGCCTCAGGACATGCCTGATTATGAGCCCCCCCCCCACAGGTGTTAAGTGTAGACATACAGGAGTGTTAAGGCTAAAACATACAGGATTCGTATTTGGAGCGCGGCAGCAGTGTCGTGTATCATGCAGCAAGTAGGTGGCAATTCTGATCAATGTAGTGAAGCATACAGGACGTGTATCAGCTCTGTCGCAGCATCATAGTGAGAGCAGCACTGCTAAAGATAGGCGGCGAGTCAATTTTTGCTGCTCTACGCTTTCAATGCGCGTCAATCCACACAGAGAAGGTTGTTCAAGACAGGAAGTCAAGCACGAAAACCGTGAATGTCATTTTCAAAATAAAACACCATATGCGGACTCCCGACTGTCTATCAGTTCATGTCGATGAGAAATACTTCCTGGTTATGGATTCATCAGTAATACAAAACAATCCGATGGTCAATCCCTGATCCATGTGGACCCAACAGGACTTTGAACTGCTAACTCTGTCTAAATGTAACAGCACAGCATAAAGGAACATAGTTTACTTTATTAAACACAAGTAAACCTGCAATTTCACATATAGTAGAGGCTCAACAGTCACTGAATTATATCCAAATTAGCAGGAAATAGACCACAGAAAGGAAAAACAACCTGTTGTGAGCATGTTGTTTCCTCTATCCTGAGCCCAGCTGACCGGGGCTGCACCACGCTGCTGCCACGCTCCAAATACTCATCCTGTATGCGATACCAAATGCTGCTCTACGGAGCAAATACAGAACGCGCTCAATACGGATCCTGTATGTTTTCGGCTTAAGGCTTGTCTCTTCGTGCACAGTGTTTTTATGATGCTCATTGATTCCCCCAAACCCATCGTCAGCCTCTCATTGGGGAAAGACAGACCTGGATTGATAATTGATTTTCCTCATTTTTGGTCCTGGTCCCCCTGCTGCACTCTCAGTCACAGACCTGAAGAAAGGTCAAATTACCTTCATGCCTCACTGTCCAGTGCTTCATCAGGAGAATTTGGCTGCTTATGCTTTTAATGAGTTAAGCATTTTTGATGGTAGCCTGAATTTCTGTGCAGGAGCACCCATTGGGTCCCATTTTGATCCCCTTTTTTTGCAAGAGGACCTACTATGAAGTTGAAGCTGTAACATGCCTCCAGATGTGCTTATTCCTGCAAAGTGGTTCAATTGAGAAACTTGGTGTGTCAATTGGTGTGTCCGTCTTTGAGTGTGATTTTCTTATTTTCCAGTCCACACTTGTCTCTGAATCCTTATTAAATCCATGATTGTGTGTGTTAATCCACTGAATACATGTGTGTTTGTCTGCGTAATTGTGTCACAAGGAGCTTCCAGCCATCTCATGCTCTCTGACTTGAATTTATGGCAGAATGTTTTTTTCCTGCAGCAGGCAGCATCAAAAGACAGGGATGCATTTTTTAACAGCCGGCCCTCTTATTCTTTGCTATGTTTCTGCACTTCCTCAATAATGTATCAGATATGTGCGTATTCACATTATTTATGCCCTTTCTCTTTCATGTTGATTGATGAATTGATTTACTGATGAGATGCTGTTTTATTTTCTATAAGCAATGCAAAAATGCATCTGTACAGCACAGAGCAGAATGATGCACTGTAAAGAGATGATCCTTTACCCAAAGCTGATTCCGATGATGATGTTGGTCGCACTTTTTTTACAACTTTAAGGCCCCACAGCCTGTGTTATCAACAAACAGCATTAGTCTTCTTCCACCTAATGCTAGAAAAGATAGGAGGGATGAAAACATGCTGCCGAGACTCTGTAAAAAACAGCAAAGTTTATGTTTTTGTCTGTCAGAATACTGCAGATAGTGAGGTGTCTGCTCCCAGACAGTCGCTGAGTCCAAGCAGGCTCAGCAACATTCTGGCCCCATGCAGTGTGTGTGTTTACAGACATGTTTATGTCTTTTGTCTCATGTCTGTCACTCTATAATTAAATCCACCCATTGCTCTTACAAAACACTTACATGCCACATTTGCCCTAAACAGGTTCCAGACTCCTTGAATTTTATCATGCGTCTTTTACTTTACCCTTACACAGTCAGCATCCCACACCTTTTACTGTTTCTTGCAACATTCCCGAGCAGAAAATGGTGTCATGCCTGCGTGTGCACAGATGCAGAGTGCACTTGCGTCTGCAGGAGATGTCTCAGATCAATAGGTGGCGGACGGGGCAGTCATCGATCAGCTCAGTGCATGGAGGCTAATTTATGCCACTGTTCCGGCGATCCCTCCGCGCCGAGGCACCGGGGCGTGAAATTCAAATTATTATTACAGCCAGGCAATTCCATTATCTGGGGGAAGGATATGTCGCTCTGGCACATATTGGCTGTCTTCCTTGTGTAAAGGGAAAGAGGAGGAGAGAAGGAATGGGGGCCAAGGCTGGCCCTCTGTGGCCATGGCAGTAGGGGGGGAATTATTGCTCCACTTTATCATAGTGGCCTCAGTTTCTACTCTTATTGTATCCCCTCAAGCCTGCTTGCCCACCATCAACAGAATTAAAGCAGCTGCACTTCCATTTTCTGGCTGTTTATGGTGTTTAAATTTGATTTAGATCTGGGTGCAACTTTTTATTTTTTTTTTACCTTATAAGCAAAGATTTTAAACTTCATTATTTTTAGTCATCAATCTCATATCTCATCTTTGCAACAAGCATACTTCCCACAAACATGAGGCTCCTGTGGCTGCTCCTTTTACTGTCAAGTTTCATAAAAAAAGACTTTTATAACAAACAACCGGAGTCCTCTGAGTCACAGAGGTGGTGACGGAGCTGCTTTTGCTTCTCCTTTGAGGCCCCTGGCTTAAATCATTCTGGAGCCACAGTTTGAGAATTACAGTGTGACTGCCTTACAGACTTTAGGGCCTGTTTAAACCGGGTTTAATGATGCATACAACAATATTTGACTAGAAGTGGACAGCTCAATGTCTGTCCTCTCTTGGCCTGAAAAAGCATCACCACAAACTAATCTCCTCCAGAAAATGAAAAGTAACAAATACTTATACTTTGACATAACTAACTGCTATGAGAGGAATTTGTAATGTTTTTGCCTTGAACACAAAGCCAATGGCTTCTCCTCATTTCATTAATTTGTGAATTCTTGGGTCCTTTGACCTTGCTTGACCCTGTAATCATTTCCCCTTCATCATGATGAAGGATTCATTAAATGAACCTAGAGGTAATGGAGATCAAGGAGACAGGAGACTTCTGAAGGAGTGGAAAGTTTTTGACCAAAGTGGCATTACCACAGATTGTCTCTTTTATTTAGCAATGTAGTGACATACATATGATCAACTATATGAGGGTGTTTTGGAGACAGACTGTGGTGGCACTATATAGTTCAGCGTGTACTTTTGGGTTTGACGTATGGGACAACTGTGCAGATCAGCATCAATACCTCCAGTCTGGACTTCTCATCTGGCAAATATGCCTCCTCTGTCCTTGTGCTGCTTCCTCACACACACAAAAAAGTACTTCTCTTCCCTAAATCAATATGAGATGCGATAGGTTTGATGTCTTTGCACACAGCCAATCATAAGCACACAGGCCTACTACATTTTCACATCCTTGAAATGACATGACATATGATAGACCTAAAAGAGTGTCTGTAGACATATCTGCTCTGTCAAGGATGACAGGTGACCCATCTGTCACTCAGTGTCAGTGTTGTCCTAGATATGGAGACTATAGAAAACCCTTCAACCTTAGAATATGGTCACCGTCACACGCATGAGAGACTGTAGACCTGCAGATGTGACCTGAACTATCAGGGCCTTATGCTCCATCCATTTGGGTTTCAATCCCCTGCACAGGAGCCTTTTGATAACTACTGAATTTTTTTTCAATATTCATGTTGCACCAGTGTTCTCGATTAAACACAGTGTTGTTGTTTTTTTCACAACAGAATCATTGTTCCTGCTTGTCTGTTGTTTATCAATGCCAAAGATGTAGAACTGAAGCATGTCGACCATCCTTTACTTTCACATCCTTCGCTGCACTAGAGTCTATCTTCGGGAGCCAAACAGTGCTGTATATGGACATTTGAGTGCCCTGCTCTGCAGGAGTAGAGTTGACGGGCCTACTGAGCCCATTAGGGGGCTCTGCTTCAGCTCTTATAAGTAGGGTTAATATGTGTAACCTTCGTTCTTTAAGTGGCACCTGGGGAGATCTAACTGGATGTGAGAGGAGTTCATTGTAGCTTTTATAGGCAGTGCTGGGCCTTTAAAATCAGCTTGACATTTTTGCTTGGTGAATGAGCAGTAATGTGGGGTTCTATTCCTATTTGAAAACCCAATGAAAGGATAGGTAGTGTCGATTATATTTCAATATAGTTAATTAAATATCCCATATCTTTTTATTATCTATCATTCCCCATTGATTCATCATTCTGTTGGTCTGCATTTGGGTCCAAACTCCTATTGCCTTCGATAACTACGTGTTTGCTCTTGCTGGGAATGTCTCTGCTACCCTTTGAATTCATCCAGTCAAAAAGCAGAAAGACACAATACACGGGGCAACCTTGAATTTGGGGGCATGGTGTGATACTTCTGCAGGGAGATACGAGTAATATTTAACTCCCTTTAATCATAAGCCAAAAAGCAATCACTGACCGCACAATGGTGGATGATGTTGTCCTGCTGATAAGGGCCTTAGATCAGAAAACGCTCATATGGGTCATTTTGGAAGGACACTAATTGGCAGAGAGAGATTATCTGAGGAGAAGCAGGAGTTTGGAGGGAAAAAGTCCAACAGATAAGGAAACTGTAGAGGTGGAGGGACTTTAGAGAGACTCATTAAAACCAAGAACAACTAGTACTGGACAGTGGGTTGCTCCATGTTGAAATGAAGGAATCTGTTTCTTGACCTTGAGTCACAATTAATTAGCACCACAAGGGGTATCAACACTGCACTGCATCATCTGTATTTGTGTTTGAAAGAAAAAAAAAAAAAAAAAAAACAGACGTAAAAAGGAGCGACTCATAAACAGAATCCTAAAATCGCTTAAACATGCATATTATCGAGAGTGGGTCTTAAGGTCATGGCCGTGTTGTTTTGGGACATTCTGCTGTATTTGCACTTTTGAGTTTTAGCAGCCATACGCCTGAATCTTTTATAATTGTCAGTTCTGGAAATATAACTTGACTCAGAGAAGTTCTCCACAAGACAGGTTTTACTTATTGATACCACGGAGGGCAAGGAGATGTCACTTTTTGCAGTGGTGGTTTGCCTTTTCCTCACATTCTCTGCCTCATCTTTCCAGTACCAATCGCCTCCGGCTCTAAAGTCCACTGAAGCAAATGTTGAAATCATTCAGATCTGCCCCCTGATACTGCATGAATAAAGAAATATACTGTTAATATTTACAAATGCATGCACATGTGAAGGCTGACATTAATTATGCACATGAGCATCACTTATGCAAAAGATGCAAATGTGTTCATAATAGAAGCTACACATTTTTCTTCCCAACCTTGAAAAAAAAAAAAAAAAAAACAGCCTTTGGATTACACACAATGAGACAGACATACAATTTAGAGGAAATCAAACTCAATGAAACCGGCAAACATTAATCAAAAGTCTATGACAGGAAACTTTTTTTTTATAAGTGTCATCTATCTGTCCCATGCCAAAAAACATTGTCCCTAGGAACACCTAACAGATATTCAGTGCCGATTCTACAGTGTGCTGGGGCTCCAAGCAAAAATTCTCAAGAGGCCCCTCTGACGAGCGTTAAACATATAAATGATCTGAAAACAAAAAAAGAGGTCAGAAATGGAAAATTTTAAAAACAATTATCATGATTACAACGTAACTTGAAAATGTTGGTTTAAAATAGCTACAGCTCTGGTATGTTTTTACCCCAATAACCAGCACCCCAGCCCTGTTATAAGATTTGATTTTTGAGACTTACTTCAGTATGTTATATGCTCCAAAGTTGATAGTCTTTCATGCAGAAAGCATACTGTCTAAATTTAGATCTTAATTTCAAAGCATAAATAGTCTAAGAGTTAGACTAGTTAAGACACAACTTTCATTAATAGTGTTTCATTAACAGTGAAAGCTGTTGTCTGGGTTAGCTGTTTTTTCCGTCTAAATCACTCCCGTACCGATGTTCTAGTTTGGTGAAATTTCAGTATTGTACCTTAGACAAGCACTTGTCTCTCTGTCAGCTAACCTTGCAAGAGAGTGCGGGTTTGTCAACACACAGTAACAGTGAGTGAACAAAGCGGGAACCCTAGGTTAACGTCTCCCACTCTGCTAACACGGCTAACTAACTACCAAACAATTAACAGCCAGCCTTACACCTAATGCTAGGTCAAGTGTTTGCCACACTTCACTATCTGCTCCATTTACCACTGTCTTGCTCTCTCCTTTTTTTCTTTTCTTTTCTTTTCTCACTCCCTGATAAGTAGCGCGACTTCACGGCTGGTTTTGACGTTACTTTGATTGACACAGTACAGTAAAGACGGACGTAGGTCACGTAAAAGTGTGACAGGGATGACATGGAGCCCCTTTTAGGGGGGGATCCCTCTAGGATATCATTGCAATTTGACCACTAGTTGTTTCATAGGATTGCAATATTTCAGCGGAGAGTAAGTTTCATCAGCCCTTGGGGGCCCCCTAGTGGCCTGGGGCCCCAAGCAACTGCCTGCCTTGCCTATTGACAAGCTCCGGCTCTGTTAGCCTGTGTGCTTAACACTCTGCTTTTTTTTTTTTTTCAATTACTCTGTATACTAGAACAGAGCATAAATCTTTGTGAACCAAAGCAGCATTAAATGCTCTTAGATATGACAGAAGAACGATTTTTTTTTTCTCCACCTATTATTCACTCTTACTTTCAGTGATGGTCATTTTGTTGTAGGCAGTCATTTCCTCACAGGCATACCAGAGAACTGTCTGTGCTTCTGAGCAGGGATAGATTCATCCTTGCTACCTGACGATGTCTTCCTTTTTTCATTCTTGCCTTTATGTTTAGAAATGATATTCCAATGCTCTGATTTGCTGTCTGCTCCAGTAATGGTGGCTACATTTCCAAAGACCAAGCGCACAAACACTTTAAGGGTTCAGCCATTTATACACATTGTTTTTGTGTGACATTTCCACATGGTCGCCTAAATGGGTTTGACCTCTTTCTACTCCCATGGGTTTCATTTTCATGTCAGCCAACCGCAGGAAGGAGTGTTAAGGCGGCAGCTGGCAGGAGAGGCTTTTTATTTATTTTATTTTTTTTCTGTTGTGATTGATTCCTCCATCTCACTGCCCTGAATGGGTTAAACATCACCAGGACCTCTGTTACAGATAGATTGCATTTAGCTTGTGCTGCCAAACCAAATAGGCAGGCAGTCTGTCTGGTGAACGAAAAATGTAAGAAGGAAGGAAGGAAGCTATTAAAATAGAAAACAAGTAAGGAGAAAGGGGGGAGGGGACCGTTGTAACCCCGAATTCCCCCTTAACTCTTTCCTTGCTTGTATTAAAACCTAGAGAATATTACTCTGCCTGTTTTCTGCATGTTAGCATCGCCTTATAATGACTCCTGTGTCCAATCAAACTGAGCACAATAAGAGAAAACACTGAATGCTCATCTAACAATGCTTTTTTTCTGTCTTGCAGGTACAGTAACATGATCTCTCCTTTCCATTGGTGCAGCCTCGGTGATGAGAGCAGATGTGATGAGTAACAAAGCTTTACTTTATGATTCTTATTGTGCATACAGATAAAAAGACAGCTTATGAGTGACAAAGATTATGGGAAGAAGATGCAGCAAACCAATGACTGCTGCATTGAGGACAATAGCCTCTGTATATGCAGCCCACTCTTAAACATCTGGGTCAAACAGGACCCCAGGATATGAGATCAGTTTGTGGAAAACTCTGTTTACTCACAGATCAAATCACTTGGTCATGGAGCTCATCATTTTACATACTGAGATCCAAATAGGTTAAGGGTGAAGTTTTACTTGTCATAGTGACAGAATTGCCTGTGTGTGTCACTATGAATTGGGGTTGACTTCTAAACTCAGGGGCCCTCATTTATCAAGCTTGCATACGGCAGAAAACTTGCGTACACCTTTGTGTACGACAATTTTGACGTGAGGATCTGCGTTTATCAATCTGCACGTGAGCCTACGCTACGACCAAATCTCACAACAGGTCTGACATCGTGTATGCAAGTTTGAGTCAGTGTGGATCTGTGGTTCAGCAAATGTCTGTTTTAAAAATAATTGATAAACAAACCTCAAACCTGTCATTAAGCACAATCAGCCATGTTTCATTAAAGATTAAGATGTAAATAAAATAAAAAATAAAATAAAATAGATTTGTTATGTCCTTAGTGAATAGGCCTATTTGATAACTCTGCCCAAAAACACTGCCACAGAGCAGGAGCGCCGTTTCAACATAACGCACACATGCACACGCGCCACTGTTGAGCGCTGCGTTTTACTCCTAAAAGGCAGGTGTCTCTGTCTTGGCCCAGCAGTGGGGACGTTGTTGTACACTTCTGAAAGGGTGTGGGACATCATTTTGGCCAGTACAGTTTTGAACAATGTTGCACTGGCGAATGGAGTGCCGTTGGCTGTGCCGGTGCAACATGAGGACCCGATGCCCGGAGAAAAATAACGAGGATAGACTCCACAAAGGTGCTGCACAGAGGAGACAGGACCTTATCCATGGATTCTGACATGTAAAGTATAAGTTTAGAAAGTGCTCTTGCTATTAAATTAGTGATAAAAATCCAATAGAAATCCATAAAAATGTGCCTCAGGGGCAGCAACACACCGTTTGGTGACATTAATAATTATTTTGTTCAGCCTCTGTCAGACTCTCCAGTCTGCTCTACATTACAAAGACGCAACAAATTAAAACTAAATACTTTCAATAAAAGGAGCAACATACCCTATGTCAGGGCAATAAACAAATATGAGGCATGTATGAGATATTGATGTATCATCATGAGCAATTTATTGACTAATGATTTATTCAAACTTTAGCCACTGTCCGCTATTCCGCGGCAGTGCTGTTCACCGCCACCATAATCCTGCTCCAGACAGGAGTTTTCTGGACTGCTTTTATACCAGTTTTGATGCTTCCAAAGAGAAAATTCTTGTTAGTTTCCACCACAGATGGGAGGATATCCACTTTCAGCTCGGAAAAGTTTAGCATCTTTGTAATATTTCTCCTCTTTCATGTTTGACCTCAGTGGGTGAGGCTTCTGAACCACGAATATTTAAGGGCGTAAACATGTTAATGACAATCGATTTCAGCCGCCGCATTTATCAAGACCCGATCATAAGTACGCTGGGATTGGTCAGATACGAACCCTTTCATAAATCTCACGTGTGTCCTATCGTACTGTGAATCCTGCGCTCAGATCTGCGCAACATTGATAAATGAGGACCAGGATGATGTTGGCCATCATATATCACAATGACAATATCATGACAATATTTACAGGAAACTTTGAAGAGTAAAAGTCAGGCAGGAGTGGAGCAACACACTTAATTCTGCCGATAAAGGCATTAAACTTGTAATACATGCCATCATCCATTTGTTGAGATTTTCAAAGTTATGTTTTATCCACATCATCAACCCTGAAACGGACACTTCCATGGAGAGATCAGCTCATAAAACAGTCATTTATGGGGGTTTTATTTTGATATATTTACTGTTTTGTGTGAAGGTTTCCTCATCCTCTAAACTTTGACAGTTTACATGACTTGCAGTGGATTGGAAACCTATTTAAAAAAACATTATTAAACCAGTTACTTACACTATATTTACCTAATGGTATTTTGGAACTATAATTTTTCATCAGTAACAGCTAATACCTGTATCTTGCAACAGCCTTCCTTTGAGTCATGATTTGATTTGAAATTTTATCACCACCACAACAAAAGCAGCTGAAATATCTCTCCTAAAACTAGAATAAATCTGAGCCAGATCTGGAAAATAATACCATTATTATGTTGAACTAAGCCCCAGGTGTTTCAAATTTACGATCAGTGAGAAAAACAGAGAGAAAAATAACAAACAGACGAGAAAAACAGACAGTCATTAAACATATGACAACCCCATAAAATATGGATATGCATGCACATACTGCAAGGTCACATCAATAAATTAAATGTTACACAGCGTTTATAAAGCAAAAGATGTAAATTATTCCTCAAGACAACACATAAGATTTAGAAGTTGATACTTATTGTGTTGTGTTTGTTGTTGTGAATAATTAGATTGTACTCACTATAATGACAGGCTTTCTAAGATATACCTATACATCAGGTTTGGCTCTCTGTTAAAACCAGATCTGCCGTATTTCTTTGCTGCATAGTTTACTCATGGTGATGCAAAAATACTCAGAGATCCTGGCTTATAATGACCTGATTTTTCTGTAGCACCATATTCGTGATACATCTGAAAGGTGATCAGCTGGATTTAGAACCCTTCAGACTACAGTAAATGTGCTGTAACGTAGGACAACAAGGTGCACTAACCTGCAATAACAGTGTCACATTGTGGGGATAGACATGTTTTAGTTGGCTAAGCTGGTGTTTACATAACTTTAAGAAAAAGTAAAAGTAAATAGAAATAAAACACTCCTTCTTGAAACCATCACTAGCATAAACCATTGAAACAAAATGGCTAATATTCTGTGTTGTATTTTAATTTCTGTTCATACAATATAACCGTTGTGGCAATAACTGAAGGACATAAACACATTTTCTACTGTCAAGTCTTTGTGTTTTAACTTTAGTCTGACTCAAAGCTATTGTATTTAAAGTGACATGCATTGTCCCCATCTCTCCTATTATCCATCATGGTTCAAAGCTGTTTTATAGATCAATATATACTCTACACACCAAGGTTATAATTGTTTGGAATTTTTCATTATAGTTTAGTTTTATTTCATTTGGACTTTTTCTTTCATTCAGTTAGTTTTAATTAGTTTTTAGAGCGGGTTTGTACATTTTTATTAGTTTGTATTTTTTCCTGATTTGTTTTAGTTTAGCTTTTATTAAATTTAGTATTGTTTTAGTTTTTCATACTCGGCAATAAGGTTATTCACTTCATGCAGCACCAGGTAATTTGAACTTTGGCTCGAGTGAAAAGCTAAACTTTGCGAAGGCAATCAACTTACTCGTAGACAAATTTATGAGTGCATCTTCCCGCTTGTGGTGTTCCTGCGTTTACTGACCAACAGCTCTTTGGTCAGTGGTGAAAACACTTGTCTCCTGGCCAAGATGTTGCTACTTTTTCAGGGGAGCTACTCAGAGAGGCCTTTTTTTCAAGGTACTTGCAATTAGCGTTCTTATGTGAACCCTTTAAAATGGACTTTCAGATTTTTGAGTTTTTTTGCCCTAAGAAGTATTTCACATAATTTATCACCAGTTTTCAAAGCACTCGCTTTTGTCTGTCTCGCTGTAGTATTTAAAGAAATTTCATACAGGACTCTGTGATTTTCTTCTGAGTTTTGCTGCCGTTTTGCCAGATAGAATGATGATAAGAAGTTGACTGTAAACACTGAGTAATGAACTTGGAGGTGCTGTACAGTGCTGCTAGCTCACATAAAATCTTTAAAGTGAAATAAATCAATTTCATATCAATCTAAAATTGAACGAAAATGTTTTTTTTAACTCTAGTTTTTATCATTCTGTTAGGGGCAAAACCCACAGGATCCAAAACAGCTCCAATCCGGCACGGCAGGTGGATCAAATACGCAAGCATTATAATCAATGTGTGTCATTCCACAGAATCTGTCCACCGTTCGGCTCCGCTGCGTATCTGATCCGGCCACCGTGATAGATACGCAAGGCTTCTATGTTGGCCGGATGCCACAGCATGGCGCATAAATTCAGTCCAGCGCAGAATGAGCAGCAGCAGAAGTTATATGCAGCTACAGAGTAAAATATCTGGTTAATTTTACAAAATAAAGAAAAGTCAATACACTGAACTGTTCTTAGCTTGATAATTGGAAAGGCCAGGGTTGTGGGATGTGGGTGTTTATATACACCGCCGTTTTATATACACTGATCGGCAAATCTCATTCAATGTCTCACGGGGAAACACGCAAGATCTTGTGAGATCTCACGGGAGCTATCAGTATATCGTAAGATCTTGTCCTCCGACAGCGGCGGTGGGCGCTATATGCTTGCGTATTTAATCTGCTTGCCGTGCCGGAGCGAAGCCATTCTGGATCCTGTGGGTTTTGCCCGTAAATTGTATTTAAGAATAATAATCCTGCTACACACCTTTGTTTTAACCTGTAATTATTTGATTTGCTGCTTTTATATCAGATGAATTAAATCTGGTTATTTCCTGAATCTTCAACCAAAAAGCCCTTTTCTGCAATTTGTCTAAAGTTTTGTTTTTCCTTAAATACCCAAACCAGCTCACCTGGGACAAACACTGCAAGTTTCACCTTCTTTCCTGTTTGCTTGATTTGATTAACAGGAGATGAGCTTCAGGCTTAAATTGAACGGATAACTTCTTTGTTATTTTCAGATTACATGGGATTAACAAACAGCTGAACTGGTGTAATTTAAAACAACAATTTAGCAACACATCTTTGTTTACACTGGCGTAAGTGGTTTTGCTTTTCTGACAGTAAACACTGGAAACCTGTTCAGGGGCTGAACCCTCATGTAAGTTTTTAGGGAAATATTTGGGTTAGTTGATTGCCTACACTTAAGTAAATGTTGAAATCAAATTTGCGCATGTGAGTGTGTGTGTGTGTGTGTTTGTTTGTGTTTGTGTGTATACTGGGGGGGGGGGTGTAAAATGATTGCACTCCTTTGGTAATGAAGGCATACACATAAATATCACTTGCATAACAGCCAGGGACTGTCATGGGTGTGCCACATAAATTTGGAGTTAACTGCCAGAGTTGTGCAACTATTTTTTCCACTGTGCAGCAATGCAGTGTAACTGGTTGAACGCACAGTCTGGCTGACTTGACTTGCACAAGCTTGACCCACAGATTTCTGTGTCGTGCACCTTTACTCTGAATTTCTGCTCATTTACAGTTGCTGTCTTTGTTCACAGGCCCCAGGCAGCCCAGACAGTTACAGCAGACATACTTTTCTGATGGTGCAATACTAAATCCATGGCAATCTGAAAAACAAAAAAAAAGGATCTTAATAGGGACATTGGAAAGATATCTTATCTAGATTCTGTCTACATGTCTGTGTATGCTGAGAATACAAGTGGGTGTATGTACAGAGACCCACTGTGGGTGGATGCAGACAGGCAGGGTGATTAGTTTGGGCTGAACTGAGTCAATCAGCTTTGGAGGTTGTCGCAGTGTCTAATACTGAGGGGATGAAAGAAAATAAAAGACAAAGTCAACTCCAAAAAGAGAGAGAAAAAAGGGGTTTAGAAAGATAGTTAAAGATCGTTAAAAAGATGTCATACTTTAAGTAAGAACAAAGAGTTACATGACAAGTCTGCAAGCCTTGTTTTTTTTTAGTTGATCAAGAATTTCATGGGCCAATTAGCACTCTCTGCAGCACATAAATGTACTGCAACAGAGGAGTAATAGTCAAATAAATGGCTTTATAATGATGATTTTCTGTGTACTGAGCTTGAACCAGCAAAGAATTAGCTTAGCTTAGCATTAAAGCCTGACATTCACACCTAACAATCTTCAATATGGTGTTTCTTTTTTAATCAATACAGTCTGTAGTATCAGATGAGATGATTACTGTGCACTGCAGAAAATATGATATTCAACATATCCATCAGTTGATATTCACAGTTTGTGTGAAGTAGGGAGGTAGTGAGTAAAAATTATGATTGAAGGAGATTTCCAGCAGTCCACAGACTGGAGACAAGCCTCCATCACGTGCCCATGGCACTGGACAAGAATTAAATATCTTGTTAACACCATCATGTGTGACTATTTATTTAATATGGATAAATCGTCACAATTTCAGCTTTGTTAATTTGGTCAGGTTGAGTGTCCATTACGTGTGCCAAAGGTGCATGCTCTGTCATCAGATAAGATATAGATCTAAATGTATGTGCTGACTCAGATAGCCACACTGAATGGTGGCTGTTGTTGATTATTTATTGCACTGAAATGTGTCTGTACTATGAAAACCTGCCTATGAGGTAGGCCTATTGTTGACGTGTATGTACTGCTCCACTGGTCTATGAATTTTCCTCTTGACCAGCTGCACTCTGCCTGTGCCGCAAGCTGACCAGGTTGGAATTGGTGAGTTTTCAGTGCACTCCCTGGGTCTCTGGCAGGCACAAATTTGTCAATATGCCAGCTGATTCAGTTGACACCTCCCCCTAATGTGCCAACACGCCCATAGTGGCACATCTCGTTGTGCCGAGGTTCACCAATTTACCAAATTGGCTGCACACGGGACTGCGCTGCACGAATTTATCACTGCCTGGGGTGCGCCACCCTGCGCTGCACTCCCGGCTGGCATGAATTTAGAACCCAAGAACTTTATTCAACGCCCAAGGCAACTTGTTTGTCTGAAATCTCATCACATCTACTGTTTATAGAAGAGTAAAGGCGTCTGATGGCTGTGGGTACAAAAGATCTTTCCAATCTCTCCATCTTTCAGTGCAGAGCCATCCACCGCTATTGGCCCTTTGGTCCATCAAGGTGTTGTGATGTGGATCATCCATGTTCTTTAGAATAGCCTCTGCCTTTCTCAGTGTGCATCCCTCTAACACATCTGCCAGTGAGTCTAGCTTGATGCCAACCACAGAGCCAGCTTTTTTCACCAGTTTGTTTAGATGTCTTGCATCTTTGCATTTCGTACTGCCTCTCCAAAAGATTTGGCAGGGAGGAGAGGGTAACATGGTTGAAGTCTCCTGATAGTGTCTCAGGTTGTTGAGTCTGTATCATAGCAACAATACAATGTAGAACATCACATGGAACTTCAGCCGTTGCCTTGGGTGGGATGTATACAAGTATTGTTGTGATATGACTGAACTCCAGTGGAACATAATATAGCTAAAGGGGCAACAGTGGGCTTTTGTATTGAATGCAAGAACTCTGCACTTTTCATGGTATGAGAATAGACAGTTACTGTATTTATGTTTGCATCTTTTGCATTGCATTTAAATGCAGGTGGAAGTGTTTGTCTGCATCACTTGGACAGTTATTTCCATGTTAAGTCAAGTAAAAAAATAAAATAAAAAACATCAGGGCAATATCACTTCTGCTCAGAATATCAGCTTTATGGTGTGATGGAGTCTATTTTAAAAAAAAAAAACAATGTACCCTTCAAGTTTTGAATATAACCTTAACTGCCCCACTCTGCATAAAGTAATCAAGCAATCAAAGGGTGGGACTGGTTATCTGTGATTAATATTATCCCCCTGCCTCCTGCTGCTTTGCAGAGATGGTCATCTTTGCTCAAACTGATGTTTTTAATTATGACTGTCATCATGTAACCTTTGAGAAAACAGTGTTTGTGAAAGAGGCTCCTATTTGTCAGTCATCCACTGTAGCATCACATAACAAGATGACAACAGGTGTTTCCACACAGGTGTTTTTGTAACCAAAGTGAGGGATGTAAAATACACTGGGTGTAAACACTTGCAGTATAGTACATACAGTATATTTTGCATTATTGGCTTGACTCTGCCCACGAATTGGGCTTGTCAGTCAAAATCTGTCCAGTGAAAACAATGCTGTGTCCCAATCAAACGCCTACACACCAAACGCACAATTAGTCACTCTGTAACTCGTGCTCATTTCTTTGTCCATTGAGAATGAGTTTCATATACGAGGACTGACTCAGCTTGTGCATAGCTGATTAGTGGATTCAATTAAAGCTGCTGGATTTGACTCGTTTCTAAACCCAACACATATCTGTTTTACTTATTTACTAGACACTCATTTTAATGAGTGAGCTTTTCCTCAATAAAAAGAGTTTGTTTTATGTTTTTTTTCAAACTGAATTTTGCATCAATTTTAGTATAGTCGTTAAAGTCTGTGACATTTCAGTAACCTTTTTTTGTGATCTAACATTTGCACAGACACTAAAGACTGCTGTGCTCCAAATCGATGTGCAATATGCTTGTGTGCATGTAAATATGTGAGTGAGCGAGTGATTATGTCACTGTGTCAAAGTGGTAATTCCAGCCATCATAGCTCATAAAGATGTCAACGCACATGCTCACACACCCTTCCATTACATTGTTGACTGTTGGCATAGCTACCTGGCATTCAGCCAGTAGACGTTGTATTTGTGTGTGACTGCGTACGTGTGTGTGTGTCTGAAAAGTAAACAGTGAGTGTGCAAAGCCCCATTGCTGAAGCAGAGGCAGCGAAGCAGAAAGAGATTCTGCAAGAAAAAAAGAGCATTTGAAGACAGAGCGAGGGACACCCAGAGACAGAGAAATCAAAGGAGGAAGGACACAAAGTAAACTCAATCACAGCAAGTCAATTTACTCTGATTTGATCTTTAGTCTCATCTGGAATGTAAAACATACTGTAGTCTGAGTGACGTTTGAAATCACTGCAAGAAACATTAGGAACAATGTGACAGCGTTGTTGATGTGTACATATGGGTGTGTGTGCCGAGTGACTTAGTCCCGTGTTGCGCTGCGCTCAGAATTTCATGGTGAGAAACAAATGAAAGCATAGAGAATGATGAAGCAATCAGGTGAGGTTCGGTTGATTGTGTACGAAGAAGAAAAAGGGTGTATTGAAATCTTTCTGCAGAAAAATCCATCACAGAAGCTGCACCAGTATTAGACACGGTTTGTTTAAGGGGGTTTCTCATGGGGTTTTAACAGTGTTCTTAGAGACAGCTTTTTTTTTTAATCATTAAAGTCCAGAAAGTCCAACGTTTGTGCAGTGGCCCTCTTTTCAGTGCCATCTGTTTGTACCTAGCAGAGTTTGCAATCTTGATCTCAGATCACAGTTATATGAATATCTGATAATACCTCATAATAGAGACAAGTTGTTAAAAAGTGCCACTTCCGCTCTTTGTTGGACTCCGGCATGAAGCAGCCTCTTAAAGCTCCTGTAAAGAACTTAAATTTTGTGTTTATCTTGGCTCCCCACTGTCCTTTGTAACTTTGACAAAAAAAACTTGTCCTGCTGACTTTTGACAGTCCAATGCATCATTTATTGTGACTGAATTGTGTGGTTGTGTAAAAATGGGGCTGTTTCTTTACCCGATTGGCTGATGCCTACCACCTTGTACCAGTTGAAGGTATGTAACACCAGGATATAAAAAAATCACAAATCTTGTTCCCGGTGGTAGTTTTAGCTATTGGATATCATGAGACAGCATCAATATAAATTTGAGTCTTTTTTATGAACATCATAAAACTCCCCATAGGAGCTTTAATACACTGTGAACATGGGTGAACAGTCAGTACCAGCAAATTAGCTTGAGTCATTATAGCACCATCATCTGGGGAAGATACCATAACACAACAAAATACATCTATTTTTTTTTTTTTTTCGACAAGTTTACTGGTCAGTTGACTTCCCACATTAAAAGGAGAAAAAAGTGTGTCTGAAATTGAAGTGTATATGTCCAGCCTTTGTTGCCTGCATAGATGTGTTTTCCAAAAACATCACACACACAAATACAGTTTATGAAATACATCAATCATTATTTAAATGTACTGACTGAGAGCAGAGTCAAGACCAGCACATGACTGGCAGTTACTCCTGTATTTTGTGTGTGTGTGCGCGTGTGTGTGTGTGTGTGTGTGTGTGTGTGTGTGTGTGTGTGTGTGTGTGTGTGTGTGTGTGTGTGTGTGTGTGTGCGCGTGTGTGTGTTGTTCCTGCTGTGACTCGACCTGCACTAAACCTCTTTACCCAATATCAACAACCTTCATCCTCCCTTTCACCCACACAGACACACACTCCTCGCTCCACATTTCAAGGCCCCTTTTTTTTTCTTTTTAATTTTTATTCTTTTTTAATTCCCTCTAATCAGGCACAACATCAAAGGTTTGGCCTCCCTATTGGCAAGTTAAGCTGCATTGGCGGAGCTGTGTTTGTGTTAACGGGAGGTCACACAGACCTTGGGCTGACTTGGCCTCCCACTCGACCGACCTGCCACTCATTAGTGATGACCTCTGGTTGGCCGGTGAAGAGGTTAGTGGAAAGATCATGACCTGAGTAGCTGCCAGGTGTGTGTCTGCCTGGACTGAATAAGCATAAAAAAGTGGACAGGTGCTGACAACCATTGGAATCAGTCAGTCTCTAAATATGAAGCCAATGAAAAGCATAGAATATTTAAGAGAGGCTGTGTAAAGCTTTCCTACTGGGCAGTCACACTTCTTTTTGCAACCTCAGATTGGATCATTTTGAGAGAGCAAAATAGATAGAATATATTACAGTTTGAGTTTATGCCCCATGTAGAAGCTTTAGTCCATGTCAAGGTGGTCACCGGTTCAACCATGACAACAATCATCTACTGCATGTCCTCTCCGACTCTATATTTCACAACTTTCCCGTCTTTCTGCGTCTGTTCTCTCCAATAAAGGAAAAAGATGTCCAAAGAAGTTAATCCGGGATCTGTGCCTCTGACCAATGATCCTGTATGACTGGTTTCTGAAAGACGGTTGGCAGATGTATGCATCAACCTGAAGTTAACCCATCCAGCTATCACCGTGCTCACATGTAATTGCAATCATATGCAACATCAACAGATCAAGAGCAGCATGTTTAATTTGAGATGAGATAAAAGTGACTATCCCTGAGGGGAAATTAGGTCGATGCGTGAGCTGAAAGGGAGATCCAGAGAGATAAAACACACAAATTGTAATTGCACCACTGGAATTGAACTATGTACACAGCAGATTGCATGAAAACACATTTTATTAAATGCAATTACCTGTAAATACATGTGAGAGTTTTCACTTGTCTACCTTATGATCAAATTAGTATAAGAAGGAAATAATTCTCTGACCTTGGTGCTGACATCTTTAAAGAGCTATAAATGAAGAGAAATAAAGGCAATACAACTAATAACCAGTCAACAATGACAGTAATAGATTAACTGTAAAAGAAAAGAAAATAACTTATCTTGATGAGTGAACCTACTTTGATTTAAATATCTTGAAAAATAAATCTCCTGTTATGCCTTTTTTTGAAAATGCCTTATTTAGAATATGTTTGTAACTTGATGAAAATCATGGTCTTAACATCAACTCCTGTTTCTTTTACACTCTTTACAACTTTATTGAGGGGGTGATTCTTTTATTTTTTTTATAAGTGACCTGAATTGAATAAATTTAGGTGATGTGTGCTTTAGCTGACAGGTGTATCCTGCTATATTTCTACATGATTTAGAGGGCAGTAAATTCATTGCATTGTGTGTCTGCCCAAGAAATATGGACTCAATATTTTTCAGTGACTATAGTTGTAGGTAAACTAACAGCTTTTTAGTCTAATGGATAGAAATCTGTTGTCAGCCACTACTTCAGACACAATCTTATGAAAGTAATGGGCCACATCTATTAGGCTAGTTCTGTGTAACCACGTAAAAATGGACACTTTATGTTTACAGTTTCATCATCCCTACATCTGTGAATTGCTGAAATTGTAAAACATAAACAGTCACCTTTTGTTTCCCTGTGATTTAATAATTCCCTGATACTTGCATTATCCCTTGTAGTACTTAAATATCACCCCTCATGATGCGGTCAAAATGCTCATTAGAAAACTGAGCTGTCCACAGGCTCAGGTCATCCAGTGCACACTTGTCACATAAACATGAACACAGTAATCATTATGTCCATGCAGACATAAGTGCACATGTTTACAGGAGGGTGACAGATAAGCTGGCAGAGGGTTCATATGCTATATATTCGATCCTGCACCTGCTCAAAAGCAGGTCAGGCAGGCATTGTTGGTTTCCATGGTGATCTACCAAAAGAAGAGAGAGTGCCAGCTTTTAAGCTACCAGACAGGCTGAGTGAAACCCAAAGCAGTTGATGATACAGTCTGGTGTTCTGGGAGAGTGTGTGTGAGGATGCATGTCTTAACTCGTGACTACATGAACATGTCGGTACAAGTTTCTGTTTTTGTACATGCATGTTTGCAGGTGTTTGCATATTGATGATTAATTGTGTGTGTCATGTGGTGTTGATTTGACATGGCAGAACAAATACAGGATGGCAGGATGCCAAAGCTTAAGTGTCCTGGTGTAAAACTCGGCAAGGATTCAGTTGGTTGAGAACAAAGAGCATTATTGTGAGATTTAAAGCTCCTTTAAGGAACTTCAAACCCCCATGTGCATCTCATCTCTATGATGAGCCTATCTGGTTGTGGTATAGGTAGGCTTTTTTTAACAAAAAAAAAAATGTTGTCTTTTAAAATAGACATGTAAACTTGTTGTGTATATTAACTATAAAATACAAAAAAAAGGAGAAAAAAAGAAAAAGGGACTGCTTTCTTCTGGCAGCGCTTTAACCATCAGAAATACCTACCAAGAAATCATCAGTTTTGTCACTAACAGTTTGCTTTTGTAGGTCATAAAGAGGGAAGAGCATTAATTTTAGATTGCTGAAAAACTCTTTAAGTGAACAAGACTCAATTATAGTATCTGGCATATGTTTTCATCTTATGTGTAACACTTAATCTTCCTTTTAATAGTAATACATTATAAAATACAAAGTTTTTATGGTCCAGCTTCTGGCATCTGTTGCACCCCAGAAAGCTCCATCACAAGCTGTGCTGCCCAGCTAGTGCAACAGCCACCGCTTTGCAATTTAGTCTTTTAAAAAAGTTTTTTCTTCCTAAACACATTGGAGTTTCTTCCAACTTGGCAAAGAAGAAGCTCCTTTTATCCTTAATATGTTTTGTGAGACAGCTCCTGGTGCTGCATATTGTTTCTTTACCGCCCACAGCAGCTGCTGAGTCACTGAAGTTGAATTGTCCCCTGAACAACAGTGGGCTGTATCCTCAGAAAGACAGAAACAGTAGATAAACCCAGAAATTCTCCCATTTTTGTCCTTTCCACAACTTTCAGCAAACAGCATCCCAGACCAGGTAGGTGGGAAAATGAGACACCAGCCCACAGGATCCAGCTTCCTAAAACTCTGACTCCCTTTAACTGTCTGCAGCTACAAATGTGCACAGCTGCCAAAACACTGACGTAGATTCCTCAAACTAAATGCAAACCATTTTTTGACATTTAGGAATAACTGAATCCAAAGATAAGTGCACATTTTATTTATTTCCATGTATGAACCACTGAAAAAGCATTTTCTGCATCTCCCACCTACTCAACTTTTTTACAATCCAACTGCCAGGGATCAAAATGAAAATTATACAACCTTAAACAGTGTTATAAACTCACTCAAGTACTGGGTGTCAAGGGTTAGTTGGCAAAAGCACTGCAGCTGGTGAAAGGCAGAAACATGCCTTTCACTGGAGGCTTCCATAGATGTGTGCGAATGATGCTAACACTAGAAAGCACTACAGAAATGTAATGCAAAATGATGCAAAATGAAACACACAAACAAAGGAAAAAGAAAACCACTTAATGCTAAAAACATGTAATCTAGTATTGGAATATTGTAAAAATATGTTTGTATTTCATGAAATATTTAAAATGATGAAATGTTTTGTCTGGAAACAGCTCACCATAACACCAGAGGTTGTGTGTGTTGGGTGAAGTTTCCTTTTCTTTGTCACCTGCAGCAGCTCCTCAGGCCTCTTTTCTGATACCTTTGAACACCAGGAGAGTGTGAGTTTGAGTAAACTATCAAAAACTGGTTTGTAATTGAAGTTTAAGAGCAGAATTTGAACAACTTTTCTCTATGTATACAGTATGCACAGAGCATTGTGAGTTGTTTTCCCCAATGTAACATGCAGTTGTTGTCGAAGCTGATTTGTAGTCCACAACTTGAGCTGAAATTGCAGGAAAACCAGGCAGAGGCAGGCTCTGACTTTAACTGTTAAAGCTGCTGCCCAGCTTTGTGACTTGCTTGGCAGGCAGCTGCAGCAGAGGCATTAGCTTGAGTGATAAAGACAAAGCCACCGAGAAAAAGCTGTGACTACTGCTTACAGAAAACAAAGTCACCATCCTGCAGACAGTCTTTCTTGGGGCTTTTGTAGTCTGTGGATGCTGTCCTCTTTTACAGCGCAGAGAGGCTGCTGGGTTGTAAGAAAGCTGGGTTCTGTGAGAACAAGAAGCTATGAAGAGCTTAAGACCTCCTAAAACGATGTGGGGACAAATCCCGGCCTCCTCTTGATGCTTTCTACAGTAGTTCAGGGGAAGTCTGTGCTGTTAAATCCCTTGTTTCACAGCTGTGTCTTGTGGACTCCAGTCATCACTGTGAGGTTAACAGATTTTCTCCTGTGCCTTTCTAATATACCTTATTTTAAAACTGTCTCCCATATGGTATTTGCCACCCACACTACAGCCTGAGACATTTAAAAAAATGCAGGGCAGATGGATAAACTTGATGCGTCATGCATTTAGAAGCACAATTACCCAGTTTTGTATGTCTTTAGTGTACAGATTAGCCTCTTTTAGACAGAAAAAGAACATTTTTTTAATTAAGCAAACGTCACAGGAGGATTTACAGCAAGTATGTATGAAACACTAAACCTTTCCTCAACGTGTATCTTTTTTTGTAAACCATGATTCTGTCACTGCATACGTCAGTGTCAAATGTAAAGAAAATTTGCTCATATGAAAAACGGAGCATTGTCATTTTCAGACTGAATTTTTAGACTTGGCCGCAATAATTTCCCTTGTCAGAACCAAAACCCCCAAAACTCTCAGCAATCAATATTACTGATTTGTTTTTCAGATTAATAAACATGAATTTCAAAGAGCTTCACCTTTGGTTTTGAATAAGCTTCAGGGCAGAAATACGTCTTTCAGATTATAAAACTTAATCTGGCATTCTGGGGATAAAAGAGTACCAACAATTGGGTAAAATGTGGTGAAATTCAAGTAAACAAGTAATCAAGCAAGTACTAAAATATAAATATTCCTCACCGATAGCGATCACTTGTTTCAGTAGCACAAAAAGCTAAGAAGTGAGTAAACAGGGCGTAAACAAGAGATATACTCACGAACATGAGAGCAAGTGGAAAATAAGACAGGGAACAGCTGGATGGTAAGAGCTCATTATTTAATAGCTGGATGCAGAAAATCCATTTTACGTGTGGGCTTAAGCATGGGCAGGAATTAGCATATAAGTAAACAGAACACCTAACTTGTGCACATTCTAAGCCTCCCCGGGGACTCGTCTCCTCAGGTTCTGTTTTTAATTTCTCACCTTGTTGTGAAGTAATGAATCACTGCAGATACTGAAACAAGAAGATGGAGAGCCCTTATATTAAAATGTATAACAAACACAGGTCCTAATGTCCTTTAATGTGCATATTTCCTGACATGTGTGCCAGGAATTTGATACACAGAGAGACTGGTGCATGTTTAAATCTAGGAGTGAATGATTTTAAATTTGCTTGGAGGTCCATCTATGCAACACAAGTGTTGTACCAACAGAGGAGTACTTCAGACTGTAGGGCTGTCGCAATATTATTGACCATAACCATATTTACTGGTTTATAAAAAACTGATACTATGCTTAAAAATAGCAAACATGATATCATCATAGACTGTATATGCTATGGACTACTTGGCTTTGCCTTTCGTCATGATACGAATTTGAAGCTGAATCGCTCTCTGTATTTTGGGATTTTCTCCATCTCCTGGAACCACCACTTGCGCAGTAGCACTGTACGCATTTGGCAAGTCGTCATGCTCAAACAGCATACCCCCTGGTTGAGCTACGCAATCTTGGTATGCCCATAGGCTGTATCAAGTGTCAATCACAGAAAACATGAACCCCCTAATAACTTTTAAAAATGGAGCTGAACAGAAAATACAGTTCAACAGTAACTACATATCAACATCACAACCACAGGGGAGAAAAATTTATATTCTGTATAATTATTTTTTAAAGTTTGTCCACAGCTCCATAGGAATTGCTGGAGGAGGCGGGATTTGTGACCTAAATTGCAGCCCGTCACCAAAAGCTGCTGTTCTTGGCTTCACCCAGCAAGGAGGCAGATGCTGTCCATTCTATATATAGTCTATGGATATCATAAGTTCATAGAGGTGGTCCTTGGCACTGATTAGGGGTTATTAAAAACAGGAAATGACATGTCTTCTATGATTGACATGCAGTCAATGGGTGAAAAAAGATTGCTAAGGACATCTGGGCATATTCCGTTTAAGCCAAGAGTCACAGCGATTCTCCTGCTGAACGCTACTGTGCAAATGCAGGTTTCAGGAAATGGAAAAAAATCCCAGAAATACAGAGAGATATTTGGCTTCAAATTCATATAATGGCAGGAGGCTATGCTTATATCCTAACTCACAAAAAACAATTAACACACGCATGTACTTTTATAACATACCAGGGACTGAGGACACAACCAAAGAAAAGAAGAAGAGGCTTTAAGGATGTTCAAACACACAAAAAAAAAAACACCACACAATCAATAAAAATCATCAGTCCAAACAGAAGCTGCCTCTTTTTTTTTCAGCTCTACTTGCCTTTACAAGGACATACACATTTAGTCACATTACACCAGATGACAGACAGTCCAACCCATCAAGGCCGTGCTCATATGTCCTCTACAAAGAACCACAGCTATGTGCTGTCTCGCCCTGATTGAAACATACAGCATACAGTTGGTATAGGAGGCTTGGGAAGTTGAGGGTGTGGGAGAAGTTGGGGCAGCTTCTGATAAGAAAAACAAATATTATAATCAGATTTATCGGACCCTCACCCCTCTCTTTATATCACTTGTTCTGTCATCCCCATAGACTGTATATACTATGGACAACTTGGTTCCGCCTCCCGCCTGTATACGGATTTGAAGCCAAAAAGGCTCCCGGTTTTTCTGCGATTTTTCAGCGTATCCCCCCGGGAGAGCTACGCAATCCCTGAACGCCCATAGGCTGTATCAGGTGTCAATCATAGCAAACATGAACCCCCTAATAACTTTTAAAAATGGAGCTTCACAGAAAAAAGAAGACTTGAACACAAACCAGTCTTACAATAACTACATGTCAACATCACAAGCAGGAGGGAGAAAAATGTATGTTCTGTGTAATAAATTTCCAAAGTTGGTCCACAGCCCCATAGGCTTTGCTGGCGGGGGCGGGATTTATGACCTATACTGCAGTCCATCAACAGAGGGTGCTGTTCTCAGAGTGGCCAGCGAGGAGGCAGACTCTGTCCATTCTATATACAGTCTATGGTCATCCCTAAATCATATTGCTTCCTGACGACTTGCCTGATTTTTTTTGAAGCTCTCTCATACAGATGTCATTTTCCTGTTTCCAATGTCTCTTTTTGTTCAAGCCCTATTATTTCCACAGCTTACAGGTCTTTTTTTATTCCTTTTACAGCCACTCAGTTATATCCCATTGTGCCGATACACTGTGCCAAGCATCAAGTCTCCTTTCAGAGGTGACACTTGTGTGCAGTGTTTTTTCTTTTACTTTTCCATCATCTTTCAGCACCTTGTCCTTGGTCTGGGCCTGTGTGTCTTTTTTTCCCCTTGTTCAGCAGCTTAATTCATCTGTATTAATAAGGGGACATTCAAATGCAATTATTAACAATAGCTTTTCAGACTGTCGATGAATGTGATAGGGAGAATCTTTCCTGGAGGCCAAATCTTTATAAAGAGGAGTGAAAGCAGAGCATAGATCTTTGAGAGTGATTATAAACTCAGTACCTCAGTTGTTATGGACAGAGCCCCTTGTGAAATAAAAGGAGAAAACCATTGCTCACAGACAAGCTCTAACCTTTCATAGATGCACATAAACTCAGGAGTTAGCATTTGGAGCTTTATCCTTTTTTGTTGTTGACTGTGATGATTTATGACCATCAAGCTTTAATCGATGGGAGGGGTGACTTGGAGTGACACTCAGCCTGGGGACATGGACATGGGTCCACAGGGGAAGATGTGCATGGAGCTCAAGACAATGTGTGACAACTCACTAATCACACGGTTGTATTCCTGTGACACAGAGCCAGGCTGTATCATAGAACAGCTTTCTTCTCTACGTGATCTCTCAATCTGACTTATTGATTTTCAGCTGGATATTTGATCTGCTGTAGTTAATGATCCATACACATTTGTATCATCTTCTCTGATCAGATTGCATCATTACAGTGATGCTCAGTTCATCTTTGTTGCTTTAACAGTTTAAGATTGAATCTTTTTAGAGAATAGTCTCACATGAATCCCAGAGGATGCATAACTTACACATTTTATATAATCACAAAGTAAAAATATGTTAGTCTTATTTTGCATAACCACTCACTCACTTACTGTACATTTTCTGCTTATTTCCTGACGTTTTACTGAACATACAAACAAGGTGGCTTCAGTAACGATTCAAAGATAGTTTTATCGTTTTAAAATATGTGAATGGAAATCTAAAATAAAAGTAGTTCCTGAGATTTGACAGGTTTTACAGGTGTATGCAACTATGTTCTCATTGGGTGGTTGAATTAATGGACATTTTCTTTCCAGTGTTGCTAACTTCTCAGTGAGGAAAGTCACTAATGGCTGTTGTAGAAGTCAGAGGAGGAGTCTTCCACGGTGTTTGTTTTTGGTGTTTACCTGCGACTTGTTGGGAAGAGTAACATCGATACCTGCTTTCATATCAGAGTCTCTCAACTCCAAATCTAGCGACGCAAAAAAAATTGCTGGGGGGGTCTAAAAAGTTGCTAAATCTAACGACACAGTTGCTAGGTTGGCAACAGCGTTTCCTTGAAGTTAATGGCTTTTTTTCTAAGTACAAACAAAACAGAAGTATTGACATCTCATTATGAAGTACTTTTACATTTTAACAGATGCAGATGCAGTAGCTTGACGGTAAAAAAATTCTGTGGATTCTTAATAACATTATACTGAATCTCATATTGACAATTGGTGTCTTATTGCTGACAGTTTTTTGGACTACCACCCATATTTCAATCATGGTACCTTTGTTATGTCCCATCAATATCCATCCATAATCTATGCCACTTATCACCTTCAGAGCTGCAGGGGTGGTTAAGGCCCATGCCTTATACGGGGACCATATACGTTCACCGTCACACCTACAGGGTAATTTGGAGTCACAAATTAGCCTGACATGCATGTCTGGGGACTGTAGGAGGAAGAGAATCCACCCACATGCAACAGGAATTTATAAATTCCACTCAAAGGCTCCTGCTTGGCCGAGGTTTTAAACCAGGAACTATATTTCTATTAGGCATTGCACCACCATGAGGCCAGCAAGTAAGAGAAGCTGAGCTGATGCTTTTGTAACTTTATATAAATAAACAGTATATTACAATAACCATTATTGATTACCAAAAAACAGGACTCTGTCTGGCAACGATATTTGCTGTATCTTTAGTTTTCTTCTTCATTCTAGTGGCTCAATGAAAGTCCTAGTTTTCATCCCAAGACATAAAAACAGGCCTTTCCTGTTGGTAAAACAGGATAAATATATGTATTGGGGATGGGAGAATAAATCAATACAGCATAGAATCGCAATATTTTGTCTAGTGCTGTATCATATCATCTCATTGACCAGTTATTTCCAAATTAATTGCTAATGTGAAGTCAAATCTATGATCATGAAAAAATAAAATCAACTGTCAAGTGATTTTGGCAGAGGTGACACCATAAAGCAGGAGAAAGTTAGTACAACAAATAAACAAAAAGTTTGCGAGATGTGCTCATATAAATACAATGTAAATAAGACAAAAAAAAGACAAATACTTAATAAGCTAAATAGTTGAAAAATTTTATCAATTGCGATATATATTATATCACAACACTCACTGTATTGCAAAATGTAAAAAATCCCAATAATATTGTATCGTGGCCCAAGTATCGTGATAAAATCAATTGTGGAGCCACTGGTGATTCACACTCCCTATACATACATATATATATATATATATATATATATATATATTTACATTTATATACATATATATATATATACATATATATACATATGTACACACACACACACAGGTATGAGTTGGAACGATTGCTCAGTTGACAGGCTCTGGCCCAGGAGCAAATGATGTGCCATGCACTGTTACCATGCTGTTGTTTCACATCACTTTCATGCTAAAAAGCTATATGCCTAAATGCTGGTTCAGAGAGGAGGGTTTGGGGAAAGAGTCAGCTCTAATTTATTTTCATGGTCAAACATTAGAGAAAATGTCAGCAGTGTGGGAGTATTACAGCGTTTCTGTGAAAGATCAGAGACATACGGTTTGTAAGTCATGTCCAGTGAGATTTTCGAAGAAGGGACTACAAGCAATGGTTTAAATACACCAACAGGCACCACATACTACAAAACATACTACAACATCTGCAGCCAGCCAAATGTCCATACATACTTCTATCTTTCACATCGGTTTGTTCTTTGAGAAATCTTTGATGTGCTTGCTTTCTGATTTCTGTGTCGTTTAAATGTAATCACTTGGCAGTTTGAGCTCATTTTCAGTTTATGTGGATAAACATTATCCCTGGATTCCCTGAAGACAACCATTATTTAGGGAGAAAATAAATATGGTGTCAAGTGTCACTGTATTACTGACTCTCTGCGTTTGGGAAATTAAATCCTAAATCCATCTGAGGTCTATACGTGTGTGGACTAATATAACAAATATTCAGCACTGATCTCTGAAATGGACTGAATACCTGCGTTGGAGGGTTGAGGAGACACGTTGGTTTGCAGTGCTGAGTGGTCACTGGGCAAACACAGACATCATTGATATGACTGTGATATGTATTTGTTTTACTTTGTTGGATACATTAAAAATTCTGCTTATGGCTAAACAAGTGCGTTAAATAAATGAGAAGACAGTCGAGGACATTCAGAGGACATTAAAAACAACAAACTGCAGAACAACAGAGGAGCGCGTCAGACTGCTGTTTACAGCCCTAGCAGCCTGAGGGTAAAAGCTGTCTCTTCAGAGGTGTGGTGTGTTTCAGGTCTGTGTTTTTATTACTGCATTTATCAATTTTGGGGTGTTTTGGGTTATGGAAAGAATACTGAAGAGCTGTGGGACAGACTGCATTTACCTGCGTGGATTCCCAATGGGTTAGGGGAAAAAGCAATAAGGGATTTTGAATATTATTTTTCCACTCTTTTTCATGCTAGGCTGGATTTTTGAAAGTAATTTATGCTTGTATTCTGTAGTCATTTTCCTTTTAAAGTAACTTATTTTTGTTCAATTAAATTAAAAAAAATGGCTTTAAATTGATGTGGAAAATCTGGCTTTGTAACGACTTTGTTGTTTTTTATTGGCTGCAGCCTAACCCAGTCATGATGAGTCAGTGCTAACCTTAATTTGGTGTTGTTGTAACTTTATGTGGAGTGTCTGAAATCCCATATACTACAAAATGTTTCAGTCATCTTGACACGTGCTGAGCTGTCTTATTGGCTGACATGTTTGTCGCTGCTCATTCCTTCATCTAAGTGACGCCTAATCTCTCCTGGCTTTCCTCTGTTGTCTTTATTTGAAAGCAAACTGACCGACTGTTTCATTGGCTGCTGCAATATGATGCAATATCACTTGGCTAATTTGGCACCAGTTGATCGTAAATTGAAGACCTTTGTGTAGCGTCTTTGCATTATTGTGTGCCAGAAGGCTTGTATTTGTTAATGTGTGCTAAAAAAAAAAATTACTTGTGTGAGTGTATGTGTTCCATTATGAATGTATAGACATGCTTTCACTGTTTGACGACGTATTGCATGTGTTTGTGCAAGGATGCCATGATTGATGGCTCAGAGGCCGGGGTTGTTCGGCGGTGGGTTTGAGTTGACATGAATAGCCGCCCGCAGCCATCAAACATGATGCATGTTGGTGTGATGCAGCGAGGAGATAACCTCCAATAGGGAGGTGGACAGGAGCAGGGACACTAATTTATCCATTTGACTGACTCGCCTGTATTACAAAAGCTCGGGGGTGTGGCGGTATCGTCTGCTTCATGATCTGCAGTGGAATGGGTGAGCAGAGAATGATATTAGGAGGCGAGGACTTTGATAAGGAACAGAGGAAAAACTGAATCTGAAAGCAAACAGGAGAAAACAAGTGGAGTGGAGCGTATTAAGACAGCAAAAAGGTACATTTAACAGTGCAGGTGTAGAGGTAGAGAGTATTCTTATGGCCTTGAGAAAGTGTCTTAGAGAGAGACAAAAATATCAAACAAACATGTATATTACCATAGCTTCCCAAAGTTACTGCCAAAAAAACTTTCCATGTTTTGTTGGAAAGATGAAACTGCAGGTCCCGGCTTTTTTTCAGTAGTTTCAGATGGTTAAGTGCTGGAAGTGAGTTGCTTTTTGATGTGTGAGATTAAAGGGATTTAGCACTGAATACCTTCTTGTCTGGACGCTCCTGAGGGTTGTCTGAAAGAGGACGGGAAGCTAAAAGCTCCTCTTTTTCTCCTCTCCCTTCCTGTCTGTCAATCTGACGAACTCACCCCAATTAAAAAAAAAAAAAAAAGACTCCCACATTATCATCCTTGAATTTGAATGTAGGGCTTGTTGTGGGCTGCATGCACATGCCTTAATGTGTGTTTGAGGCAGAGATTATCCCAGCAGTATCCTCTGCTGTTATTTTAAGAGCTGCAAGGAAAATGCTGTGTCCAAAAAGCTGGACACCAAATCCATGGTAACGACCGGAGTAGTAAATTAAATGTTCTGTATTCCATTTCGAGTGGTTACCTTGAGCCACGATCATCTTCAGAAACAGAGTTTTTCAATTGAATTCAAAAACACAAAATTTCTCTGTTTTTTGCTGCCGCTGTTCTTATTGATAGGATTACTATTATCGGTGTGGCACAAAATCTGCGTTTCAGCGAAATTAGACAACTCTGCACATGTCCAAATGCTTCTAAACTGAATAAAATCTTGGTGCATGTATACGCATGTCATGATCGGATTATTTGATTACGCGTCCATATGGATTTGGGTTATTTAATCCCTCAAACTTTTAATCGGATCAAGAAATTTTGCACTTGTAAACATGGCTAAGGTAACCACACCTATACTGCCGTTCACTGACTGCACAACCACAGGATTGATATTAATTTAAGTCTCGTGACATAAACAGATGTATTTTTGTTCATGATTCACTGGCCCAGCCAGTTCTGCAACTTTCTGTGAATTGCAGTGTTACCAAAGCTTAACCCTCACGCACTCTTCAAATCCTGTACCCTCACAGTACCTTCCGGGTCAAAATTGACCCAGACCAAGAATTGCCCATGTAGCAAGTATTTTCACCAAAGTTCTAACCCCAAACCTATTCATAATGTTTAAATGACCTCTGCTACTTCAAAAAATTATTGATTAGTCCTTCCTAAATGTTTCAAAGAGCAGGGAAAGTGTATTTTTTCAGTTTTAACACCACTCGTTTTTTGGTGAAATACATATATTTTGGAGAAGAACATCTATTACATGGGATAATTCAATTCAATTAAATTCAATTCACTATAGCTTTATTCATCACCTAGGGGCAATTGAAAAGCATTAGCTGAGCAAAAATTAAAATAGAATAGAGAAAAAGGAGAAAAAAGTATAAAATCAGTATAAACGTCATCAGTATAAACGTCAACGTCATAAATATAATGTCATCTAATGTTATGTAAAACATAAAAATATAAAAGTCATAATGATTTGAATATATTTTTATGAACAACAAACTTCATATTGAACACTGTTCTCACTGTTTGTCGCTGTTCTCACTGCTAGTCTCTGCATTCAAAGCAAAGGTAGGACACTTTACATGTGTGGAGCTTGCACATGTTTTTGCGAGTGAAATGGCCGCTCTCTGTACTCTCATAAAGTTACAACTCCCACTGCCTCCCTCCCAATCAAACATATTCCAATTTGTTACTTTGTACATTATATTGCAGAAGCAGGTGCACATGTTACATCTGTGTCAAGGCACACTCTGACATCCGGATGACTTCTGATCCCTTTGTTCTCCATCTTTGATCACTCATGTGTTGTTTGTTTACTATTTCTATATTTTAGGATCCCCCTGCCCCTTCAAAGAGTTCAAAGAGCAGCTTTCTGTCACAGAAAGTTCTTGTGACTGGTTAGGTCATCTTGACCTCTGTCTCATTGTGTCTGCGGGACTGTATGTCTGTGTGCATGTGTGTGTGTGTTTCTGTCAAGGTAATGATAGTTTCATAATAATTTGAATATATCTTTTTGAACAACAAACCTTATATTGAACACTGTTGTTACTGTTTGTCACTTGTCCCACACTGCTAGATCTAAAATCCATCTGAATATAGATACGGGTCAAATTTGACCCGTAAGAGCCTTAGAGGGGAAAAATTTGTAGCACATAAACAAAAATACACATGAATATTTTTAAATTAATTTCATGTATTTTGGGCAACTTCAGGAAAAGTCATCAAGTTTCAGGCTTAAAAAATGATGTTTGGGGTATTTTTACTGCTGTTCAAAGTCAAAACGGGTCAAATTTGACCCGAAGGGTATGTAAGGGTTAAGCGTCCTTAATATTTGAGCAAACAAATGCGAATGAGAGGAGAATCAAATGTTGCCTTCACAGTTCTTCATTCTTTTGCATCAACTAGTAGTTTGTATCAAGTGCTATTTAAGAAAATTATTCTGTATTTCTGGGTGGAATTTTGCCAGACAAAGCATTTGATGAAAATTTGGTCAACAGACAAAGTGATGCAAAAGCTGTTTCATACATGCACTGTGGAAAAGGACCTGACTATTTCAGGAGCTCTGCCCCTGAAATTTTCAAGAGTCTCACAAGGCTGGACATGATGTCAAAAGAAGCTGCAGTAGTATGAAGTTTACTCGTGTATCTGAGAGTAAAACTGCTGATTTATTCATTTCAATCATCTATATATTTAGTTTTCAACCTCTGACATAACTTTGAGTGTGAGCCTCTGTGTTGTTGCTAGCATCTGCCTTCAAGCTGCCAGATGAGGAGCAGAGTTGTGTGCTTTTACAGGGATTTATTCCCTTTTTCATCATCATGACAGGTTATTAAGCATATCAACAGTGTCAACAAATGAGTGGAAATAAATGTGTGTGTGTGTGTGTGTGTGTGTGTGTACTGTATATTGGAAAAGCCAATAGAGTGTAAGGCAGTCTCACTATGTCTTTATTTTATTACACTATAATGTGTTTTCAGCTTCACTTTACATGCAGTGCTTTATCTAATAATGTTTTCAATTAAGATGTGCTGCTCAGCAGCTCTGCACATATTTAAATTAAATCTCAGTCGAGAGCCTCTTACACACTGCCATCCCACAACAATGCTAGAAAAGAGTTTCGCCATCATTACACTTTTGTACTTAGACACTGTCCCCTAAAAAGGGGAAATATTGGTATCACAGAGTTTTCTTCCACATTGCATTACAGACACAGTCAGAAATATGTCTCCTGTACTCGTACAGAGCATACTTAGGGTTATCCTGACAAATTCAGTCTTCTTCAGGAGCATTTTTAGAAACGGATACAGGTCTATAGATATGCGCTTCTCTAATAACCTGAAATTGGGTAATATAACTGATTTTCATGCATGCTTACAGTAAACTTTTCCCTGCTTGCAATGATACAACTCTTAAAAATATTTAAAGCTGGCAACTTTTGCAACCAATTCATTCAACAGCAGCATTTTTCTATGAGCAACAAAACGGAACACAGGCCACATGATTTAAAGGTCATCACCTCATGCCCTCTTCTTTGTGGTGGATTTTATAGAAAGGTTATTCTGCGTGCCCACATCAGCTCATCCTGAAATTTGCCAAAAAGTTGATAAAAGGTTGTCTGGAAAAGTTCCAGGTAAAGTTAGGGAGAAAAACTGTCTGTTTTTAAGAGTTTTGAGCATGTGTGAATACAGCTCTGGCACTCATATAATACCTCTTATCCAACTACACATACCTAGGTGAGGCATGATGTTTGTATAATTATATTCAAAGCAGTCTAGAGAATCAAAGTGCCGATGGAAAAATGCTCCTCTTCACCACCTCACAGAAAGTGTTTATGGCTATCACACTCACGCTGAGAGTTTGGGTTATGCCACCGCAAAGAAGGTGAAGATGATTCTGATACGTGTCAGGGTGGCTGAAGGTTAAAAGACCACATAAAAGGTCAGACAGAGAGAGGAGAACCGTGCTTAATCCGTGAAGAAAAGAATTAAGTTAGAGGCATTGGTATTCTTGTGAGCCTCTTATGAAACACATAAAAATTTTTTAAAAAAAACTAGCTTATAATCTCTCTATCATCCCTATCTGCTGTGTGATCACAGAGAGCAAACAAAGCTAGGCAAGCTTGAGTACAGTTTGGGGTTTCGCTCAAACCAAGTTGTCTGAGCAGAATTCGTGCTCACTGGAAAACAAAGTCCAGTTTGCACAGTGGTTTTCTTGATCATAGCGCTTAGGTTGGGTCAGATGAGAGCTCTAAACAGCAACACTTTGAAGATTCAAATGGAGGTAAAGAGATTGATTGTGTGCTGTGTTCTGTGCTGCTCTTTTTCATCTTGGTATTGATTTATCACTGATTGATGAAAACCCTCTCGTCTCCTCCCTTATGAGGATGGATCATATCGAGCGGTTCGTACGGTCACTTCTCATGGCCTATTTATGTACATGTAGGAGCGAGGGGCACGAATGCATCTTTGACTTTATAAATGCATTTATGCATACTGCGTGTGGTTCCTGGAGCATGTGTATTCATGTGTGCTGATGCACGCTTGGCTCCTTTGTTTTATACATTAACTACACTTTAAATGCGGTGTTCATGTATTTCCCAGGTTGCCCAGTGCAGGCAGTGGTTGTAGGATGAGCAATGCTCGGCCTAGGTCCAACTGAGATGGTGCCAGATGGTCTAATCTCTCCGAGTGGGTGTGTGAGAGAAAAAGAGAGAGCGTGTGTGTTTGCAACTACAGATTGGGTATACAGAGCTGCAGTGGCTGTCTTTGAGAGTTTGTGCATTTCTTTTAATTTGTGTTGTGAATGTCACTTAAGGTTTTAGGCCTTGACTGATTGAATATTTTTAGAAAGTAAGAGCTTCTTAGCCAACCCTCATACATTCACACAGTTTGACTACTGTTTAAGGCTCTGTAATTATATGTGTGTGTTTGTGTGCATGATACATTTCCAGAAACACAGGTCTTCTCCTATTTTTAAAAATGGAAAGCTTTAGATACTCTGACTCGCTTTAGGTAAAAATAAATTAATAAATAGATAAATTAATTAATTAATTTTAAAAAACGTCTAGAGGTGATGGTTATCTATATAGTGATGGTTCAACTATATAGTGCCAATTCACAACAAGTGTCATCCCAAGACACTAATGTTTCTGTAGGGAACTTTTAACTAGATTTTAAAAAGTATCTCGCTTCTCCTGATATATCTGTGTCACCTACAACGGCAAATGAGCCCATCGCAGGGAAGATGAGATATTTCTAAATAGTGGAGCTCCTACTTTCAAAATTCATTGCCCACTGACAAAATGATTTACGGCACGCAGGCTGTAAATGGAGAGTGTTGTGGGGCTTGAAAGGATTCAAGTTGGATCCTGAATTAGCCCAATTCCTCTTAGTAAGGTAAGCTGCGCTTTTTTACACTGCTGGCTTATTGATATGAAGAAATAACATAACCAAGGACAGCTGACAACTTTGGCTTTATATACTTATCTATAGCCAAGTTATTCAATCTGTTGTAGGTTTACTGTTATGAACGGGACGTAACTGTAGGCTAAAAATAAAAGTCACAATAATACAACATTACTTAGTTTCACCAGCGGCATACTATATTTCATCTATAGAAATGCAAATATATACATTACACATCCTGCAGATAGTCACAAAAAAATAAAAAATAAAATAAAATTCTATCGGTAAGTCCTGTCTTGTTTCATTCGCCCCCAAAACAACCACATGCCAGACCTAAGACCTTGTATCGTCACGACAGTACGAACAAGAGCTCATGAGAAATGCAGTCATCATTCTGGAAAAGCACTACTGCTTTGTCCATTGCGGCCACCAAACGCAATGGAAAATGAGCACACTGTTCAGCTGCTTTAACATAAAAGCTGGTCTACACTATACTCTTATTACAAAGACCCAGTGTAAAGATGGGATCAGACTGAGTCCATCCTGTAAGATCAGACCAACTCCCATCCATCTTTAACCACATGAGGGAAACACTTGACAGCATTTAGAGTGGATAGGAACTTTAAAAGGTAGAGTTGGTTCTCCCCAGTTAAGTAAACACAAACACATGGGAAAGGAAAGCAAGAGTAAGAAATATCAAAGTTCTCCTTTAATACCAAGCTCTCTCTAGAAACTTGTTTTGATCGGTCAGAAAAAAAGTGCAGATTTTACCTCTGCCTATTGACACTGTGGTAAAAATGCCAGTTCCCACCAACATGTTAAAACAACATGGGAAGCATCTTGACAGTAGAAAACTTTAAATTTGGTTAAAAAAAGATATTAAAAGACTTAAGGAGCTACATGAAAGAGAGAGTACCAAACAAAACAAACAAACAAATTAACAACAAAAAAAAAAAACATGGTACAGGCATAGACAAGCTGCAGACATTTAATGTATCAGTTCAAAAATTTTATGGAAAATAGTTATGTTTTCAATTTGACTTGAAAATTATAACTTCAGTGTCCAATCAAAATGATTATCCCGCAAACAGACGACTTTAAAATATTTACCAGTATGAACATACTTTGGAGAAGTCCATATATCCTGCATGAATTTAGATGCCATCAATTTTAATTTATTAAATTGATTATTACTACTCTTCAAAGACAGATGCATCCTAGTGCTTTGATAATTGTATAGTGTTTAAATTTTTTTAAAGGAAAAGTTGTTCAAATATTTAAGCTCAAGGTTTTGTTTTTCACTTCCTATATGTTGGACATTATTTAGGGCACTCCGTAGAGTGTGCTGTACCACCAGCATGAACTGAAAGACACTTGCCGATGGGCCTAAACTATTCTGGAGGATGACATGAGTTATACATGCAAATCTTCTATAGTTCTTCTCCAATGAACTTTTATAAAACATTCAGGTCTTTGATTTTCCTTAGTTTTTGGCGCTTGCAGCAACATAAATATTCTGTCTGGTTTGGTTGCTCCACTAACCCTCATTCAGAGTCTTTTGAGTGTTGGGGTGTGATACTTTTTGTCCTGCAGATGCCTGAAGTCTCTGTCATTCAGACACACTCTGTATTTCATAACTAATGAAAATCTGTTGTATTGTGCTGTGTAGTAACAAAGCCCTGTGGCCAGTTGGCTCACTTAAACTTGTCTATTTATGAGATAAAGACAGTTTGCAGGTCTAAAAAAAGACTCACCGCACCTCCTCCATTTGAGACACCACAGTACCACACCGTGTGCATGTGTGCTCATCCCCATATCAAGCTGTTTTTCTACTTCAGCAAGACCAGGCTTGCACCTATCAAGAATGTGTTTGCCAACTGAGATTTCGGGTTTTTTTGTAAACCGTTTTGCCCCGAGCCGGAATAGCAGTGTGTGTGGGAGGGTGTGTGTGTTACAAATGACGCTTGGAACAAGACTGACTACTTGACTCTGTTCTCATGCCCTCGTTCTGTGACCTGTCTTAACTGCAGGTTAATCTGTTTTTGCAGAGCCTACTGTACAGCAGGTTTAAATGCTAAGAGTGAATACTTTATTTGTATGTGTTTCACTGAGAAAGAAGGGGGAAAAAATTATGTAGAAGACACACATTTATTTGTGAAATAGTCATGTGTTTAACAAGCAGCTAATTTGCTTGAGCAGATATTGATCCAGATTTTATTTGCCCAATGCATCTGAAGTGTTTTGTCTGTCTTGCTGCAAGGAAAAACTGTGTGAAGCAGTTGCAAGTAAACAAGGTCCTCACCGAGGACGATTCAGACTTCCATTCATTGACATTGAAGGAAATGGTCCGAAACACAAATGTGCGACCCCTCCATGTACCTCTTGAGTCTGGAGAACTTACAAGCTCATCCTGTTTTCACATTCAATTTTATGTCCAATATTGATAAAAACAGAGCTCTCTGCCCTCCCTCTGCATTATGTTTCCTTTTTTTTGGTCTGGAAGCTCATGAATAAGGACCATTTCCATGATGCTGTTTGTCGGATTTTGTCAGTGGTACTTGGACCTAAGATGAAGAATACTTAAACTGTCCATACGTTCTTTGAGGGAAGAAAAAAACAGATCATCAAAATGACAGAAAAGTGGGTGTAATATGGACTCATGACCTTGTCCTTTTTTTTTTTTTTTACATCTGTGGGATATCTTATATTTCATGCCTAGCTATTTAAACACGTGCTGCTGCTGCAAGTGGCAGTGAAGCACTGCTCGAAAGGATACTGTTGTGAATCCCTGAGAATAAAACCCTGCTGAACCACCCTGAAAAGGTTTGGGACTCGCTTTCATTCAGCTTAGGCAATCTCCCCATGTTGGTCGCCGAAAATAGCAGTACAAGGTAATGGACTGAAAAAGGGACACTTTAAAACCCCAGAAGTCCAATGATTTGATGTCAGCCTGCACATTGAATGGAACTGAGGAAGAGGTGGAAGATTTGGCCAGGATTGGTTGTAGCCATACCTCTCTTTTATCCTTCATTATGTTTTAGCTCTGTACTTTATATCATTTTGATGAATACATGAAGCACCACCTTAAAATATTACAAATACATGGCTTAATTATCCGTTTCTATGGTAGAGAAAACTAAATACAACACAGACTTTAGTTGATCCACAAGATATATTATCTACCAATGAAAGAAAAATGCCATTTTTACCTTTTCCATACAATCATTTTTGACTTCTACTTCAAACTGACAACATTATACAATTATCCTTTCGTCAGTATTCATTCTATGAAATCGTATTAATTTGCATGGTGTATTACACCTACTCACAACCTTCCAGACCAAAAGGTACCTGCCTTCTATCAGCGGGGACAGAAGAAGTGTGTATTTGGTGTTGTGTGTGTACAACACATAAATAGTGTTGGCAAGCCAATTAATTTGTTTATGAGCGTGCTCGGCAGGCTATGTGACCTCAGTGCCAACAAGAGTTAGAGTGCATTTAGCGAGCTGATGGCCTCCAAATTAGAACTGTTCTGCATCGACAAAAAATAAAACCAACACGGAGGAGAGGGACAGACAGAAAGACAGACAGCTGTCACTTGCCTGTAATAACTCTATCAATTACTCTTTGGTTTTAGCATTCATATCCAAGGTTCACCACATTTTGTACCTAAAACTTGCATTACATGTAATTGCCTTTTTACCATTTGCTAACATAAGCTTTGAAAATGTATCAAACTTGATCTCAGCCAAGAATTAGTAACCAATGCCCCACCTTAAAGGGATATTCTGGCTTAAATTTATGCTGTAACACCAAGTTAGACACCCCTTGAGAGATTAGTTTTGCCGACCACTAGCTTCTCTAGCTACGATCAGACCGAGACGCTAAGGCAGAAGAACTGCCATGTCTGCAGTGCCAGTACAAGATACACAAGAACTCTTACTGCATCTCTATGAAATAATAATCATAAATGTTCTTCCTTAAGCTGCAAAACTCTGCTGCACTCGGTGAGCGACTCGTCAGGGCTCCCCCACAAACAAGTGGTTGCTGGAAGAGAGTGGGTGAGTTGTGTTTAGTCCATTTGCTAAAGAAATCTGGCAAAGCTAAAAAGAAGTTTGATGGCTAGTATTATGGCTGGGACTCTATATGTACTGTTGATGAAGTTAGGTGCTGTTCTGGGCATTATTTGTGGCTATAGAGTGCTTTTTTTGGTTGAGGTGTGCGTGTGGAGACATAGACTGCTGTGTATTGCTACCGTGTGTTCACTGCTGAAGTTGGTATAACAAGAGAAGCAAACAGTTGGCAACATTCCTCTCTTGAGGCGGTGTCTAACTTGAATTTACGCTGGAATATCCCTTTAATTGTTAGAGTAGTCAAAATAATTGCATCAATATTCTGATGGTTATGTAGTGTTTGGTTGCAGATTTGCAGCTGTTGTCTCTCCACTGCTCCATTACTCTTATGGGCAGAAAAATAACCCTCAGGCCATGATGTCAGGCTCCTGCTCAGGAATAAAATAAAGAAAAATTAGAGCTTAGCTTAAAGTAGGACAGCTCACTCAGGAGCACAGTTGAGTTGAGCTACAGAAACAGCTTGATTATGCGATTTGGTCAGATTTCAGTTCTTGTCCCAGTTTACAAGCGCCTCACAAAAATCAAAGTATTGACAAAAACACGTCCTCCTCCTCTGTGTTAGGTGGTGACATGCCCCCTTTTATGCCCCCCTTTTATTGACCTATAATTTATTAAAACAGTCAGCAAAATATATTAGCAAGAGGCCAGTGGAATGAAAACACAATTTAACGGGGAGTTTCAACATTTATATGTCCTTTTTTCATCTGTACAGGTTTTGTCTACTACCTTTCTTTGATTCCTAGCAACATATTAGAGCTATTCAAGGTCCAGTTAAAAGTCCAATGTGCACAGAGTGCTTGGACCACTTTCAGTCCAATTAAGCTGTATACATGGATAAGAAAATCAATCCTCGGCCACATTATCCAGGTATGTTATGCTGTCTTTGAGAATTTTGATTGAGTGTGATTCAGCTGGACTAATGTGTTCTCATGTTTTTTTTAGTCCAGTTGAGCTTAGGCAAAAAATCGATTTTTTGAAATCCATGTAAACATACTGACTTTTTTTTTTATTTTTTTTTTACCCCCGTAAATACTTATTGCTGTTTGAACGAGCAGTGCAGCAGTATATATGTCATCTCTCTTAATTAAATTCAGTGTTTGAAAAAATAAATAAATAAATAAAGCCCTCATCTTAGTGACCTTTTTTCTACAGGCGTAATAGAGGACATGAACTGATAAACTTAGATGCAGGATTTTCTTTGGCGTATGCTGTATGGTGAATGACTCAGTGATGACTGTGAGTTTACATTTTATTTTAACTCTCATGTTAATAGATCTGCTCCTTTGTGATGAAGCATTAACTTTCTAAACGACTGCTCTTTTATATTACCAAATGTGATTTTGCTTTCCCCCACCATCTTTTTCAAAGCATTCAGACCACCACTGAATGAGCGTTTCATTTTGTAGTCGATATTCTGCCAATCTCCAGCAGACAGTGGTTGTGCTTCTCATAACTGCAGCCTGTTAAGCTCCTGTGTGAAGAGCAGCAGAGTATGTTTCTGTACACACAACTAAGACTTCCACTAAATTGTAGGTTTATGTAATATGAGACTTAAAACGTTTACACTGCTGCAAACTACTTCATCCCTTAATATTTTCTGTGAAAGCTTTATGAGATCGGGGAAAGGCTGATTCTCTCGAACTTTTAAAATTGCTGCGGCGATTTTATGTACAGATTTACGGTACAAAAGCCTTTGACAAAAAGCAAGCGAGAGAAGTTCAAAGGGTGATCATCAGGTACAATGATAACTGTTCAGACACTCAGTGTGGTAATACCATTGTCTTTTCACCTCTTTGTTAGAGATTTAAGTTATGAAAAATATCATCCAACACATGCAGCAGTTGTTTATTCCAAAGCAAAGGTTTAAGAAGATGTGGATTGATTCTTACTTCTGTCCAGATTTAAGATAAGTAAAGTACTCGTGTGATATTTTAGGGTGACCAAAATATTGCTGTTAATCTCCAGGATGTAAGAGTTTGCCCCTTGCCTCTCTAGTTTTACCAACTTCAGTAACGATCACAGAATAGCATCACACAGCGGTCTATGTCTCCACAAGCAAACCTTAACAAAAAAGCCACTCTATAGCCACAAACAATGCTCAAAACTGCGCATAACTTCATCAACAGTACATATAGGGTCACAGCCATAGTACTAGCCACCAAAAATCTTTGCTTTGCCTGATTTCTTTAGCAAAGAGATCAAACACAACTCACCCACTCTCTTCCAGCAGCTGCTTGTTTGTGGGGGGAGCCCTGATGAGTCAATCACAGAGTGCAGTGGATAATTTATGATTATTACTTCATGGAAATTCAATTAGACCGAGACGCTTAGGCAATAGAACTCCCACGTCTGCAGTGCACATACAAGATACACAAGAATATGGACCAGAGCACCTTCCAGACTTTCCATCATGTTCGTTTACAGATTGCAATTCCATGAAGAAATGATCATAAATGTTCTTCCCCGAGCTGTGAAACACTGCTGCACTCTGTGATCAACTCCTCAGGGCTCCCCCACAAAGACCGCTGTGTATTGCTATCGTGCGGTTGTTGCTGAAGTTGGTATAAATAGAGACTCAAGCAGATGGCAACATTCATCTCTCAAGGGGTTGTCTAACTCAGTGTTATGGTGTGTTTGACCATAACTTACATTCAAGCTGGAATATTCCTTTAATGCCATCCAGACTGACAAACACCAGAAGGACATAGAAACACAACAATGAAAGAGTTTGTTCTTACTGACAATTTCTGAATACAGGGTAATAAATTCTGGGCACAATGGATTTTCAGATGTTAAATGGGGACAGTATCCGTTTGAGAGACTACTTTGATTACCAAGTGGCACGACAGTGAAAAACTACTCTAATGAAAAAGTTAAACCTTCATGGAAATTAATAAGTTAATCATGAAGCTCTTAGTTCCAGTTGTAACTGGTTGAGAACACATTGAACCCATAAAATGTTCATGCAGTCATGCACACATAATACAGTTCAATGTAAATATTAATATTAACGGCTCGCTCTTCACATTAACTATGTGTCACAGAACCGCAAACTGAAACAGTGTGTCAACTACTGAAGTTAAAATGTAGCTAAACATTGATAAAAATGTAAGAAACAAGTGGTTGTTACTAGACTAGACTGGTTCAAGATCTGCTACAGTAGACACAAGATGAATATGAAAAACCAACACCGTGACGCTCAGGAAGGCAGCAACTTTTTGAATGGCATGCAAGCCACTGTCAGCCATGGGACGGTGGATAATTGACAGCGTTTCTATGGGGGTGTGATGGATTGCCTGATTAGGTATCCTGGCAGAGGCACGCCTCACAGATGGCAAATTGAACAGTAGACAGATGCCCCCGGTCCCCCCTCCCACCCACTGAACAAACTCAGTACCCCCACAGTCTCACTGCGTCCTCCCAAGTGTTGACCTCTTCCCCGCTCTTCTTTGCCCTGCTCTCTCTCTCTCTGTCCTTGCACTCTTCAGTGGCCTCTATTCAGTCTGGCTTGTTTGTATGAGCCAGGTTGTCTGAAGGTTTGGCGTTCCTTGATTCGTTTAATCAGACTCTGATTACAGAGAAAGGATCTGCAGGAGAGGGAAGATTTTGGGTGGTGAAAGCCTAATAAAAATTTCACTGGCTGTATGCAACAAAAAAGTCTGTAGGAAGAAGTCTTGTTTGATGGACAATCTGAAAACCAAATTAGATATTTTCTGATACTGTATGGTTTAGGTTTATATTAATCTTAAACTCACCACTAATTAGTGTCTGGCAATGCTATTAAATGTGGGAATAGATACTGACTTCTCAGTTATTATTCCAGTGTGGCCAACAGTCAGGCTCAAATGACTTTATGCAAAGAGGTCAATTTCCATGAAGTGCTTACATCCGCAGATGAACACCATTTACTGGACCATTATGATCCCTTGAGCAGCCCCAATTCAACTGTTTTAAGTAGGTTTCAGTGTTATATGGAGGCCTCACCCTGGCTCACTTCAGCAGCACAAACCCTATAAAGAGACTTGTTTCCATTAGATTAGTGATATCTGAACTGCTCCTTGATAGCCAAGATAATAGGCATCATGCCAGATTATCAACATACTTGTTGAAAATGTTAATATTTTTGATCTGGTACACAGTGTCAGCTGCACTTACGTGGAGATATCTGTCTATGTGGACATAAGGAGAAATCTGATGGAATATTCAAGGGTTTTTAAGAAATAACAGCAAAGATTGACTTGCATCAGAAGAATTTAAAACACTGAACAAGTCCAACAAGTCATGTTTAACCCTCTGGGATCCTTAAAAAAAGTTACGTTACAGACCTTAGATGGACAAGGTCTTTAATGTAGTGTTTTTGTCACACAGTGAATATTGACCTGACATAATAATGAGTGGTCACATTTTAAAATTTGGAAAGAAAAAATAACACAGCCAAAATAATCAACAAATGTAAAGTAAAGAGTCAACAAAATGGACAAAAATGTCCTAAAATCCCCAAAAGTTTAACAAAAAGCTTTTTTTTTTCTACAATGTTTTTGTCAACTATCAGTATAAAGAAAATATGTGTATTTACCAGTGCCAACAATCCAAGAACTGTCACTATGGCTGGAATCTCTATTCAGACTGTTATTCCTCTGGCTACATTAGCTAGTTGGGGTCCAAGTTCTGATCGTCTTTAAAGGTTACTTACTTTATTTTAGTATAAAAATACTACATAAACAAGATAAATCACATGTTTTAGAACAAACCTTAGACCCAAAACATGTGATGTTTCTTGTCATTATGCTATGGAGCTCATCAATTTCACTGCTTCAAATGGAAGCAGCAGACAATCGCTTTCACCATTGAAAAATCCAAATGTTGCCTGTTAGATAAACTGGTTTGGTTTTCAGTTCAAATACTGAGAGAAATAACCAAATAAATAGCCAACACAGATCCTCAGTGCTCTGTGTGATGGATCAAATGTGCTTGTTTGCCTCAGAGTAAAAGATTTTCAATTGTTGTTGGAAAACAAAGAAATTCAGCTTTTTAAGACCAAAACATTTTTTTTTTCTTTTGGTTGACAAATGTATTTACCCCAATTGATAAATTAACTGATTGTTTCAGCACTTTTCAAGGTTATAAGTCATCTTCCTGGTTGTTTTTCCCTTAAAGTTTATCAACTCTCAGCATTGAGAACTTGAACTGTTTCTCATTTGATGACTTGACTAGGATGAAGTGAGGGGATTTTCAAATGTGATTTGTGCATGTGTAATGCATTTGCCACATTCTCTCCTTGTGTATGTATGTTTGTGTGGATTTGTGTGTGTTTGTACAGCACAGAGGGAGCTTGTAACAGCGGCCAGTGCATCATTAATACTGTCTCCCGCAGATGTACCATCATTCTTGACAAATCACCGGGGTCCGCCATTGGGAACATTACAATCCCCTCTGCACGGCAGAAGTACATATGTACCATGAAAGGGAACACAAGTTTTCTCTCTTTGCCACACTGGAGGCTTGCGGGGTGAAAGGCTCTGGGGTCTCGGTGAAGGCTAAGTACACGCACACAGAAAGTAAGCCTTCTTTCTGATGCGCAGCTAATCAAGCTTTAATGCGTTGCCTCGCCTTTTAGGTCCATACGTTTCGTCTTTCTTCCCTATCTCCAGCTTGGAAATGCCCTTCCTGCACCTCTAAATACCCTCAAGCATGTCTTTGTTTTATCTCGCTTGACTGACTGTATGTTTTCTGAATTTTCTTTGCAATAAAGGGTAGCACTCTGGCCAGCGAGTGGCCCCCCTCCTTGTACAAGATTATGTGGGCATCTGTATTAGTGCCATTGCACTAATGGTTTTTACCTATGTGTGTGTAACTTTCGCCGCCTTGCTGCTAAAGTGTCCCATCGCTCCAGTGGTTTGGAAAGCGTCTGTTATATTCAGTCCACGGAGCAATCGTGGGATGCAGATGGAGCTGGAGCTTGTCATGTCTACGGCTCTCTGCAAGTGCCCTTTACAAATGCCACAGACAGTGACGAGTAGGAGGGAACCGTGGCTCCATCTCCATCTCCATCTGCATGCCTGACCAACCCGGGAGCCAGTGTGTCAAGTGTTAAACTCACGGTGAAATGAGCTTTGTAATCCAATGATATCTTGTCAGCTCAAATCTGCTGTTGAGACGTGAAGTGCATTCTTTTTTTTGCTAGAATACCCTGAAAACAGTTAAAGGAAATGGGGGGGGGGGGGGGGTAGCGTTTCATTTCCCAGGGTCGATAAAAGAGGGTAAGACCTCCAGATAAAAGAATAAATAAGAGACACAGTGGTGTTTGTTCGTAAATACAGTCAGACATGAACGCACACATGAAATACAAAGTCAGGCCGTTTAATGCAGGTGGAAAACAAAGCACGCAGCTTTTCCACCTCAGCAGTCATGAGAATCAATTTAATGTAGTTTTATTCTGGCAGGCATTCACACACTCACATGTTCACAGTGGAAAACAAAACAACACACATCCATGCTTAGACTTCCTCTGCTCAGCCTGATTTGCTCTCCTGGTCCGTCCCTCGAGTGTGTGTTGGTGCGCCCTCCTCACTATGAATGAACAGAGCACAGGTGGGAAAGACACAGGTGGGTTTGAATGATCTCACACACAAACATGTTCTGTAAACACACGCACACATGATGTAAAGTCTGGAAGGTGCTCTGGTCCATCTGCTATCATAGGTTTACGAGTGGGAAGTGTGTGTGTGTGCATGTGTGTGTTTGTCTCCTCTCTCTTACTAATCCTCCCACTCATTCACACCCACTCGTACTCACTTTTCCTCGCTCTACTTCTCTTCTTCCTCTTTCACTCCCTCTTTCCATCTTTCTTTGAATACCCACCTTCTTTGCTAACTTTGTAGGATGCTCTCTCTCTCTTTGTTTTCTCCCTCCCTCTCCCTTGTCTATGTTTGTGATGCCAGGATCAATCAGTGGGTTAATCCTAATACTGGTTGAGAGCTGTTGGCTTTGGTGTCAGTACACATGCACACACACACACACACACACACACACACACACACACACACACACACACACACACACACACACACACACACACACGTAAGAGCAGTCTTGCAGGTTTTAAGGTAACACTTAAGCCTGCTTGTAAGTGGGCCACCATTTAGAATCATGGTCAGCTTGAAGCTGCTTATGTGTGTGTGTGTGTGTGTGTGTGTGTGTGTGTGTGTGTGTGTGTGTGTGTGTGTGTGTGTGTGTGTGTGTGTGTGTGTGTCTGTGTGGAGAGATTCTCCCTAATCCTGTGGTTTTATCAGGTGTTTGGATTCATGTTTCTATAAGTCATCACTTTATTTTGGTAACTTTACTTCTGTTACATATACATCCACACTCACAGAAGTATGCACCTGCAAGAGACCTACAGAGGCTTCATCTTCCAACTTGGTCTGCCAGTGCATTTGAGGCCACACTAATATCTGTATTTCTCCCTTTCCCATCATGGCAAACCTTTTCCTGCACATCCTTTAAATAGTAGAATAGCAAAAGTTTGTGTTTATGCATTAACACTTGAGTGTGTTAGAATTAAACAGAACTGAATGACTCGTTTGGGAATCTCTGAGCTGCACTTTATTAACATATTCCGTGGTGTTGTGCATTTTTTTCAGACTCTATTCTTCCTCTCTGATACCCCTTTAATAGTTTTACATGATTTTCAGATTTAAAAAAAAAGCCTTGTGTTTCTCACTCTGGTGTATCAAAATATCAATATCTCATATTGTGTTACAGTATTTTACCTATTTTACCTCAAAGAGGCAACCAAGTGGACCAGTAAAGTATTACCACTCTTAGACGTTTTTCTCACTTTTTAGGTTTCAATCATACAATCATAGAATAGAGCACAATGTGACCGGCAATGGGGTTAGTGAAAGTTGACAAGACATCTCTGAGCAGTGGGTCTGTCTGTATTTGATACCTGGAAGCACAGATGTCACAGATGGTACTTGAAGGAGCTACACATCTACATAAAAACTGCACATTGCTTAATATGGTGGAAAACTTCTTGCACCAAAGCAAAGAGGTAGAAAGAGGGTCTGATGGCAGCTAATGAAACAATGTCTTTTCATCTGCTCACACATCCCCAATTCTGCAAATGCATGACGGAAGAAACTGATATCAATAATTCGAAAATGAGCCACAAGGACTAAATTTTTTTGTAAACCAAGATGTAAAAATGATGAAATTTGCTGTTAAGATAAGAATGAATGTGGTGTGTGATAAGTTCTGATTAGCTTTGGCTTCCAGCCTCAATAGGACTAAGGAGGAACTGCAGCTTTTCTCATTCCTCCATCAACTTCATTGGAGATAGCTGCTTCATCTGAATCTAAGAAATTAGGCAACACTTCGCTCTCGCATACCTCAGCCTGGCTATGATATTTTTTTCTGAAATATTGTGTTTCTTCAACAAATTTATTTCAAAAATAGATAACAATAATAGCCACCATAGCTACAGACTCAAGGTGTTAGATGATCATCCCACTGAGTAAAAAAATGTTTGGTACAGCTCTGCTATTTGTGTCAGTAAAGACCATTGGAAATGTCTTCAGGAAAGCTCCTTGGAGAGAAATCGTCTGTGTGCAGCAAGAGGTTCCTTGAGTATACTACCGCCCACTAGGTTTACCACATTTTCATACTGTATTATAAGTCCTGAGACTCAGGTGGAAGACTAGCCAATAACCACTGGTTATTTTTGCTTTTTCGCCTGGTGAAATCTTCATACAGCTTCTCTGTCTTTCCTCGCTCTTTTTCTTTCTCACTTTCATCTGGTGGCTCCATGGAATTGATTTCTACCCGCCTGTCTGCTGCCTTTGTGAGCAACTGAGAGGGAAAAAGAGTGAGATGGAAGGTCCTATTTTTCCTTCAAGGAGGGTTTCACACTCCTCCCTCGAAGGAGGCTTTTCGTGCTCACCCCTTTCGGTATTTGGACAAGATCAGAGGGAATATGTGGGCACGAATGCATCGGGTTCGGTCTGGCTTTTTTGGCTGGAGGATGCTGTGGAGACGGGTAGCCTTCAACCCACAGAATCAATTCACCAGCAGAAAACTTCACCGTACTAAATGATAACACACCTTGAGAGGCTTGGCCTCTGACACTGGAGAAAAATAGCAGCGTGAGAGAACTGTCGTGGGAGATATAAACATATTTTTGTCAGCAAGCCCAAAGTTGGCTCTATCATCTTGTGTAGGCAAACTGTCCCTTTGGGAGCACAGCAGTTTTTCTGTGTGCTTTTGTCTGAAGACAAAAGTGTCTACTGTAATGTTATTCTCAGCCTGAACTAGAGTCAACATTATCCTACTGTCAACATTGAGGGGTCTTCTACCTCTTCTCATGAGGAGAGTTCATTGAAATGTAGCTGGTACGGTGCACCTATCTGTTATATAACAACACCGACTCTGATTCGGCCTCGCCATAACAGACTGGCTGTGTTTGTATTTCTAACATTTTGCCAGTGTAACTGAGAATACTTTATATCAGAGTTCAGATCATATCAATACTGGTACTGGCACTGGTATTGTACTGCCCTGCAGTCTAAATTCAGAGTTTGAGTTTGTCCTATTGGGGTTACCGTTGTTACACAGCACACTTCAGTTTGAGGTTTGTCCTGTTAGATTTTCCGTAGTTGCAAAGTAAATTGCACAGAGCCGTGTCAAAAGTTCACCTGTGTTGAGTCATGCTGCAAAATGTTATTAGGCTGTTTAAGGACATCTGTCTGTGAGCATTAGCTATATTGTCACAAGACGTTACTTCATGTTAGATGCTCACATAAAGCACTTTAAGTTGTGTTTTGTCTAAAAAGTCTGAGAAAAAATAAGACACTAATAGCGCTAGTATCCCTATGGGTTTTTCAATGTAAATTAGCGTCATGCTAATCGCTAGTGATTCGTATGTTAATTCAGTTGTAGCTTAGCCTGCAATAATGATTTACATATATTTAGTCTATATGACTGCTGGATTCACAGTGTTTATGTGACTTCTGCTAGTAAGACTTACAGCTTTGGTTGTGATATGCACCTTTTCATTTGTTACAAAAGTTACAAAAATATGTTTTACAAAAGAAAGAAACAAGGAAAAAGCATCCAGTCAGTTTCAATAAATGTAAAAACAGTAAGAGGCATCCTGGTGTTTTTTTGTTTTTTTTTGAGCAACTATTAGTTATCTGTATAGCTAGTTCAATACACTACTGAGGGCAGAATAGGTATAAAAAACCTCATGGATATTGCCATGAATCGCTCGAAGGCTTCTTAAAAGGACACGAATCATACAAATTGGCTCACTGTGTAATTTTGAATGTATGGATATTTTTGGCTTTAAAGGGGAACTTAGCTCCAAATGACAAGTTTTAAATAACACAAATTCCCATCCTGTCAACCTTAAATAGAGGACAACTCAACTAAAAAGCCTTCTGAGAAAATTATCAAATTCATATCAAAGCACAATTTATCTTCCTCATTTGTCATTGAGATTCCCCACCATAATGAAAGTCCAGTAGCGACAGCCTCTGAAGGAACTGACTGTCTTTTTTATACCAACACATCCTTCTGGCCACATAAAGATGTCCTCCATTAAACTACTGGCAATTAAATTAGCAGATCATCTCTTTGAGAGCAGATAATCCACACCTCTCTGTGGTCGTCTCCATTGCCCCACCAGTGAGTGAAAGCATTTGCACAGCCTCTTGTCGTAGCAAGATACGCATGCTGTGCCCCCTCCTGTCTAATCTCCCTGCTGTTGAAAATACAGCAATTCATCTATGTCAAGGCAATTCATTTAAGAAAAGCAAGTCCTGAGAGCTGGGAGATTTACAGTAGCCCAGGAAAAAAAAAAAAAAAAATCTGCAAATCCTGATGAGTTTGGTTAGCTCTTGCTGAGGGTTACAGTGAAATGTCTTGAAAAACTAAAAATAACAGAAAAACAAACTCCTCAACATGACATATTCTGCAAATATGATCCCAAGAGATTCACACCCAGAAAACTGACAAACATTTGCCAAGAATGATTGAAAATCAGTGTTCCTAATCTAGCCCTAAACAGGTGGCTGATGTGTGGGGTGTGAATATCAAGTAAAATCAGACATTTACCAGAGTGACACATCTTCTACCTACAGTTTTCTTATAATGGCAATCTTCATGATGGGAGAACCAGAAGTACAGTTTGTCTATTATTCTATAAAAATACACTACAGGCCAAAACTATGGAGGCAAGATCAGATTTGTACAAAAAAGGATCATAGTTTCATATATATAATTTGCAACACAATAAACATGACTATTGTGTAAAGAGTAACTTATCAGAAGGCATTTTGACTATAATTATTAAGGTATTTAAGTTATTGTTGCTTAGACTTTGCTTTCTTTAAAGTAACCTCTTCTGGCTTTAATAACAGCTTGGCATATACCAGGCATTCGTTCCACAAGTTTTTTAAGGTATGTTCCAGGGATTGAATTCCAAGCTTTCTTAGGTTCATTAAAATGAGACTGTTGATTCATGGGACGCATTTTTCTGACCGATCATTCCAATTCATCCTGCACAAGCTCAATTGGAGAAAGGTCTGGAGACTGAGGAGGCCAAACCATCTTTTGAAGAACACCTTCCTCCTCTTTTTTGTCTCGATAACCCTGACAGAGCTTGGCAGAGTGCTTAGGGTCATTGGGCTCTATTTTTGTGCGCGCCGGTGAGGCGACGGAGGGCTCAGCCCGGCGTACGGCCAGTTTGGTATTTTCGTGGACTGAGGCGCACGGAGGTGAGCCGAGATCCACCAAGCTGGGCGTGGTGGCGTGGCAGGGGGAGGTGTCAACAGAATCAGCGGGCGCAGTGACATTTTCGTGCTCGCCACCGGCGTGTAAAGTGCGCTGAAAGCTCGCCGATTCAAACCTGGTCAGCTTTCAGCGCAGGCGGAACGCAGCTGGTCTAGTAGTTTTTTGGTAGACCGGCGGCGTATTGGCATACGTCACTGATGCCTCACCGGCAGGTTTCCACAGGGTCAGGCAAATTACAGTGCAATAAATAATCATCAACAACTAATAATCTGAGTCAGCACATACATTTAGATCTATATAGATATATTCTGATCTATATCTGATCTGATGAGCGCGTTTGGACACACAACCTGACCAAATCAACACAGCTGAAACCGCATTAAATTAAATTAAATATCTAGTAAATAGACACACATGATGAAGTTAACAAGATATTTAATTTGTCTCCCTCCCTTTCTTTCTTCCTCTTCCTCTTATTTCTCGCGCAGCTCGACCTGGACATGTCTCGGCTGCTGCGGCTGAACAGATGATTTGTTTCAGTGCCCAGATGCGTTATCTACTTTAAGCCGACATACGAATATTATAATATTAAGTTTTGTGAGGCAAATTTATTTTTTATGCCAACATCTATGAAAGAAAGAGCCAGGCCACGGAGCGCGATGCGTCATTTACGCACAGATGGTTCCAATTTTAATGCCATTTTTGGAGTTTATGTTGTGATCTGTGCGCACAACCCACCTTTGTCACATGAGGTTTGAATATGTGCAACTTTATGTGAGTGTCTTTATTTGTGGAAAAGGGTGTTTGTCTTACCAGTGGGTCCAACATTACACACACCAAATCCATCTGTGCTCATATGAGAGAGTGTGGAGGACGCCCAATGCAGCGCTTTCAGTGTCACTAGTTGAGGAGCTGCCTTCTGTTGCCATCTTGTGGCATTACTGTCTTAAGACATCTCTTGATCTCTTTGACTACTTCATGGAAATAGTAATACGCCTCGCCTGTGGCGGATTTAAAGGCAAGGAGAGGAGCTGATGTGATTGGTGAAAACAGGTCTCGGCTGTGTTAAACCCACTCCACGCCCTTTCTCCTCCCTCGCTACGACTTACGCCGCTGGGAGGAGCTGAGTTAGGGAGGGGGGATACTTACGCCGGGCTCTGCTGCTTACCAAAATACCAAATTGTGCTTGGGAACGCCTTGTCGGCACGTCTCTGGCAAGGCACGACAATAGAGCCCATTGTCTTGCTGCAAAACAAACTTACGAGCCACAAGTCTGAGCCCAGATGGAACAGCATGGTGCTGGAGGATGGAGTGGTACTGTTCCTTCTTCATAATACCCTTTACTTCAAACAAATCTCCTACTCCATCACCTGCAAAACATCCCCATACCATGGAACTACCACCTCCATGCTGAATTGTGGGTGTAACACATGGTGCTTTCAGACGTTCACCAGTTTGTCTGCGGACATAGACTGTGTGTTTTGAACCAATCAGTGCAAACTTGTTTCTAGTCATCATAAGTCTAATTTTTGTGAGCTTTTGCCCACTCATATCTCTTTTTCTTGTTCTGTGGACGAAGTAGTGTTTTTTTGCAAATACACAACCCTTCAAACCAGCCTTTCTCAAACGTCATTTCAAGGTTGTCAGAGATATGGGTTTCGACCTTGTCATGTTGATTTCCTCCCTTATTTATGGTGCTGTCTTTTGCCGATCTCTCTTACTGGTGACAATGCTATGTTTATCCTCTGCTTTTGTAGTAATCCTCTTTTGTCCAGGTCTTTTTCTATCATCATAACTTCCAGGTTCCCCTTGTCTCTTCAGAGTGTCGTGGACTCCTTTGTTAAACACCTTTAGGTGTTTTGCAATTTCTCTTTCTGTGTATCCTTCTTTCCGCAATGTACAAATCTGTACTTTTGTTTCTTTACTCAGTTGCTTCTTTCTAGCCATTTTTGTGGTAGTTTGAATGCAGTTGAGATTTATTAGGATTTTTGTACAAAGACTCTCAAAAGCCAAAGAGTTGAAGTGATTAATCCAACTGTGATTAGTTTTTTTGCTTTTGCACTGAAGTTGTGACTCTTGCAAATTTTTTCAACCCTAAAACTAAGCCCTTATTATCTTTTGCTGACATATATTTAGCAATGGTCTGTTAACATCACTGTATATCTAAAGGTAAATGGAGTAAAATGGTGCATTTCCATGAAAGCAACATCTGATCATGGAGTAAATACATCCCAAAATACATAAAACTTGTGCTGGATTTTTAAAAAAAGCATTGTGAACAAAAACTTGAATTTACTCCCAACTGTTCGGCCTGTAATGGCCTTGCTTCCAAACTTTTGGCCTGCAGTGTGGGTACAAAAATTACCCCGCTGTATAACACCTTTAAGCATAATTTTTGATTCTGATTGGTCAATTTTCCAAAGCAACAGTCTGTTGTTTTCAGACAGCCCACGCTACTATGGATACAGCTTTAATCAAAGACACCAGTGGAACTAACTGTAATCACATTTTAGTGTTTGTTTTGCTGTAAGGCCAAGTTAAATCAACATCAGCTTGTTTACTGTAGGAAAAAAAGTAAGGAGAGAAAACTGCAGAGAAAATGCAGAGGAGGTTTTCGCGCAGAAGTCTATCCAAACTGGAAGTGGTTCATGAAGTAATTACTTAGCTGAACATGGTTTAACTCAAAGATATGAGTGAGAACCAACTACTTGAAAAGCAAAGATCCACCATCTTAACAGTTAGAGGCCGAAAATCCTATTCAGATGTAGTCTGATTCAGATGTAGAAATGTTCAGTTTAACGTGTGTGATCGCCGCTGTGTTTGCGTATATGATTGGGACTGCATAGTGACATAGAGCGTTTTGCAGGTCAGACTAGTAAGGAATGGAAGTTGGTGTATGTAGTTAAATTCAAATTGAGCTATAAATCAGTCCATTTTTATCTAGGTAAGGAGTGGGTCAACAGAAGTCACAGGGCTCTATTTTCGTGCCTTGCCGGAGACGTGCCGCAGGCGTGGCATAAGTCAGGTCCGCTGCGCTGACAAGGCATTCCCAAGCACAATTTGGTATTTTGGAGTGCGGCGCAGCCCGGCGTGAGTATCCCCTCTCCCTAACTCAGCTCCTCCCGTTGCGTAAGTCATAGCGAGGGAGGAGAGAGGGCATGGAGTGGTTTTAACACAGACGAGACCTGTATTGACCAATAACATCAGCTCCTCTCCTCGCCTTTAAATCCGCCACCGGCGAGGCGTATTACAATTTTCATTAAGTAGTCAAAGAGATCAAGAGATGTCTGAAGACAGTAATGCCACACGATGGCGACAGAAGGCAGCTCCTCAACAAGTGTCACTGTAAGCACTGCAGAGGGTGTCCCTCACACTGTCTCATGTAACCACAGATGGATTTGGTGTGTGTAAGTTTGGACCCACTAGTAAGACAAACACCCTTTTCCACAAATAAAGACACTCACATAAAGTTGCATATATTCAAACCTCACGTGACAAAGGTGGGTTGAGCGCACAGATCACAACATAAACTCCAAAAATGGCATTAAAATCTGAACCATCTGTGCGTAAATGACGCATTGCGCTCCGTGGCCGGGCTCTTTCTTTCATAGATGTTGGCATATAAAATAATTTTGGCTCACAAAACTGAATATTATAATATGCGTATGTAGGCTTAAAGTAAATAACTCATCTGAGCACTGAAACAAATCATCTGTTCAGCCGCAGCAGCCGAGACATGTCCAGGTCGAGCTGCGCAAGAAATAAGAGGAAGAAAGAAAGGGAGGGAGACAAATTAAATATTTTGTTAACTTCATCATGTGTGTCTATTTACTAGATATTTAATTTAATTTAATGCGGTTTCAGCTGTGTTGATTTGGTCAGGTTGTGTGTCCAAACGCATGCCAAACGCGCTCATCAGATCAGATATAGATCAGAATATATCTATATCTGATCTAAATGTATGTGCTGACCCAGATTATTAGTTGTTGATTATTTATTGCACTGTAATTTGCCTGACACTGTGGAAACCTGCTGGTGAGGCATCGGTGACGTATGCCGATACGCCGCCGGTCTACCAAAATACCACTAGACCAGCTGCGCTCCGCCTGCGCTGAAAGCTGACCAGGTTTGAATCAGCGAATCGGCAGGGTCCTCCACCCTCCACCGCCTCACTGGCGGACATGAAAAATAGAGCCCACAGTCTTGTAACGCCATATTTTGACATCAGCATAGAGAAGACAAACTGACTGATTGTTGTTTGCAAAAGTCTTTCTGAAGAAGGTTTTTAGACTGAAAACTTGTTATGCATCACAGGAATATATTTCAATTGTCTGCTAACAAACCCCTATAATCGATATTAGACTTTATATATTTTGCCATGCTTTTATTTTGAATTCTGTTTCTTTAAGATGTTCTTTTGTGCTGTTGTTTTATGAGTCACTGCTCCTGAACTTTTCCATGTTTTTGATTTTGGACATGAATTCAGGGCTGTGAGTTTGTGGTTGGCATGTTTGCTGCTGTTTGCTATTTTCACTCATGTGTGACTCGAACTCTTTTGGGAGAGAAACCTCTATTAAATGTCGTCCAGAGAGAGCTGACAGTGCAATCACGTCTATCAGGGTCTCACCTTGTTCGACATTTTAAATGATGATGCTTTGAACTGAAGCTTACTCATGCATCTGTACTTAGACCAAAATACAAATCCAGCCCACACCAACACACAGGACTGCTTTAAAGTCCATCATTGGTAATGTACATTGTGCTTTATTTGCAGTTTCTTTAATGTCATTTCTGCTGTGTGTCATATTATAACTTTGTGAGTGACAGAAGAGAGAGGAAAGAGGAGGAGACCAGATGGTGGGTGAGAGAAATAATTACTGCCTTTTCTTTATGACATTTACAACAATTATGAGACAGGAGTTTGCCAATGCATGTTGTTCTAAGAAAAGGACATCTCTAGTGTCTTGTGCACCAACTTGTGTTTCAACAGAATATTAAGAATAGTGTTAACTGAAAAACTAGAACTGTAATGCCACTAAGTGCTAACAAGAGAAATCCGAAGTGTCTTTTGATTTTGTGTAAAACTGTTAAAGTGATGGATAAATTACTGTTTTTGTCCAGGGTTGCAAATGGGTTCACAGTTTCAGCTTCAAAATTAAAGCAAAAGTCATTTGAAGTTCCAGTATGTGATCATTTCTCTCATCAACGCCATTGGTCTGACTTTGGTCTTGAACTTCTTGCTCCCTGCAGTGTTTGTAGCGAGTTTCTCTGATTCCCTCTCAAAGTCATTGTGGTGAATTTTGGAGGTGTAGAGTTCACTGAAGCCGAGCAGGCCAGCGATGGAGATAGCTGTGATTGCCTGGATCTGTCGCCTTCTGCTTTGGTTCACCGCCAGCTTTGTGGTTTGACTTCCAATCGACTTCAGCTCCAGATGTTCGCAGCTATATGCCTGGTGTGTTTGTGTGTATGTGTGAGTGGGGATTTTTGGCTTAAGATGGGTGGGTGTGACCACATGCATTTGTGTCACTGGGCTGCCACTTGTGTGAGTGTGATTTGCGGTGTGGAGTGTGTTTTCTTTCACCTTGTGTTAGTGATGTCTGAGTGGCCAAACAAACAAAATCTGTGAAATTGCATGAAAGGAGTTTCTTAAACATGTTTGATACCAATGGAAAAACTAGACTTGAGAAGAGAAAATAAAGAAAACATTGGTGTTAATGACATTGTTGCGGGTGATCTACAATTATTAAGTGCGCAATTGTAAACAAGTGAAAAAGTGTCGCGGACCGGGTTTTGCGTGCGCTATCGGCTGTCACCATGGAGAGTTTGTGAGAGCAGAGTGATTGTAGATGAAAAATAAAGTATCGTTATAGACACGAAAAAGCAGCTGCAATCGGTTTTGATAATTCACATTGTGGGTGCGAAATGATTCCATTTGCATCTGCTCCTCCCAGTATTTTGGACGTTCTGATGATCTACATACATTGCATTTATGAAGGCAAACACACTAAATGGATCGCGCAAACTGTTTTGCTCATTTGACAGACACAATCCTCGGTGCACCCGGTTTTAGTAGATCAGGTTTGCGTGCTCTATCAAGTTAGCACATGTTTTTGCACACGCAAACCCTTTGTGGATTAGGCCCTTAGTTTTAGTTTCAACTACCGAAAGTGAGATGTACCTAGGACTGGGCAATTATGATTATGATTGATAATCGTGATAAACTTCAGTTCCATCATGGTGATCAGCTGTGAGCATATTTACTTGATCAAACATGGCGGAAATGTGCGTCACAAAAGCCAATCAGAGTTGAGCTTTTCCTGCTCAATTCTGTAAGCTGCCAGAGAAGTAAACAGGAAACAGAATGACTGAACATGGAGCTAAACGCAGAGCTGAGGGCAGCAAAATAGATGTCAGCCATGACTTTGAGTTATCCTCCAAAGATGCTACTGTTGAGAAGAAAAGTTATTTGACGCCGGTTGTGTGGCTGTGGTTTAGGTATCTCCAGGTGACGTCAAGCAATTAAGCCAATGTGCAAGGTATGTCAGTGGTCGGTGCCATCAAAAATCGGCAACACAACAGATCTGTTTAATCATTTGAAGAAGTACATCCCGAGTGATTATGCGGAAAGCATGAAAATGCGAGCAGAGTCTGCACAACCTGCCACTGCTGGCGGCACAAGTAGCATTAGCAGTTTAGCCACAACTAGCGGTGCAGCCACCAGACCAAAACAGCAATCAATCATATCATCTACGTTTGCATCATTTAATGTTTTTGGTGTATGGCGTCTTCATTATCCCTGAGGGGGCGATTAGTTTATTTTGGGTCTTGAATACCTGCAGAAACACTCAGGACTGTAAACTAATTCACTACATTTGTTGTACTGTTGAGTTGTTGATGTTTTTCTAAGTTTATCTTATCCAATTTGCTTTGTTATTTACTTTGTATCATAATAAAATGTTGAACTAATCTTTCATTTCTTTAGTACAGGTGCTTCAAAACTGGTAGTTTAAAAAAAAAAGTGATAATAATCGAGATCAGACAATATGACAAAATATATTGTGATAATTTTTTTTTCCAAATCGCCCAGTCCTACCTACAGCTCTTTTACTGATCTTTTTGCTATGACTATCACCTTTGCATCTTTCATCTGCACGTACTTACAGCTGAATGAAACAGTTGACTGTTGTTCTCTGGGAATTACAAGAGGGTGTTGGTGAAGTGCACTTGGGTAAAACAGAAATAGACGAAACAGACTGAGGAGCTGGGCAGAAAGATTGCACAATAAAATAAACCCACTCCCTGGTGCGCTGAACATCACAAGTTGATATGTGTTACCTTGTCTGCTCCTCCACTCCTGCCTGTCCTGTGACGGCACTGTGGACCTACAAAATGAAAAAGTAGATCCTCTGGAAGTGAATACAGGTTCAAGCCAATTTTGGACGTTTATGGTTTCTGTGTTTGTGTTGTGGAAATTGCACCTTCTGCTCTATCACAAACACCATGTTTTGTCTTCTTCTTGTATCAGTAAAAAGGCCTCCTTCAAAGCATGCTTTTACCTAACTTTTGTCTTCTTACCAATTAGTGCTCAGATTTAGCTTAAATGACCCAATTTACTTTCAGCTTCAAGCCAACTGAGCCAATTACTGGTTAAATACACTGGAATGATGAGTTGTCTTGCAATTGTGAACTAATTTCCTGCAAAAGACTTAATTACTTTTAGCTTTTTGTGGAGGACTTGGCTTTCCATCCAAGAATGCACTAATTTCTCTCTTTTCCTTTTTCTTTTTCTCGGTGACTTTCCTCTGGACATCAATAGGTAAGAAAGTTTAAGCTTGTTTTGTGTCCTGTTTTCTTAGAGCTCATATTCAAGACAAGTGACCTTACAGATAAATCACTGCCTGTGCGTCAGCAATTGAAGCATTTTAGTGACTTTAAACTGAATACATCATATGACACATAGTGTCATAAAAGACTAAGAATGAACAAATGTATCAAAATGTATCTCGTTCATCTTAAAGCTAAAGCAGTTGAGTGCAGCTTTAAGGTTACAGTTGTTAAAAGCTGACTGCCAGTCTTGCAGACATTAACCTGAACTCCTCCTTGCTGCAGTCTGTATGAATGCAATTCGCATACTGGTGAAAGGAAATGTTGTTTCTCATCGTCTTTTTGTTTTGTTGCTGGAAATTCCATTAAAAAAATGACTGAGCATGATGACTTCCTTATAGTGACTTGCGCCATGAAGAAAACATACAAACTGGACAAATATTAAAGCTACTTTGAGGAATTTTTTGATGTTCATGAAACAAGCCATAATTCATACTGATGCCTTTTAATGATATTAAAAAGCAAACAGGACCATCAGTGACAAGCCTGACAGTTTGTATTTTATATGAAGCTGGAGGAGACAGCTAGCTAGCTGCACAAGAGGAGTAATGGAGTGCTGCGGGGAGGGGGGGCTGTTGTTTTGAATCGGTCCTGAATATGAGGGGTTTGTTGACACAGTTAACATTTTAGTTATAGTTCAGATTTCCATGTTTTTTTTTGTGCACTGTGTTGCAAGATGTAGCTCTGCACAGGTAATGGAGGGAGGTTATGCTGGACTTCTTTACATTTAGCATTAATAAAAGCCCAAATACCAAGTAACATTGCTCTTAGCTCTCAAATATTTAAACATAAAATATTTAGGAACAGCAGAAAGATCAGTGTCATGTATACAAAAAGTTTTACCACATATTAACGTCTGTTAGATGAGTTTAAGCATCATTTTATTATAGATAGAAAAAATAGCATCAGAAGAAGAAGTTGTATAATCACTTTATTCACCTAAAAAACAAGCTGACATAGAGGGCATATCGAGATCCTCATGACAATGAAGGATAACATTAATTTTGTGTAGATGCTCGCAGTTTGCTCCAGTTTAGCTTTGTCAGCTTTCGCTCCTGGGTTTGAATTCCAGCATTAAGACAACATTTAAGGTCAGCCCTTTAGTGGTATCTATGAAGCTGTTCAGGTTTACAAGTACTGAGGAAACATTATCCTGCTAAAGAGGTCTGCATCACAATGGGTAGTGACTGAATCAACATCAAGTTCAAGCTCTAGGACTTTTTCTTCAAAACCTGGTTGCAGGGATGATGAAGTCGGTTGTTCATAAAACTCCAAGAAATAGGGGTTGAATTGCATTTTATTGCAAGGAACCTGGGTTGTAACCAACTTATCACAAGTTCTACTTTCTAAGCACTAAGCAGTTGGACTGTCAGGCAGTGATTGCAGAGGTAATAGAGTTGGTTGTTCATAAAATTGCAAGTATTGTAGTTTGATCCTCAATCTTGCTGTCCATGTGAAGGAATATGATGAAGCTTTTAAACTTCTTGGACTGCCCTCTTTCACTGCACTCACACAGAAAACTCTTTTTTCACTGCACCATACAGCATATCAAAAACATATTCATCATTGCAGCTGTACTTTAGTCAGCTCACTTTTTCTTCATTCCTGCTGCCACATCCCTCAAGTAAAAGCTACACTGCTTTTCAAAAGCTTCACTTCCACCCAGCATCCAACAGCAGGCCCTGACTTCATGTTCCCCTAGAGAGGAGGTTATTAGCCTAGCTCCCCCTGCTGTGCTGAGCTTGCTGCTTCTATGTCGAGAGCATGGAGGTCGGAGCCTAGACCACAAAAACAGCTCTACAATTTACTACTTTCACATCATTGTCCCAATGCTATGTGGATTGGTTGGTTTGAACCCAGAACTCCCATTCACAAATATCCCAGTGCCCTGCATGAATGGTCAGCTGTTTATTAGTGTGTAAAGGTGGATTGTATGGGTGGGAGAAAAAATCAATACAGCACAGTATCGCGATATTTTGTCTGGTGACATATTGTATTGTCTCATCCACCAAGTATCGATTTTTTCAAATTCACTGCTAATACGAAGTCAAATCTATGAAAATGGAAAAAGAAAATCATTTTTTTGTCCACTAAGCTGAGGTGACATCATGGAGCAGGAGAAAGTTAGTGCAACAAATATGGCAGCACCTGGGGAAAGACATTAGGAATGCAAGCAAGGCACATATGAGATGGACATGACATATGAGGTTTGCAAGAAGTGCTACATATAAATAAAATATTGCCTCAATAAGACAAACATCAGGGAAAGAAAAAAAGCTTGATCAGCTAAGCAGTGGAAAAAGTGTACAAATCCCAATATATGGTTTTGCAATACTCACGGAATCGCAAAATGTTTAAAATTGTAATAATACTGAATCGTGCCCCAAGTATCGTGATAATATTGAATCCAATTGTGATTCCCACCCCTCATGGATAGATGTTTGTTGGTTCCATTTTGAATGCAGTCATTTTCATTCATTTGGTGCCAAATTACAACAGTCTTATGACACGTCATGGTGTAGGTCTAATGCTAGGTGTGGGAATCACAGGGTTACCTGACGAGACCATATAATATCAATTTGTGGCTCTCCATACATCTGCTTTTGTATAGCAACATAAATTGCTTTGTTGAGTTATACAACAGGAGCAAGTTTCCCTTCATAAATTCTGTGAAAAAAGAAGCACAATTCAAATTAAATCCTAACAGAGCCAGAGGATATTTTTTTTTTTACAAAACATGCAAAATTACATTATCACTGACTGCCTGAGCTTGTGTTTTTAGATAAAAAGTCATTTTAACTCCCGCAGTGTAGAATATCTTTAATGGCAGATGCTTTTATTTGTATGCAAATCATGTACAGACTGCTGATAGCTATGCTACCTTTTCATGCCAGACACTTGCTTTTGTTGAGCCTGTGTGGGAGTATTCATTTATAGACATATAGGTGTGTGAGGTGCATGAGTACACCGACATGCAGAACATGTTTACCCTTCTCACATCATCTATTTATTAATTCATTTTTTGTTTGCTCTCTGAGTAGCTTTCATTTTATGTGCGTGAGGGAGAGCCTACAACAACATATGCCCTCCATAGTATGAATTACTAATTACAGTTTTTGTTTAACAAGCTGGTGGGCATATGTGTAGTGTTATAGTTTTAATTTAGCAACCCATAGGAGCCTCAAAATACCACCTCTAGTTGCTTTAAGCCCCTGTGAATATGTGGATATGTTTCTATATGTTCATGTCAGTTTGTGTTTGTATGCATTTGTACAACTGTATGAGATCTAGATAAATAGACAGACAAATGGAAATGATAGTAGTGAGACAAACCCCAGGGGGACACAGCCGGCTTTGAATAGGTGGAAGTATTAGTCTTAAACAATCTCCCCTTTACAGGTTTACTCAAGCCATGCTCGCAGTAATGTGTTTTTGTCTCCCATTGACTCTGAATTGCATTTCATTCGGTGCCCTGCAATCCACTTCCCTCTTGCTTTCTCTCTCACTCTCTCTCTCTTTTTATTGCATCTCATCAGCCGTGGGGAAACGACCCAGCTGCTGCTGTGATGCCACTCACGGCCAATGCGCCCTGACAGATTCCAATTAAGTTGGAAAATGTAACGTATGAATATTAGAAAGTACCCTGACACAAACATCATCCCTTCTTTTGTTGCATTATGCAGCTTGTTGTCGGGGGTCTCCGCTGGTCCACCGTTTACAGTCAGTTTATTTCTCCTTCTCCCCGTCTCCATCCTGCTCATCCCCCCTCTCTCCTTAAAGGCTGTTTGTTTAACAGCTGTAAATATGCCCACTACGCACCTAAACTCTCATTTAAAGCCCAAGATGTGGTTTTTGTCAATCGTTGCATCTCTATTTGGCTTCCTGTGCTCATTCCAATAAGCATTTGCAGGCAGGGAAGTGAAATAAATGAAGAGTCGACTCAGGGGAATGTGTAAATAAATGCAAACCTGTATGATATCTCATTTCTATGTGCATAGATTATATCAGTGTCAACTGAACAGCAAGAAATTGTCATTTTGTCTGACAACAACATCTGAATAGCAGTGTGTAAAGTCTCACAGTTTCAGCTTGGTTGTTTATTTTTTTCCTGTATGTGTATGTTTGTGTATCTTTTTTGTCTGAGACTGAACTGGCAACCCCAAACTGCCAGCTCTGTGGTAGTTACATCAGCGCACAGCTCAGTAGCACAGCTTCATTCTGACAGACTTCCGATGCCCCTGTGCTGAATGAGAGCATTCCTCTGAGCTGCCAGTTCCTGCGAGTATGTGTGTGTATTTGTGTGCATGTGTGTGTCTGTGCCCTGCTGTTAAAGCCATGAGGCAGAGCCAGGACCCCGTAGCTGGCCTGTAGACCATGTGTGACCTCATCTCAACCTGGCAACCCACTTCCCCTCACATGGTGATAAGAGGGATTGCCAATCGTGCTGTCTGTCTGCCGACTGGAAGTAAATTAGTCACTTAAAGTCAGTCTGATGTGCTTAAAACTCTTGAGAATGTGATGATAATGGAGCGTTAATGGCTGTGGTCAGCAAAAGAAGATATCAGGCAGAGATTAAGATGTCTGCGAAGAAAAAGAGAGGTTACATGTAATGAAGGTCAAAAAGTAGCTCAAAGAGTCCATATGTGAAGTGACTGTTGAACCAGATGTCTCCTTTTTCCAAATGCACAATGGAGCACGCTGGATCTCTGCACATTTGAGGTGAATGTCCATTGACAACTTGGCAACACTGCCCTTGGAAATCTTCATGGGTGTGAAGTGTGTTTTCAAAGTGTTTATACCAGTTATTGTAAACCAGTCCCACATACACTGCAGCCAGAAACGCTTTGGTAGATCCAAAGGGGAACAAGAGTCACCTGTCTACTTCTACATCAGCTGTTTTTTTGTTTGTTTGTTTTTTTTAATGTATGGTCAGATCAGATCGATCCCCTGAATGTCCTCGAACAGAAACCTCTTTGGATGGATCTCACGTCAACTGACTGAATATGAATGTCCTTTCCATCTTTGTTACTAAACTTGTGCACAAATCTTTTTTTTTCAGATACACAAGTGAATGATCTTTATAATTGCAGCAGTGGTGATGATCCCACTTACCATCAGTTGGCCTTACTTGTTCATGAATGCCATTAGTTGCCTGTAATCTGTCCTTTTGGTTGTGTATAAACTGTTTAACTCTAAAAACATTACATTGGTGGTGGACTTGGTCAGTACCATGGTTTGCTGGGCATAGTTTAAGAGTGCACTTCAGTATTTGAGTGTTTGAGTATTATGATTATTCTGGTGATTCATTAAGTAGTCTAATAGGATTTATTTACTGGTAAATCAATGAATATTTCCCATCGACTGAAGGATTATCTTTTCTTCTCTCAGTACTTGGTAGTGATAAAAATTTAAGGATTTTTTTTTTTATGTGAAATAATTTTTTTTTTTTGAAAGCAAACAGGACAATCAGTGTTGAAACTAACTTTTTGCTGCCTCTTGGCCAGGACTCCCTTGAAAAACTGGGTTTTTAAACTCAATGGGACATTCCTGGTTAAATAAAGGTTAAATTAAAATAAATAAATAAATAAAGGATTAATGTTGGCAGGATTTTATTATGCACAATTGAATCAATTGAATACAGTCAAGTCTCAGAGAAGTTAACTGGTCTCCATTATAACATAAATGAAACACAAAGTTAGCAAAAACATTTTTTTTTATCTGTTCAAACAATAGACTGTATATACTATGGACAACTTGATCCACTTTCAGTCAATATAGGAATTTAAAGCCGAATTGCTCTCTGGGATTTTCTCCACTTCATGGAACCACCAATTGCACAGTAGCATTGTATGGGGACGAGCTACGCAATCTTCGTACACCTCATAAGAACATTGTATGGGGACGAGCTACGCAATCTTACAGTAACTACATGGCAACATTGCAACGGGGGGGGGGGGTTTCTATGTAATTAATTTGTAAAGTTTGTCCACAACTCCATAAGGATTGCTGGAGGAGGCCGGACTTATGACCTATACCATAGGGGGGGGTGTTCTCACGGTGGCTACACCCAGCGAGGAGGCAGACGGACTCGAGTACAAACCAATCTTACAGTAACTACATGGCAACATTGTTATGTTATTAGAGTATACTATGTGTCGGAGCCAAAACTGAATGTTTATGTCTAACTCATCACTTATGTCAAGAGAGCATAACGCAACCACTTTCCAAATGCCTAATCCTTTTATCTGTGTGAGTGGATAACGTAAGTGATCGCTTTTGTAGGACTTCTGAGGCTCTACAGCATCCAAATGTTGGTGCAAGTCAAACCCTAACAGATCATGTTGACATGTTGTCTATATAAATCATCAGAAATGTTCTTTACATCCAACTGATGGTAACTCAAGTAGCATGAAAAGGATAAACTCTTAAATTAAAGGCAAAGTATGCAGTTTGATCCCTGACAGTCAGGGGTTAAAGAAAACTCAAGTTTCAGAAGCACTGGGAACACTTTGATGCACTCTTGCTGTAAAGAGCTACATCACTAATTTAGGACTTCCCTCTTCACTAACACAGTTCATAGTGGCAGCTGAATACTGTTATCTAGCTTAATAATAAGGAGCTTCTACAGTTAAGACATGTCAGTTTGTCTCACTGCTTTTAAGTAGGATTGATGGTTATTGGTCAGAAAATGAATGACAGCCCAGAGTTTGTAGAGTTTCAAATTGTGTCACTAATCTTGTTGAACTTGATACGCTGTATGTAGAGAGACACCTGTTTGCAAATCATATACTTTGTTTAAACAATGAAGCAATGTCTCATGTATGTGTCCAGTCAAATAAACCATTAAATAAACAAAACTAAATAAACTGTCTAAATGAGCTTCATACAAGATAAAACATAAGCTAAATTTGGCATCAACCAACTTTGTCTGGCTGCCCTACTTACTCCAGACCACTTGGGATTAGGAATGGGCATTTGAAGACAGTCTCTTGATCGATTAAACATATAAATTAATGATCAATCATCGATTTGATTGTTTTTTATTTTTTTATTTTGTGTGTGTGTGTGTGTGTGTGTAAATGGCATTTAAAATACCTGCCAGGCTACCGTAATAACTTTTTTTCTCATTCATGAAATGCTTTAATTGGGTACATTTCTGGGGACAACTTTACCCAGGGACAGGTCATCCAAAACGGGGACTGTCCCCTGAAATCGGGGATGTCTGGTCACACTACGATCCTCATTGCCAGCAAGGAGCTGATGGTAGGTTGAGATGAGAGCACTCAGAGGATTCATTAACCTCAGTCGGATATAAGTGGATTTAGTGGTACATCATTTGGGGTGTTGTCGTGTTGTACTTGTACACGGCATTGCAGTGTTTGCAGCAAATCTCATCATTTTTCCACTCGAAATGGTTCCACGCCACACTTCGGCTTGCTTTCTTCCTGTTTTTTTTTTATCATGTTTTTTTTTTTACTTCTACAGAAGCCTGCTGATGCCGTATCACTCCCCTTGTAAAATGTCAATATCCTTCCGCGGGGTTATAGTCACTGCATTTCTTTAACACACACACACACTGTCTGGACAAAGAGGGTATCCCTCCTGATTAGCAGAGGTTGATCTTTGCTGGAAAGCAGCTGGAGGATAAACACACGCTGTCAGACTTTTTTTTTTTAATAATGTTAGATTTATTGAAATTTTGTGTGATCAACGTAATTCTTAACGATCAATTAATTGATCATCAGTTAATCATGCCCATTCACACTTCGGATGATTTGTGATGGTTTTGGTTTTTTTGGTTGGTGCACAAAAAGTTGCCAAAGGCTAACCAGAACAAAAAAAAAATTTCACATACTGTTAACATAAAATGGATGTAGCTGATTACAAATGACAGCAACAGGTGCACTAACAGGCTGATGATTTCTCATGATTGAACACAAACCTGCCTTTTGTCGCCTTTTCTCTCCGTTACAACAAACACAAACAAGACAAACACTCCGATATTGAATGAGTAAATAAAACACACAAAATTCAAGTACGTGTGGCAAATGATTTTCATTAGTTTTCTTGTCCTGTCTGTGGGAGTGGATCCTTTCTTGCGGCAGTCTCCTTGTTTTACTTGCCTGGGGCTAAAAATGCAAATTTTGGTGTTGGGATTTAATTCACACAGTGTGAGAAAGTGAGGGGAACAATATCTGTAAATTACCCTGCAGAAGCTCTTGCATATTTGATGTGTTGATTTGTGTTTTTACAAGTTAACTTCCCCTGTTGCACCTCCTTCCAATTGTTAACTTCTTTCATAAAGTGATTCTTTTGCTGTATGGATGGATGGGGTTACAGAGTTTAACAGAGTGCAATTATTTCTCCTCTGAATGTTCAAGCTAATGTATCAGAAACTAGGGGAGAGATTTTTGCCTTGATTTGTATTAAGCTCATCAGAAGCAGGGGACTTATTATTCTTCCAGACACTTCATATTTTATGACGCTGCAGTGACTCAGATTTGGAGAGATTATGACAAGTGAGCCCAAATCTAAAGAGCAGCAAACTGGTGCTTGTAAAATATCTGTCAGAATAACATCCACTAGCTCTGACTGTGTCCCTGACCACACTCCTCAGCCTTTTTCCTCACAGCAATAGCATGAAGTAAGAAACAGTGACTGGGGCTCCGGCAGGGTCAAGGCTGACAGCCTGGTAGCGAGTTGGAGTGCCAACCACAATGCCTGCAGCCAGAACCTTGGCTCAGTGCAACAGCCTGCACTCCTCTGCCACATGCATGGATGTCATGGCTGCTCTGATAGGACCAGAGGAAGCTGCAAGATAGTCCAAGTCTAGCAGAGGGCATGTCGAAAAATAGCAGTTTATCATCTTCAAAAGCCTTCCACATAGATATGGAGGATGGAGGAGAGCAGAGGGAGGAGGATTTCATGTTGGCAACATATCCTCCCCTTCTGGCTAAAAGAACAGTAGATTGAAATGTGATTGTAAGTGTGTGAGTGCGTGTGCAGGGTGTGTGCACTGTCCATCAGCGAAAATTGAGCAGCCAAAGATAGATTTTTCTGGGAACTTTCATGCAGAAAATCACCACCATTCTGCGATGATTGGACAAATACCTCTCTCACCCAAACCCTGCTAAAGCTGCTTGTCTAAGTTCTCCCTGTTGACAGCCTGTAACATAAAGGCACATTCAACAACAGCAATTTCCAAAGGGAGTGTTGAGTGAAGACCTGAATGCCAGAACAATTGGGAAAGCTTTGTCACCCCAAGGCCCAGAAATTGGCTGTGGTCAGTTTTTAGCACCAACTCCAAGTGAGGGCCTGGAAGATGAATGTGACTCCAATACGTAACACTGTTTGTGCTTCCATCTCAACTACCACAGGCAGTTCATTATGTGTTGGAGGTATCCTGCTGGTTTCAGCATTGCCCTGTCCTGATAGATTTGTAATTCCTCAGCAACATTGTGTAGATAAATTACAGGTTTGCGGAGGGCTCTGTGGACATTTCTCTCAGTTTTTCCGGCTTTTCTGTTTTTTCTATTGCTCTTTGATTCTCACTCAGTCTCAGTTTCTTGCTCTTTATTGCTCTTTGTCTTCCTGCCCGCTGGTCAATATTTCTCTCCTTGTATCTCTATGTTTCCATCGTTTCTCTTTTTCTCACCTCCCCCTGTTCTAACCCCCATCAAGGGAGGGCGAGCAGAGTCCATCACCAGAATGAGAAAACAGCATCTCGATGCTCAGGGGTTGTTATTTTGGCCAGGAGTGCTTCAGTAATAATATGTGGTCTGCTCTCTGATGTTGGCCTGGTCCAAAGGTGGACCTCAACAGCCCATTAATCTTTGTGGCACGCAAACATCCATGTATTCTGTACACACTTACATCAGCCTCTGTGTGTCCATCTAGTATACACATGAATGCACAAAAAAAACATATATCCCCTCCTCTCGGCTTCTCCTGCATCACTTACTACATCCAGTTGACCCAAGCTCTGGGAAAACAGGTTTAGTAATGGGATCAGTGGCCACTGGCAGGCCTTTTCACCCACAATCTCATCACCTCTGCTTACAGTAAGTGGATGAGAGACAGGAGACTGAAAGGAGGAGCGATGGAGGGTGAGGAAATGCACTAATTCAAGGCTCCTGGTGGGTTGGCTCTTTTTGTTCCAGTGGTCTATGAATCAGTGGCAGCAGTTAAAGAGAAAGAAAAAAGGCCCATGACAGGGTAGAAGGCCTCTGTGGAGTACACACTGGTATGTTTGCGCCATTCTTTATCCTCATCATCCAACGTGTCCCCTCAGTTCATCTATGTAAGGACTAAAGCATGATTAAAAGGGGTCGTATTGTTTTTTCTTCTTTTTTTTTCAGACTCAAAACTTCCTCTCTGATTCCTCTTTAATAGCTTTACATGATGTTCAAATTTAAAATAATAATAATAATTAAAAAAAAAATAATAATAATAATAAAAATCAAGCCCCACATTTCTCACAGTGGTGTATTATAATATTATTTAAGTTTCTTTCTAAAATGCTTCCATTTAGCTGCCATCTTTTTAAGGCCCCCCTCCTTAAGCCTACTTTTATTTCTGATTGGCCACCTCACTAGTCTTTTCATTGATATAGGAGTCAAAAGCGTTATGCTTCCCCTCAACCTCCCCCATGCAAAAATGGTATGGTCCATCATTTCCCCCTAACCTCAAAAGTTCAGACCCTGCCTCCCTGCTGTTCTCATAAATTGATCACATAAAATCTAGCAAAATAATGGTACTGGGAAAAATAAAAGAGATAAGTCTGTAAGTATTGATGAACATCTTTTAAAGTCATGAAATAAACAATGAAAATAAAGCAGCCGATGATAATCACATGTGTTAAGGTCCACCATTTTAGGATTGGTCTTTGAAATACATCAAACAATGAGTTTGGGTAGACCTGCTCTTTTGTAAAGTGTCTTGGTATAACAACTGTTGTGATTTGGCGCAATATAAATATAAATTGATTGATTGATTGATTTTCAAAGGGTGGTTTGCTTTCACGGGTCCTGTTTCTTTGGGCTGCCCAATAAGAAATGTTAGGACACCAGGAAAGACATGGATTCCCAGGAGCAAAAGGTGACCTCTGAAGTAGAGAAGCCCATTTTACAAATACACTGACCACATGAGAATTCCCGATCATCAATCAGGACAGTAAAAAGGAGCACAAGTCATTTATCTTCACTCGTAATGCATCTTTCCCAGGAACAGAGCTCCACAAGGAGACAGGAAGCAGTTTGAGGACCAAGATACTTTGATGGAAGTGGAAGGATGTAGTCTGTCATATACCTTGAAAGCTTTCTATAAACATTTCAAGAAACACTGTACCTCACTGTTTGAACACTGAGTAGACCAGCTCTCATTTTCATGTCAGCTATAGGCTTTGCTTAAAAATACATCAGTCAGAGAGATGAAGGAGAAAGCCTTCAGAGGCGCTGGAAGAGAAGAACCAAACGGGGATTCATTGACAGATTTGCCCTTTGCTCCCAGCTGTTACACACGTCCTTCAAAGAGAAAGTCACAAAGAAGGCGTAGCATGATTTCTGTATTGATATGCTCTCAAACGGCATGGATACATGAGCCTTTCTGCTCCCTGTAAATGGCTTTTTTTTTTTAAGTTAACGGCCCTTGTTTTAATAAAAAGGTTGAAAAAGGATCCCATGGTGGGTTGAAATCACAATTGCCAGTGAGCTGTGGTGCATGGGATCAAGCACTGCTGCAACACAAAAAAGAAAAGAAAAAAAAAACTGAAAGCAGGGCAGGAACAGTGAGGTTACCGACAAATCTAATTAGATGGAAAAGAAGCTGTGATAGCAGGGAGAGGGCTGGAGAGAGAAGCAGGGAGAGACAATGCCAGAGGGCAGGCTGACTCACTTATCATCACATTCCTTATTCTGTCTTAAACTCCTTGGGACGTTTTTGGACTTCTGTAAACACCTTCCAAGTTTGTTGATTGAGCGCAAAAATAGATTTGATCATGATAAACTTTTTAAAGACAGAAGGTTGCTTAACAGGAGGTGCTCTCCCCCCTCAAACTCTCTATGTGCAAGCTACACTACTTGATCTGGCTCCAGAAGGTTACTTTCGGGAGGTTAAAAGAACCAAAGCAAGCTTTTAAGTTATTAGGAGATAAATCTGTTTCAAAGATGACAGTGGCGCTTTGATTTTCAGTCCAGAGAACAAGGACAACAGGACTTTCATCTACCTTTTTGATTTGATTAAACTGAAATCGATGTGCAGCTGTAACGATCTGACCCAGGCTGACTCAGCCACAAAACTTAAACATCACTAAAACTTTAAACTGTTAAATAACCCGCAAAAAAGGTCAGCTCCAGTCCATGCAGTGGTCTATCAAAAGTTAAGTGTGCCTCATGGATCAGGAGGGAAAAAAACAACTCCTGCAGACTTAAGACTCAGTGGCATCTGCTTACTTTTTCTCTTGGCCCCATAAGTGCCCTTTGCTTACCATGTCAAGAGTTGGATGGTACAACATTATCCCCGGGCAGCGGGTCACTTTTTCAAATACGGTAAAATCAGGAAAATGTCATAGTGGATGAAAAGCGGACACGTAGTTTACACAACTGCATTTCATTGTCATCCTCCGTTAGATCAAAAACTCCAACAAGACCTCCAGAGACTTGTGCCAAAATTTAGCTAACGAACTGAACAATCTTCAAACTTCCCAAAAAACAAGGCGTCATGTGACAGACGACACAGACTGGATGTAAAAGTGGATGGAAGGCAGGTCTCTTCTTATTTCCCACACTCCCCACCCATCCAGGCTGTCGGCCCCCTGACTACTTCTGTTTAGTAGATGACTGCAGAGTAGTGGCTGCTGCAGGATGTTCTGGTTGTTGCAGTATCTCCTTTTTTTTTTCTTTATGAGTCCTCTGTATGTTTTGTAATGGAGCCGAAAACTGAACACAAACAAATGTTGGCCTGAGATGCATGGAGTTTTGGGCTCAAGCACCAACAGCCCCATGTGTATCAAGTGGAACATTTGAGCTCATCAGCCATTAAGTATCAAATAGCTGAAATATGGACCCAGTTTGTTCCCCCAAGATTTGTCGTGTTCCCCCTGTCTTATCTTCCTCTCCCTTTGTTCTTTTGTACAATTTGTGAACACAGGAAACATCATGTTTTAGTCGAGGATTGAGCAGGCTAATTTAACTAAGTCCCAAAAATGAGATCAATGTTAATTTCATGATTACCCTCTTGATAAATGCATCCACTCGTTTGTCTATTTGGCAGTTGGTAAAGATAAATCTTTGATCTCTAATTTAAGCATTTGAAGTCTGCTGTTGTCTGTTAATTCTATTGCTGCTTGTCTCCAAATAGTCTTTTTATCCGTCTCTTTCCCGGCCTTCCTGGTACATGCAATTCAGGCAGATAGCTATCTACTGATGAGTTTGGTTCTGTTGGTGCTTTCTGCCTTTTACCCCTTGATTATAATGAAATGTGACGTTCACACCAGACTTGTGTAAAACCATTTGTGTGGGTGAATTTCAATTTTCATTTTATGTAAAGTCAAGGTAGAGATGCAATTAGACACAAGTTCTTGTTGGGTGTCTCATACCCTTTCTTAAAGTATCTTCCTACTCTGATCATGAAACACCAAATCTAGCCCACATTCAGTATGTTTCACAATGAAGAGAGCATGTCAGACATAGCATAGAGCAGTGTTTCCCCTATAGTGCATTTGGCAGGGCCCTGCCAATGGATGTCCCCGCCCTGCCAACGAGATCCCAACCCAGAAATTAAAGTCATAGATTAATATATACCTTTCGTTTTTTATATAAATCAAAACGGCCAATAGAATATAATCTGCACAATTTCAGATGTTAAAGATTGCAACCGTTTCATTACTTTTAAGAAAAATGTATCTCTCCACTACATACACACGTGCTGACAAGACGCACCGCTTAGTTCAGAGGCACGGCTTGTCAGCACCATTGATTCTGGTTTTCTGGTGAGCGCTTGCCGCTCGTGCACTGCCAGTTTTGCACAGGATGAATTTGACAACCTGGGGTTCTGGCTCCTTTCCATCTTATTTGCCCCCAACAAAACTATAAAAAACTGGTCATGGATCACCGAACTATCCCCGATCATTCAGCACCCCAATTGAAAATATCTGCAAACTTTAAAAAGACGGTATGTAGTGATGTGGATGCCGCATATTCTCATGTGGATGCTAGCTTAAGCATCTCTCCCAGCCCTGAAAACAGTGCCAGCTCATCTGGCGCCACCATGTCATATGGGGTGATGTATGTCAACGTCATGACACCCCACCCCCACCTCACCCCGCCAAAGCGAAAAAGCTGGGGGAAACACTATAGAGCTTCTGTTGAACTAAGAAAACCCACCCTATACAGTACAGCCTCAAAAGTGGAAGGCAAATACATTAAAACACTGTAAAAAGAGACACTTTGACTGCTTAGCATAGTCACCCATGGTAGAAGCAGGTCAAAACATGATGAAACAAACATGCTAACCTCGTTTATGCGTATTTACTGTATGCATTGTTGTCATTGTGTGATTTAGTTTTATTTCAAGTTCTAATATGACTTTGTAATCTGAAAATCCAGCCTCCTTGAGCTTCGGTCTGCGGTGATTCAAACATTTTCCAGGTGGTGCAGAGCATGGTGTCAGACCATGCAGAAATGTGGCGCACATGTTTGCTGAGGAGTCAAGGGGTTGAAGGAAGTTTTTCTCGTCTTGGTTGCCAAATTATTGCTCATTTAAGGATCACCTCTGAGTTCTTTAAAAACATAAAATTAGAGGTACAGAACATCTTTATGTTACAGTATGATGAGTTAACTTTACTGTGTTTCTGAGATACATTAAGGAAAGTTTATTGATTTTTACAAGATTTTTAATAAGCATACTTTTCCAAAGCCTCTAGCAGCTTATATGGTAAAATAAATTCATTTTGCATTTCTGTAAGCTCAAGCTTCCCTGCAAAGAGGCATCAATAGTAGGATGTGTTGCTTAAATAGCTCAGCATGCTGCAGAGATACTCTACCAGGTTGCTAGGGTCTCACATAGAGTATCATCATCAATTAGCACATGGTTGTCAGAGGCAGCTGCCATCTTCTGGGCTCTGATGTTGGCTCGCTGCTAGCATGTGAAGCCAGGGAGACCTTTTTGTTTGAAATTAAAACATAGGGATATACCAAGCATTTCCTCACAAACAAGGTTTTGATATGAATGTGAGGTTGTTAAATATTGAACAGCAAAGTCCATGGCATTCTGTCCATAAGGAGACCAGAGGGGGGAAATGTCTAATCGCCCTTGAAAAGGTAGTGCCACAGTTTTTTAATATATTCTGCCCTGATGCCCAGAAGAGTTGCAGCAGGGTGGGTGGAGTGGGGAGGTGCTGCCGGGTGGCAAGGCTGCTGTCGGTGCCGGGTGATGGGGCATTACTCTCGCGCCATTGACTTCATTACAGCCCCTCTCACATATCCATCCCTCACCCCTCTCTAAATGCCCTTGCCAGCCTCTAATTCACTTAATTCCTTGATTATCAATTCTGACCGCATTCGGGCAGAAAGGTCACTTTTTATGCTGTGTACCTTAACTTCTACTACACCGACGCAAAAAAAACAAAAGCTACATCTAAGCCCTGCCAAAAGGTTGGAAACATGAAAAATTGCAATCGTACGCTACCAGTTGGTTCCATTAAATTTTCATTGTTCACACACTTGCAGGCATATTGTAGAAGAACACACGGAGTGGTATGCATCAGAACACACAAGGACAGGGAAAAAGGGCATGAACACCTCAGTTATACACTTGCTACTAACACCCACCCCTCTCTCTCCCTCTCTTTTCTCTTTGCCCATCCTTTTGATGAGATCGAGGTTGCCATGGCGTGACTGTACGCGGCAGACGCACGAACAAGTGTTTCCCCCTGAGGAGATGCGATCTAAATGGGAAAGCAACATGACAGCTTTGCTCTGAACGGCCACATAATCAAACACCACACCCACAGTTACACACCAGCACTTCTGTTGGGGAGGCTTTCCACTCTGCGCTTCCTGCCTGTGAAATATACAGTACAATCTCCCAGCATCTGAAAATCCTGCATCTGTGCTAGATTGTCCTTTTGTCCTCAGAGGGATTATTTAAGCTCCACTTTTTAAAGTTTTGGTTTTTCACTTTTAGTTTTCTGCACTTTTTCCCAAGTGTGTTCTTTATTTTTTTCATATTTTTAGGAGTTTATAACCAGTTTGTTTTGGCTAAACTTTTAAAAGAAAAGTATTGATCACTGGAAGCCAATCTTTCAGTAAAGCATGCCTCAGTATCATTTATAGCTGAGCATGTCACATAATCTGTAACACATCCCTGATTCTTGCACTCTGCTGACTGCTCTGATACTTTTGCCACAGCAGCTTTTATTGAAGCAAAACGTCAGTCTGCTGGGCTTTTTTCGACTCATGCTCAGTCTGGTATTGAAGCGGCGTGGGCATCTCTGGCATGTCTGAGCACGTCTTTATGTTGGATGGTGAGGTTTAATTTTAGATTCCCTGCTCTTTTTCCTTGCCATTCAAACCACAAACAATTATTTCAAAATATGCTAAACACATAATTTATTGTAAATATTTGTAGGCACAAACCCCAAGTCTTTTTCTGGGGAAGACTGCATAAGATTTTAAAATATAAAAATATAATCAGACTATATTAACTTTGTGTGATATATATATGTAGTATATTGATGTCGACTGTATATAAAAATATATAGTGATAAACCTTTTCCCATATCGCCCAGCCCTGCCTACAATGGAAGCATTGCTCCAGTTTTAATGGTGCTTGTCCAATTCCAGCTACCCTTACGTTATCCCTGTAACGTATCAGCATCTCTGTCTTTTAAGATGTGTGCTGGTAAGTACAGAGGTGTTTCCTTTCCTCTTTAGGTAGAGGAGAAGGTGTTACATCCAAGATAAAATAAAAAAAAAAAAAAATAAATAAATAAAAAGGATTCAATTCAGACATTCAATAATTACATCTCAGTCCATCAGCAGTAACTGGTGTATTTGGACCATTAAGAATGGTTTCATCTTTGCATTTCGGAATTTTTGCCAACATTTAAAATTGCGTTACAAACAATGGTTTTGGGAGTGATGATGAGTCCATCACTGTTTAAATACAGTTCTGCCTGAGGTCCTGAAGATCACAGCTTCCCAGTAATGGTTGGTGGTCATGTCCCTTTTGTATGTATAGAGATCTCAAACCAAGTCTCTGAATCTTTAGTGATATGGTGCACCAAAAGTGTAGGGGTAGAGACCCCTAAAATCTGATCGGTCACAGTCGCACCACGCTCTTTGACTGGCTATTTGCTTAGTAAGATGTGCCACTTTTGTTCCAATCAACTATTTGTATCTGAATTTCAATGGACCGTATAGATGATGAAATCCCCAAGTTCTGTATAGTTTCAAGCCTGCAACAGGATAAACCTAATCTGCTCTCCTCTCCGTGAAGTATTTCCCATGTCTCTGGTTATATTTCATTGAGCAGTTAGATGCTGGAGTTATCGCCAATTAAAATGTTTATTAAAGCAGACTAAATGGTCACAGAAGCAAAATCAGGGTCAGTTTGGCAAACCGCAACAGTTAGATGAAAAGAATTTCTAAACTGGCACTAAACGAGTCCTGCAGCATCATCCATGTAGGAGAGGTGATATATCATAAATCTGCAAGCTGCCGTCTGTAAGGCGAGGATTTGACTCAATCCACATTCCTAAAGCTGTCATTTCAGGCAAATGCAGATACGCTGCTGTACTTCAGCATCTTGTTTCTTTTTTAAGCATTTTGTGTGAACAGGCACTTGTATGTGAGTGCAGACCCAAGATAAACATGCATATGTGTCTGGGAGTGAGAGTTTGTGTGACAGGTGGAGGAAGTGTTTTTTTAAGAGACAGGAGTGTGTGCCTGTGTTTGTCAATGTGTGCATCAATATGGGTGAATTTACCTAGATGTGTGAAGAGTAAAGTTTGATGGTAATACCTGACACTCTGGTGCTGGAAATCCCATGTTAACACACGCTTATGGTACAAAAACACACACTGTGTTCAAAGCTCTCCCCAGCCTCTGACAGCTTGGCTGGGGAGATTCGGCTGATTCATCTGAATAATTTGGCTTTACCCCTCCCTCTTGTTTCTTCTCTCCCTGTTTTCTTCATCAATCTCATTTAATCAGTCATTTCCACCTGAGGAGGATTCTGCCCACCTGCTCCCTTTTTCACAAAGTAAAAACTTTGTCACTGCAATAACTGAAGGGAACCGTGGTATCTTATTGTTATTGGTATTACAGGGTATTAAGTGAAACACAGGTGTTTGTTATCACTTCTTTTCACTCAAAAGTTCTTTTCACTCAAAAGTTTGAGTGTGCACACATATACATGCATGTGTGTGTAAGTTCACTCTGGTGCCAATATAAATACAACTACACTCCTGGCAGAGACACACCTGGGGTCAACAGGTCAGAGGTTTCGATTACTGACAACAACACAGGTGAAGAAACGCTCATCAGGAAGTAGAAAACATTTGGTTCTGTATTTACCTCTGGGCATCATCAGTGTTGCATCTCCAGCTCTCTGGTGGTGTTGCACTTCATGGGTGTTGTGAGTCTTTCCAAACCAGGGAGCACAGAGCCAAATTACAACCAAGCAGAAACAGACCAAACACTTAACTAAGTGAAAGTCCTGGGTAATATGTTTTTCCTCTCATTAGGCTATAATCATATAACCTAAGACAACAGTTGGTACATTTGCATTCTGATCAAAATACTTTTTTCATTCCCTTAGTCCTGCTGAAACAGAACTGTTATAAAACATGTAAACACATCAGTGCTGAAAGTTTAATAAACCCAGCTTAGGTGTGTATCAAGTGTCTCTGTGAAGTGGTTATGTGCAGTGGATCTGTAGCTACCATAAACTGTACAATAACTGGACCTGGTGTTGATGATGTCACCCATTTGTTTATGAAGAAGAGTTTCAACCATAGACTGTATCTAGAATAGACCCCGCTGCCTCCTCGCTGGGTGAAGCCACCACGAGGATCGCACCCTCTGGTGACAGGCTGCAGTATAGGTCATTAATCTGTGGACAAACTTTAGAAATTAATATCACGGAATATAAATTTTTCTCCCTGCTGGTTGCGATGTTGACATGTAGTTACTTTAAGACTGGTTTGTGCTCAAGTCCTCTTTTTTTCTGTGCAGCTCCATTTGAAAAGTTGTTAGGGGGTTCATGTTTTCTATGATTGACACTTGATACAGCCTATGGCCGTATGAAGATTGCGTAGCTCACCCCCGTTTGAGCAGAGTGTCATCACAGCAACTCTTCCGCCGAATGCATACAACGCTACTGTGCAAGTGGTGGTTCCAGGAAGTGGAGAAAATCCCAGAAATAAAGAGAGCAATTCGGCTTCAAATTCGTTTAATGATGAAAGGCAGAGCCAAGTTGTTCATAGTATATACAGTCAATGGTTTCAACCCCATCAGTGGCAGTCACCATGTTGTAAATACTGACTCAACTTTTAGTAACTTTTAGTCAACCTACCAGAGACAGGCCTTTAGCTTCCTAACAAGTAGCTACAGTGTGATTTCCTATCAGTTAAGTCGGCCGTGCCTCCAATTCGCTGAACTAGTAACCTTTAAAACGAAAAAAAAAAAAAAACATACAGTGAGTGCCATAAGAGCACTCCCTGGCTATTCAGCCAAAAGACACCTTTGGAAGTGAATGTTTATTTTTGCCCTGAAAACAGGCATACATGTGTGTACATGGATTCTAGTGCAACTGCAGCCAGCCTTAAGCAGGCACTCGGGGAACAATAGCACTTTCACTTCAGCTTCATTTCTCAAGAGCAGAGGTTGCTGCTTGATCTGTACGTACTTCGTAACTACCTGAGCTACTCCTTTGAGCTCTGCTATTATCCTGGTAGCTAGCATGATGGTGAAATTATTCTGTTCTATTCTAAAATAGTTAACACTGAAAAGAGCTTCACAGTAACACACAAACTGAAAGTAATGAAAGTCCTCACACAGGATGACAACTTAAAACAGAGCCCCCCAACAGGCCTGGACCCCAAAAAGTCTTTCCTTGTTGATGTCTTCCTCTGCCCGGCCAGATAACCCATTATACTTAGAGGTTATGAGCTGGAACCTGGGATGGCGAGTTAGATTAGGTGCGATCCCACCTCATGGAGATGCCCTGTTTCACTGCTGGCTTGTACTTTGTGAAATACAAAGAACTGAAATTGTACTTTGTGCCAACCCCATCATCTTTGACAGCTGAATGCAAATCATTTGAATATACACATAAGACCATAATGTGCTTTTGTGGTAAACGTCAGTGCATTGAGTGCAAGTATATAGGAGGTTTGAGAGCAGGCTTTATCCACACACCTTCCTCTCCTGCTCAGGTGCTTTGTGCCAGGCACTTCATTAGGCTCGCTCTGCAGATGGACGCTGATGGATCCAGGCTTTTTGAGCCTCATTCTTTGTGACTTGTTGTTCATTAAAAACAAATTAAGTGTCAGGAAGCATAACTTGTGCGTTCTGTAGTGCAGTTATTGCTCAACAAGCTCTTTGTCTTGCATCAGTGCATGTCTGTGTTTGTCCTGCAGTCTGCCAGGCCAGTGCAGCTCAGTTTGTGCATCAGAAGGCTACATTTGTGATATAGTGCTTCAACTGATATCCCAAAAAATTGGGTATCAATTAAAACGTCCTAGTCTTGTTGGTGGTCTGCATGAGTGCCCACAACATAATAAAGCACGAGGTTGAGAAAGGATACTCTGTCTTAAATCTATCTAATTGAATCAAGTCTCTGCTGTGCTATCTTGAGGCCAGCAGCATAATGTTTATTTTTTACCTTTTACTGTCATGTGACACACAGATTTGCTACTGTTTCTGCATGCACAATGGTCAGTTCTCTGAGTACAAGTGAAGTGCTGCAGGAAAGATGGATTGGATCAGTCACAAAAATGAGAAAGTGTGAGAGTTTGATGTGTTTTAAGTCATATGTTGAACATCACATATCCTTACAGTTGAGAGGGTACCTGACAGGGTGTACATCCAGATCAAATTGTATCACCAGTTACGATTCCTCCATTTACCCATTTCTTTGATTTGTCAGCAGTGAATCTGATCAAGACCACCTCAGATCTTTGTTCTAGATCACATAATCACTAGATTAAGAAAGATGAGAAGGCAGAGGATTTGGATCATCAGTCCTTCTAATACCTACAAAGAAAAACATTAGACCCTGTACTTTTGACTGGGCTCCATTTCAAGATAAAAGCATGGGATAAAAATACTGATAGAGGAGTTAATGGTTTGAAGAGCTCAATTACGGTACTTTTGGGTTATTTTTTTGCACTCATGTAAATCTAAGTTTAGTGCTGCGTGTGGGTCTGTCGTGTTTGTTTCCCTCCCAGTTTTTCTTTTCTTCTCTTTTGTCTATTTTGCCTTCATATCAGCCTTCAGCCAGCTGTGGCTCACTGAATAAGCAGGTCTCCATCTATTCATTAGGTAGCGGGTTGAATCCTTGTCAAGCATTCAAACAAATCTAAATACATTTGGCCAGATGCTAAGGCCTACCTGCAACAGAGTTTGATCCAAAAAGCCAACTGAACCTGGTTGAAGATCTTGAGGATATTTCACTTCTCGTCTGAAAGGCCTCTTTAGTTTTAATCTATCTAATCATGAACTTGACTTGAAGTACATAAATTTGCCATATTTAGACCACTAAACACTGGGGTGAAGTGGAAAGTAGGGGAGAGTGGGTTGATTTGTGCCAGGGGGGAAGTAGTGCCACCCCTGTTATCAAGAAAACCACAGAAGAAATTGGTCATGTGACCATGTTTCAAGAGGCTTTCATTTTAATCATCCTGCAAAGAAGGGAGCACTTTTTTAAATATTTATTTATTAATTTTCCTGCTTCCTAACTTTAGCAAAGATGCGCTCGACATGCTTCTGGGACGGGGCAGAGACACTTCCTGTGGAATATGCGACATTGATAAGAATGAAAACACATTTGCATGATGCTGATGGAACGTGCTCAACATGGATCCTGTGGAATATGAACTTAAGAATCCCTCTCCTGACCCTTCTCTATAGCCAAAAGCCCCTACAATGGGCATGTAGGATTAGAACTAGACCACAGAGCAGTGTAAGAAAGTGTATTGAAGGAACATGACAATGAGTTTCAGGTGTAGACTTGGCCTCCACATTCCCTGGATCTCCATCCAATCAAGCATCTGTGGGATTTTACATTTAGCATGTACTAAATCCAACCCATGGGGGGACCACCTTACGACTTACAGGACCCAACTTAAAGAGGATCTGCTGCAGGCATCTTGGGTGCAATCCAAGCCAGGGCCAGACAGCTGTACATCATTAGGAAGGGTGTCATTATGAAATGGCTGATTGGTAATAAGCTGTGGGTCTTGGCTATGCTGAGGATTGCTTCAAAATGGCCATACACAGAGCTACTGGCCTAGCTTCTCCTGACATTATTCACACCTTATACAGTAGGAAGGTCAATAAAAGGACTACCATCCAGTTTCTACAATCACAAACATACCCAAGGCTAATGAGGCTTTCTGCTCCTGTCCGCATGTCAGTTTAGACCTAAGATAAGAGTTGAATGACTCCAAGAATTTCATCCAAGTCCTGATGGTTTTTGGTTCAAACCCAGACTTAAAGGGATATTCTGGCGTAAATTTTAGTTATGGTCAAACACACCATAACACTGAGTTAGACACCCCTCTAGGAGAGATGATTGTAATAATTTATGATTATTACTTCATGGGAATTCAATCAGACCGAGACACTAAGGCAGAAGAACTACCATGTCTGCAGTGCAAGATACACAATAACTACACAAGATACACAACAACTCTGATTGCTTTTCCATGAAATAATCATAAATGTTCTTCCTTGAACTCCGAAACTCCTCTGGACTCGGTGATCGACTTGTCAGGGCTCCCCCACAAACAAGCGGCTGCTGAAAGAGAGTGGGTGAGTTGTGTTTAGTCTCTTTGCCAAAGGAACCAGGCAAAGCTAAACAGATGTTTGATGGTTAGTACTATGGCTGGGACCCTATATGTACTGCTGATGAAGTTAGGTGCTGTTCTGAGCATTAATTGTGACTATAGAGTGGCTTTCTGGTTGAGATTTGCATGTGGAGGCGTAGACTGCTATATATTGCTATTGTGTGGTCATTGCTAAAGTTGTTAGAACTAGAGAAGCAAGAACTTGGTGTTATGGTGTGTTTGACCATAACTTAAATTTACACCGGAATATGCCTTTAAATGACCTTAACAAGGACCCACACATGGCATGTCAATAAGAAGGACATTCTCTCTGTTTTTATGTGGGACTGTTTGTTTGGATGAGTCAAATTACAAAAGAAAAAAAAATCTGTGAGGTGTTTTGGTGACTGTCTGCAGTATAACAGAGTCAAGGGTCATGTAAGCGTGCTCTAATAAAAAAGGAGACAGACAAAAGGTGTACGAACACAGCACAGACATGGTTAGCTGAAGACCTCAGGGTTGATGACAGATCCTTTTCTGACATCCAAACTGTAGTTCACAGAACTTTAGCATAGAACTGGTTTGAGACCACTTCTCCTGGAGGACCTCCTCCTGCATTTTAAAATGTTGTTACACAAACATGCCCTTGATGTGTAATTCTGATCAATCACTCAGTTAACTCCATTTTGACATCAATTGTTACCAGCATGACTCCAGCTGGATTATAAACAGTTCATAAATGTTATTGCCTTTGATTTCAGCTTCAGCTCCACCATTATTGAATTAGCTACCTCAGATCAATAGCAATGTTATCACAGAGCCCCAGGTGAGCAAGATATAAAGAGAATATCAGGTGTGACAACATCGCCTGGAACACCAATTGAGTTAGCCCCTCTCCTTTTCTTACAGCTGACCACATATTGACTGCTGGTGAGGGAGGAGAATTGATCTCCTTTTGCTGCTCATTCTCACTCAGAGGTGACTTAACATGGGAGTCAGCTAAAGGCAATCACAGGAAATGGGTAGTAGTCAGAGGATGGGAAACAACGAGAGGGAGATGTGCAGAGGAATTAAGAGATCCTGAGGGGAGTGGGGTTGTCTCAAATTGGAGGTATGTGGGGGATCTGTGGTAATCAAGGAGATGGAATACTGACTCAAGCTCTGCCAAACTATAAGCAACTTCTGAAACCATGACGGGGTGCCAGAACTGGGAAAGCAGTTGTTAGCTATCTGATATATAAAACGGGCAAATGTGTGGTGTAATAACCCAACAACTTAAAATTTCAACCTATAAAATACTTTAAATCCATGTCTAAGCCTCATCCTTTAAGATCAGACCTACTCCCATCCCATCTTCAAACACGAGTAGGTCACTTTACAGAGAGTTTAAGGGAGTTACAGTTGAGACTTCGTTTAACAGGCAGAAACCTTAAGCAGAACCAGACTGATGTTAGACAGTCATCTGCTGAGACTGAGCTGGAATTTAGAGAGGAGAGAGAGAGAAAGAGATGGACAGAGGAGAGACTGAAAGAGGGAGATGGAGAAAGAAAGTCCTTGTGGGCTGGTTACAACATCCTGCTAACTTTCCAGGGTGCATCCCAGACACCTTTTAAAGTTTGATTTTGTCCTGTTCTCCTCTTCAGCTGTTCTTTTACACATTCAACATGTTGCGCTGCTCTTGTTGCACTGGGAATAAAACCTTTGAAAGCAGAGTGTGAGATTCATGGAACTGCTCTATGTATCCTGGCAGGAAATGTTGCTGAATAAGTCAGCACGATAACCTGCATGCAGGTGAACATGTGCCAGCTGTAGCTCAAAAGTGAATAAATGATCAGGGCCTTTTACTACAAACTAAGAAAAAAGTAACACTCTTTATTCATAAGTAAGTCCGGGTCCTCCTCTACGTACTCCAATCCTTACTGCAGTCATTTCTGGATCACCGTTATGAGTACATGTGAAAATCAGGACTGAAGTCTGGCAGTAGTACAATAACAATGTTCGCGGGCTTAGCAAAGATCTTTAAAAAAGCAGGGTGTCATGAATTTGAGAAAAAAGAAATGATGCTTCCAATGCAAATAAGTGTGGATCTGGCTCAAGGCTGTTTGATTAAAGACTCCAGTCTCCATAATGACTAGGATGCTACATTTAGCAGCTATGGTTACTGTATTTAAACTGCATATTGAGCCTTGTGCAGAAATGGAGAAAGGACTTTCTATATGATGGTTAAAGTCATGTGAAATGTGTCAATCCAAAGTGAATAGGCAAACCTTTCTTTTTGAAGGTTTGATACACTGATTTTAAAGCCCACACTGCAGCACATGGTGCTTATTTCTCAGTATTTAGCTGAGTTTTTTTCAGAGTGAAAATGAATGAGACGTTACCTCACCTCTTAATGCACTGTAACGAGGCAGAGGAAAGGATGTGCTGGAGCTATTTAGAGTTAAAATCTCTTCCATGTTATTTCAAGAGTTTTTATACCTAGAGTTACAGGTCTGTGAAGCACACACTGTTCTGGCTAGTGGCTTTATGGCAGTATGTTCCTCCAGCCCACAACAAACCTACAGTTGGAGCATATTGATAACTCAGAGGCAAAACAATCTGTGAAATCCATAGCAGTTTTTGATGAATGATGCAAAGCATTTCAAAATCAATCAGGATTTCAAACGTGTTCTAGTGCAGTGCCAGCTTTATTAAGAGTCCTTTTCAACACGATGACATTTTTATTTTCTCTGCTTTCCTTGCACCTTGATATTCATGTCATGTCCTCAGAAAAGCCCTAACAGGGAATAATTGGGTCTTGTCAGCCAGCAGGAAAGTTAGACCATCAAAGATAATTGCATGCTAATGTTCAATAAGCCTTGTAAGTCGCTGCAGATAAGTGTGGCTGCCAAACAGCCTTGCCAGGGGAAAGCACATCTAATCCCTTGGCTGTGGCCGGGGAAAATTAATACTAAGCTCCTCTGGCCAGCCGACTTCCAGAGTGGTGGTAGAAACAATTACACAACGGACCACCAGAGCACAATTAATGAATAACTGAGGAGCTGCCCAGATGTACACTTTATAACAAAGATACATCTACCCACTAGCCGTACAAACAATTAAAAATTGCACAGAAGGAGTGGAAGTGGGCTGTTTGTTCAAGTTCACTGGACGGTGGAGTTTATGCAGAGGGACTGTGTTGTTGCAGGACTCTAAAAAGTCATCATTTTCAGCCCTCCACTCTGCTGTAGCTTCTGTTTACATGGTGGCCTGTTTCTGTGTAATAGCCTATTATAATATGCCACAGAATAAACTAGGCATAAAAAGCTATCATAGAACAAAAACTTGGCACAAGGGCTCCTCTAAAAGATTACTTTTCCTTACTTGTTGGTAAGTAGGAACTTACTTAGTATGTTTTAAAGGACATTGGCTGTTAACAATACCACAGGATATGATACAATACGATAATGCATAACACAGCACAACATGTTAAGCGTTTAATTAATACTCTGAATATTTAAGTCCATTATCCATCTGTTAAAAGTAGAGTTGGTAATCATGGCAAACTGGCATGGAAGTCCTTTAAAACAACGCTGCCGCTCACATGCACAAACGCTGCTGTCTACTGATTCAAAACCACAGACTCAAAACTTTGGTACTTTTGATTGGGAAGTCTTTGCACTGCAGGGGGGACAAAGAAGGTAATGTTCGCATCGGATGACTGCATAACTAGCAACACGGCTAAATACTCGATCAAGATTAAAAAAATCACCCTGAAACAAACTCACAACGTACCTTTCAAACAGAAAATGAGCGACCATGGCATCACTTTTAAAGGCCTTGACCTTTTTCAGTTCTCTCCATGACTGAAAAGTTGTCCCCATGTTGACTTTTATTTTTGCCCTTGCTTTCTCCAAACTCTGTCTTGCTATGGCCTTCTCTGCCACCGTCTTTCTTTTCTAGCAGAAGGAGTGGTCAACAATTAATCTTGGTCTAGGTAGTTTCTCTGCCATTCTCCAGCATAGCTGTATCCCTCTAAGCTCGGCTATGCACATTGAATCAGGGCCAGTGCACGCCAGTAGGAGGCGAGCACATGATTTGATTGGTTTAAAAATGTGGGACCCACACAATGTGATTGGTTGGTGTTTTCCGAGTTTTACTCCTGCTGTAGATAGCGGCTATGTTTTGCTCTTTTTTTGAGAACACATCATGTATTGATTACCATCGGAATATTAAGATCAATTTGACCAGAATAACATAAAGTGTATTTAAATCTGATTACCAACCCTACCATTACATAACTGATAATCCCAAAAAAAAAAAAAAAGGAAACACTGAGTTTGAAAAAAGCATTTGTGATTTTATTCGATTTTCTAAAAAAAAGTTACAAATGGTCTCAAAAAACAGTACCTGCTATGATGTCAACAGGATATTATAGTGCTAGAGGTGATAATAGTAGGAAATTGAAGAAGAGACCAAGATGGAACAGACTGTCTGGCAGGAAATAAAAACAGGGAATTAAAAAAGAGACAGCTGCTCTTTTAGAGGACGTCTTTTTTTGACATTTAAGAATTGGACAGAGGTTACCATCATCAAATCACTTCATTAGAAATAATAGCAAAGACAGAAGGCCAAATTTAACGACATCCAATAACAGCTAAATAAAACCAGAATTCACTACCTAACTCCATCTGATAGACCTCTGGTTCTCTTCTCTTCTCATGTTGAGTGGTTTTATGATTTAAAATCTTGAAAACATTATTTAAATAATCTCTGTATGTCCTTTTTTTCTAATAAAGATATTATTAAAATGAATATTGAGTCAAAAAATCTTACCACAGACTAGAAAACAAGTGCCCACACAAAGCCTCTAAAGAAATCCGTTTGCTCAGGAGGATGCTGAAACCACTTTCTGATTCTCTAACTCTGTGTCTTCTCTGCATTCGCCAACACAGCTGCTTGAAAGCGACGCGCGCACACACACACACACACACACACACACACACACACACACACACACACACACACACACACACACACACACACACACACACACACACACACACTAAAACATGCATGTCTGCCTTCACACCAGCAGCACAGTCCATTTTGCCTGACCACTGCAGGCCTGGGCCACTTGGTTATTTATTGCTGTGTCCAATATTGTATTACAAGATGTATATGCTCTCCTCTCTAATAAGAACATAGATTACAGGCAGCACTGAATCCACTATCTGCATTCGAGCTGATCGCTTGGCCTGCCCGTGAGTTAGCTTATATCTTTTTAAGCGTCAGCGCCTGGCTATTTACATTCATCCGCTAAGCCTCAACACAAATTATAATCGATCTGGCTCGTGATGAAAAGGGGTGGTCCTGCTGCAAATTAAAAGCATTGCAAGGTGACAAGGACAGCAGAAGCATGACCACACAATTCTCTTGGAGTACGGAGTGTAATAAAAATAGAAAAATAAAAAAAAACCTTAAACCAATATGTCTTTGAAGGATCAGCAGAATGAGACATTCCACAAACTTTAGGGCAGAGATGGTTGTTGTGTGTTCTGCTCTGTGTTTTGTGTCACCTGCTTCTGTGAGCTGTCTACACTGAAGAAAAGAGAGGTTGCAAACAAAAGGCAAGTATGCATCCATTTTATAAACAGAAAAGAGCAGCTAAATAGCAATTGCAAATTTCAGAACACATGCAAAATTCTCAAATTAAAGCAACAGCTAAAACACACTGCAAATGAAACCATTCTTCAAATCTAATTCGATGGATTTACATGGGGGGGGGGGGGGGGGGTGCTGCAAGGGGTTTTCAAATGTTGTTCTATGATTGATAAGACTGAAGAGACATAGAGAGATGAGAATCCATAACCCCTGAATAATTTTTTCTTCATTGATAGACTAAGTTGTTTTAGATCAATAGAGAAATAAAGAGACAATTTAGCCTTTTGCTTTCCTAAGATGTTGGGGATCAAGAAAAAAAAACTTTTACCCTCTATTTTTAACCGTTTAGGTAAAAACAAAGCAAGTCTTGTAATTTGGAAGAATCACAACTATTAAAGGAACAAATCTGCAACTGTGATTACTATATGCTGATATTGCTGTGTAAACCAATGAGTGTAAGAGCACATGTAATGTTATTGATACTGTTATTGTGATCCTCATCCTACGCATCTCAAGTTCTGTTATTTCCAAAAAGTCAATCCACTTTGGAAGGTCATTTTCTAAGGCTGCAGTGTCAAAGTCTTTCAGGTGCACAGCTGTCATTTTACACCAAGACTAAAAAGAAATGATAAACAAAGACACAGAATTTAAATGTAATATCTCAGCACTCTTCAGAGTCTTTTTACTCAGGGTTATTGGGCCTTCAACAAGTTGGGTTTGTGTGTTCTCACAGGCTTTGCCCTCAAGCGATGCCTGAAGGTATCTGGATTTGCTGAAATGCATCTCAAGGAAATGTTCAAAGCTAGAACCTGAAAAACATGAGGAAGTTGGGTTTGTCACACAGCTCAGGGTATATAATCGACAGTTTGTATTAAAAATAAAGCAGGAAAAATCAATTAGACTTCTTTGGTAAACTTTGAAATCTTGTTATAGCATGTAGTGACAGCATAGGTAACTCCAGCAGGACCAATGAGGAGCAGTTCTTAACTCAGACAATGAAACGCCTCTAGCAGTGTCCTCTTGTCATCCTAACGTTCCTCCACACAGTCAGCCTGTCTGCAAGTCACTCTGTTCCAGCACTTTAATGGAATAAATTTTCTCACCACGCTGACAGCTTCAGATGTGTCTTTTGTATGTAATGTGCATTTTCCTCAACATCAAATCATGTCACCATCTGACAGGCTGAGAAAAGGGAGCTACACACATGTTGTTTGCTTGTGGAATAAGATGTTCATTCTGGACACTTAAGTGATTATAATGGATTTGTTTTTCCCCAAAATTCAAGATGGTCTTTTTTTGTCTTGATAGAAATGGTGCTTTCTTCCAGCACCCAGCAGCACTCTTGACATTGATTGAGGTCTTAAAGACCTGTGGCTTAAGTGTGACTGAGCTCTGTGCCCTGAATTTTGTCTTGTATGGAAACTGACTGGGAAAAACTATTAAGAGTTTCCCACTGAACAGTCATCTCACACACAGAAATGCATGTGCTTGCACATGTGTGCAACAAACAGAAACACACGCATGCATCCACCCCTACCCTCCACCTGTGGAAAGCACCGGCCTGCTGAGAAATCATTTCCCGGGCAAGCGAGCGAGGCAATTCCGTCACAGCGAGGAGGGAGAAAAAGGCTTTTTTTAATGGGGAAAAATGGGAGGCAGGGGAAGAGTTAGCAGTAGCAGCCAGGATAATTGATGGCAACTGTTTGGGTACAAGATTAAGATTCATGGGTAGGACCACACATGGGGGCTGGAAACCCGGCAGGCGCTGGAGGCATGAAGGATATGAGGCAACACCTTGACTGGCCTGCTGGCTTAATTGATAGAGTGTCGTCCCAGATGCGTGATAGAAAAAAAGGAAAAACTATCAGAAAGGATTTCACTCACTGCGAGATAGAGGCTGAAATGGATCCTTCACCTGGGCCTTACTTGAGAAATGCTAAGAGAGAAGAGAGATGGAATAGGGAGGAAAAAGTGGTGGAAGCCCAGAGGCAAGAGAGGCAGGTTTGCATGTGGAAGGTCAGCTGTTCTCATCCCCTGACTTGCTGGGGGAAAAAAAAAAAACCTTGTGAGGAAAGTATGAGTTACACTCTCCCAGTCTTCAACAACTGCCCTTGAGGAGCCTTTGAGCAGTTTGCTCAACACACAATCATCCCAGTGGAGGAGCCTGAGCCCCTGCTGTAGAATCTATAGATGCTGCTGTGAATGTGAGAATATGTTTGAATGTGAAGTAAGAAGTTACATGGAGCTGGGTGGACCTTTTTCTACCTGTATCACCTTGTGTTTAAACAACATGTTGCCCTCTTTACTAAGTGATCACCTATCAGTCATTTCACAGAGTTCAAGGAAGACAAACAGCTTATCCAGCTGCTATACACAGGCTAATCCTCTGTAGATAACTGACCTACTGAACAGCTCACACCACCGCCCATTATCCTGTCCGCATGCCTGGGCTGCTCTGTGAGTTATTCCAGTTAAACCAGACACAACCTGAAGACAACTTTATCTCCATTTCTTTTTCAAATCAAAGTACTTCCAGACTGTGCCATGCTACAAATAAAAGTTTGGCACATTTGCATGTTGACATTTAAGCTGCAGCCCATACACTAATGTGACTAGTATGCTGATATCTGATGCATGGATTATTACTTTTACCCTCATTAAAATTGTGCTTAAAAAGGCAATTGGAGACTTTTTGATGCATAGAATACTGTACATATTCCAGTTTTGCAGCTTTATTTTAAATATTTTTAGCCTATATTTTCTCTAAAGGTGCAATTGTCCATTTAAATTTAAATCCGTGTCATTTTCTATTTCTTGTCACTGAATAAACCTCAGAAATTTCTGTAATTTTACTGTTGAAAGTGGGTTCACCTTCCCTCATCTATCAGTGTAACTGTAGGCTGAGGACAACAACTGTACCTGTGGTGTACAGGGTAGCAAAAACAAGAGGTATACACAGTTGCACATACATTGCAAATTGCTGAATGGGAGTAATTAGAGAAAACCTATCATGCAATTTTCCACCTTTCATTGTGTCAGTCAGGGACACTTATCATGGTTTCCAGCTGAAAAGGCTTCTTGTTAATCTTATACTGAAATTTGTGACATTTCAGCACTTTTCTGCCACTGCCTCATGCCAGCTATACATCAGAGGACTTTGAGAAGATTTGGAAAAGACTCCTGGGAAACTATCAGTTCATACCTGCTCACATCTAAAGACAAGTTTTTAGATTTTTTAGTCACAGCCTAGTCTCAGACTGAGAATTTACAAAGACTGCCAATCTTGCAGGGTCACTATTTACAAGATACAACTAGATTCTTTTAGCTTTTTTTTTTTTGACAGTGCAGCAGAATGACAACTGGGAACTCGCTAATGCTAATACTCGGAACACGTGCCCAATGGTGCAGCCCGTGTGCGCCATACATTCTAGTTTTTCTTGTTTTGACTGTCAGGCTTCTATTCCCGCTTTTTTCAGAGCTCATCTATTGGTTGTGTTATGTCACTGTAACCTCTGATAATATCAAACCCAAGACTAGGGAAATACTGATACAAAACAGCGCAGATTACCACCTTAAACTTAATGATTGAGATGATGGGAGTGCACTGTGACTCCAGTAAAACTCCTAGATTTACTTAAGACTTTCAGTTTTTAGTCTGGGACTGTGAAAATTGTTTGGTGGAAGCCCATCATTAAATTCTCACTTCTGTCTGCTTCTCTTGTGATGTGAAGTTAAATACAACTGGTGGATGTTACTTTTTACACAGTTTTGAGGTCACTTAAGCACTCTAAAGTTATGCGTTTACATGAAGTGTCCAAGGGTAGTTATCAGCACCCACTTAGCTCTCTATTTAGCCCCATTAGCATATGATGTATCATGTGCTGCTGTTATGAGGGCACAGAGGATTCAGCAGCTGGTTTTTGGTTGATAGCTCTGAAAAGTTAAACAACAGCCTAGTGCACTGACTGTGTGTGTTAGCCTTACTGTGTTTGAGTTGTCTGACTGTACATATGTGTGAGGTGAAAGATAATGTTCTTGTCTTATCATATGCTTCCTTGGATTTAGGGTAGACAGAGTTTAGTACGGTCTTCTGCTGCTTTATTTAGCTGCTTGATGGGTGCAATCTCACATAATAATAAAAAATTGATTCAGACACCTTAGCATTGTGTGTGTGTGTGTGTGTGTTTAACTGTGTTTGTTTTACTTATTAGCCCCTGAGATCCTGTCAAATTCCTTAGCATGTCAATGAACACAAGACTGCCAAAGGCAAGACACGCAGACACACATGCATGGAGTATTCTCTCGTTTCACACGTTCAACACCGTCAAACACACACTCACATATGCGCACCAATTTCAGAAGTGAGCGGTTCATTTGACCCCATTGCTCAGCCTATCTGGCGTCTCTCTTTAGCAGACTACTGGGATATGAAGCACCTTAGGGGTTTACTGTGTCTACTATTAGCATATAAAGAGCATAAATTTAACTGCACCTTGTGTTAGCAGGAAGCTTCTGAGACTGCAGGAGAGCAAAGCAAAGTCTCACTGGGAAAACTTAAAAACTCTGTATTTGGAGAGAGGCTCTGCCTGAAGCTTTGGGAAAGTCAGGCAGTTTAGTCATGGAATTTGTTAATCACAAATGGAGCCGAAAATGCACAGACAGTATGCAGGTTCATGAACGGAGACGCTGATACATACGATTTTTGCATAATGTGCCTGCACAAAACAAGCCTGGTTACACAGAAAGTCCAACTGAAAATCTCTCTTGGCATTTTTGGAGAAACTTTTAGATAATGAAATGTGGGCTGTGGGACCTCTCTGGTACTATACTACTTTCAGGATGACCTCTGCAGCAGCTTTCTAATTAGGCTAGGGGGAGAGAGGAGTGTTTTGAGCTGGTTTTTACAAAAAGCATATTTGTAGCGTATTCACTCAACAAAGATCATGACACAATGACAATTGACACATATTTCAGGCTCAGGTGTATCCCTGGGAGAGGTTGTCTGTTGTATTCACTTTCCTTTTATGATGATAAGTTAACCACCTAGGGGTTAAATAAACCACACATCATGGTTAAGTTAAAGTGAACCTGTTTTACTGCTTTATGCAAGCAAGAAAAAAAAAACCCTAAACATTTAACTCAGGGATAAAGTTCACTAATTGTAATGCAACCCAAATGCTATTTATTTTTTTTCAAACAAGATTCATTTCCGAACTAGAGCCAAATTAGACAGCAAAAATAACTCATTTGGTTTGTTTTTAATTTTTTTGGTTTAAAATTGTATTTACAACCAGAATGCCATTTTTCTTAAACATGGCTTAAATAAAAGTTTTAAAACTTGAACAAAGAAATTTTGTTATCTTGCGCTTGTCAAGGTTGACATATTTTGTGAGACAACAGACAATTGAATTACCCTTCCGGGATTAATAAAGTTATTCTTATTCTTATGGAAGATACATTTCTCTCTCCTAGATGTCCCATTGAGTTTCTTCAGCACATCACTTCTATGGTCTTTGGATGTGAAGGTGGGCTACAAGCCACTAGCTCAACTTGCCTTATCCCAGCTCTTAAATTAGGGTTTTAGTCTGGCACCTCATTTCTTTAATTATCTTACCAACCCTATTAAACTGGTAGCCTAACTTCCCGACTTTACTGACTTTACAAGATGGCGAGCTATTCTAGTTGCTGAAAGGCTCTGGCAACAGGTGGTCCAGATGAAGGCCAAAGGGATGAGCCTGTCAGCAATAGCAAGAGAAATTGGTCTTACTGTGATTTCCACAATATTACATCTTTACAGAGTCACAAACTCATTTAAGTCCACCATGAAGGCCAATCGTCCAGAAAAGACAAATGAAAGAGAGGACAGGATAACCTCAATGGACAATCGGCTCAACACTGCAGCTGGAATTGCTCGCCAATTCAATGCTAAAAAAAGTAAGACTCAATCTCATCATACAGTGTCTCGATGTTTAAGAGTATTTAGACTGAAAGCCCACTCTGCAGTGACCAAACCTGTCATTAGTAGAAAGAATCAAAAGGCTAGACTAAGCTTTGCTGAGGGACATGTTGTGTGGACAGAGGAAAACTGGTCCAAAGTTCATTTCAGTGATGAAAATAAGTTTAATGTACTTTGGTCCAATGGAAAACACTATGTGTGTCATCAAACTGGAGAAAGACTGCACCCAAAGTGTGTAAAGAAGTTGGTGAAAGGTAGAGGAGGAAGTGTCATGGTTTGGGGGACATTTTCTGCAGCAGCAGGAGTTGGGCCTCTTATTCAGCTAGGTAACAATATCAGAGCCTTCTGCAACAACATATGATTCCATCCCTGTTCATCACCCAATCAGCCAGCCATTTTCATGCAGGACAAAGTCTTCTATGACACAGCAAAACGAACAAAGCAGTTCCTTGAAACTAAAAACCTTGAAATAATGAAATGGCCAGCCCAGAGTCCTGATCTAAACCCAACAGAAAACCTCTGTAATATCTTTGGCAACACAGTTGTGACCAAGAAACCCACTACGGTCACCGAACTGTGGAAGAGACTAAAACAAGAATGAACCAAAATCATACCAGAGCAGTGTGAGGGACTGGTGATGTCTGATGGCCAAAGATGTGCTTAAGTCATTCAAAACAAAGGCCTGTATACTTCCTACTAATGTGTGACCGTTCTAACCTTCAGATATTTTTGTTGTCATCCTTCTTTGTGCTACAGGCATTGCTGTTCTTTGATTATGATCATTGTGTTTTCTGCAAAATGAAGTTTTTTGTTTTTTTTTCTTTGTTAAAATTCCATTTGTTGTAAAATAATATTCTAGTAGCACAGTATTGCCACGTTAGTTGTCATTAGTTGTTGTCTAATTTTGTCTAATTTTGATCTCCAGTATGTGTGTATTTATATATATATATATATATACATATATATATGTATGTATATACACACACATATATATATATAGACTGAAACTGGACCTTAAAAACATGTAATCACATTAGTTGAACTGAAATTTAACCTCTCATTGTTGGATTAACATAGTTAGACAATGTGGTCGGACTGTAGCTGGTCTAAGCAGTCTGTACAGTGAAGCGCTAATCAAAAGCACATCATGTTTGTTTGTGTAATGTTGTTGACTGTGCCTTTAGCTGACTGTTTACATTGTATCAGCCAGGAAGACCTTGAATAATTCTTTACTGGGTAATGTTTCGCTGTGAAACCACTGTGCATTCACAAAGCGACAATAAACAACTGGAACCATTGCTCCAATAAAGCATGAAAACCAACACAACCTCAGTACAAAGTCCTCTATAGTCCTTACAAGAAATAAACAGAAATCAAGAAATCTTATGGAAAACCTTAAGTTATCACACTTCAGTATTGTTCTGAGAACTAAAATCCACAAAGCTTAATCATGAAGGGAAACAAGCTCCATCTGTTTCTACTGCGGTAATCTAACTTATTAAAATGATTTTATACCATCGTCAGCGCCACCAAAGTCAGCTCTCAGGTCTATGTTGTTGTTGGCAGGGATGTAAAAGCTCTCTAGATTCAAACAGCATAGGTAAGAGAATAAACTGGCGACTCAGACTGATTCAGGGACCCTTCCTAGAGTGATTCTTGATAACATCACACTGTTGCAGTAGAGGAGATAATGCAGGTGTCGGACAAGAGGGTCAACAAGTCCTGTCTGCTCAACAAGCCTGAACCTGCTGTACAAAGGCTTTTTGAGAGGCCATCAAAGAGGAGGTTAAAAAGACCTCCATCATCCATCCACTCACACTAAAACCCAGCTCAGAAGCCACACAGCAGCAGCATTTGTGGGCGAATCAGAGAGCAACGTCCTTCACTGGCTCCTTCGGTCTTTGATGGAACAGCAGCTGAGTCCTCCATCAGAGAAAATCTCCACCCCTGGTCTTGGTAATGAGGGCTCTGGAGAAAATAAAGGTGGTTCAGGTGCTACTTCATATTTAAATGAACTTTACATAACTTTATTGTAATAATTAGACTTAGCCCGTTTTTTTCTTTACCTTAAAAGCATCCAGCGCTTCATTCGTACAAAGACGACGTGGCTGGTGCATTTGTACCATGTCTTTTCTTTTTAAAAGTGGTACTTTATTTTTTTCTTTTACCTTTTCACAAACTCATCACTGAGAACCATTTCAGAGCATAAAAAAGTGGATGCGAGTTTTAGCCAAAAGATTTAAAATAAATTGTATTGCAGCCTGGTGAGTACATTGGGTGTGTAAGGGCAAACACAATCTAAAGTGTACAAATGTTTGTAGGTAATGGACCCAGTTTGAAATAAATATTTTAGTAAATATGCTAAAATGATTTTACAGCTATTAAAAAGCTGTAGTAAATCAGTAACTAATAGAAATAATAGGTAAATATTTTGTAGACCTCCCCTGTAGAGCTTCCCCTCTCCATGGAGCTTGTACTTTCCTAAACAAGATGGAAGTAGATATCTGTTAACACCGATGTTGTTACCACCAACATTGATGTTAACAGATGCTGTTGCCTGGATAGCAGGGCAGAATTTTGCTTCACTTTTCTCTACCAGAGATGATTGGGCCTTCTTGTGACGGTTTTGTCACTGTATCAACAAGCAAATGTCAAATGTAGAGGAACTCCTCCCTACAAATGAATTTGATCAGGCTGTCTGCAGTGTCCCTTTTGTTCATGAACATTAATCACTGTTGTTTTGCCATTTTTGACTAATTGAATCACAGCCTGAAAATAAATAAGACAGTGATGTGATTGTAACAAATCTAAAAGTGTCTATTTAGAATTTAACACTCATTTTAAACTCTGCTATGTTCAAATTTGTATATTGTACGATAGTTTTAACTAAGCTGTCATACCTGTGAACAGCATTTAAAAGCATAAAACAGTGTGAGCAGCTTGGGCTTAAATGTACAAACTTTCTGTCTTTGGAGTAATTGATTTATGTGGTGTAGGGTTAGCCAAGGCTAGCCAAAACACAGGTATATGAGTACATTCAGGTGATACAATAATGCTTTAAAACCATAAAAATTCTGAATACGACTTACACTCCTAATAAATCAATTGTTGTCCTCTTTTTTGAATTGTTATGTTTGCTTTTTCCCTCCTTGTCTGTGTTCAGTTTCAGTTATTAATTTTATAACTGTAAGATATGAAACAGTCCTTTGCAAAAAGCTTTTCTGGACTGTAAAGAAAAAAGGCACACAGGTTCAATACATTTGTACTGGTCAGTGAGGGGGCCTGAAAGGTCTTCAGCAGCCCCACTGTGGGCCCAGCTTTCAGTAAAGAACCAGCAGCCAGAGGATTCAGTGTAATGAGGTTTGTGTCAGTGTCCCCCTGTGACATGGATAGTTTATTTTTTCATTTTCGTCTGAAGAAAAGTTTAGATCTTAGAGACACAGAGAGCTCATTGTGAGTGAGAATAAATGAACAGCGCTCATACTTTTAAAGTATTGGTCTGAGCCGTTCTTCAAGTTTCTAGAAACTAACATTTATGTGGACTCCATGGATCACTCAATTGGAAAGTAAGGTGTGTTCATAAAAGCTTAATAAAACCATGAAACATAGGAGACGTAGACCGCTGTGCACTGCTATTGTGCTGTCGTTGCTAAAGTTGGTATAACTCGAGAAGCAACTAGTCGGCAACATTAATCTCTCGAGGGGGTGTATAACTCAGTGTTACAGTGTGTTTGACCATAACTTTAATTTACGCTGGAATATCCCTTTAACACATAGGTCAGTTTGTCATAACTTGTATTGCTGTGTAGGCTGTAAATTGACTAAGCTGACCTGATGGATTTTTACCTTTATTCCTTTTTGGTTGTTGCGTCTGCAGTTGCACCGGCCAGCTCGCCTCTGCATATCAGGGAGTATTTTGGCTTTACTGTCTCGCAGTGGTAGCAAATTGGACACACCATCCATGTTTACATTGTACAATTCCTGGCACTAACCCATGACAGAGTTAATAGGCAATTAAAATAACTTCAACAATTTAATCAGTCCTCACCTCACTGATCCTGTTTACTTGTGTACGTCATATGGAGGCATCAGTTTTAATTTAAGTCTGTTCTATCAATATGAAAAAAAATCTCGGGCTTAAACCAGCGCTTCTTTGTGCTGTTTGTCATTACGTGGCGTACAGTCTGATTATCAGAGCTTTTATTCCTGAAAAAGGCAGCAGCCTGCTGCATGAAAATCAGTCCCATCAGCACAGCCACATTACTGATCGTACCCATGAACCACTTGCTAGTCAGATTTGTAATTTGGAGGAAAAATGCAGTGCAGTCAGGTTCTGTGCGGTGCACTCTCTAGTAGCTGCAGGCTATCCTCTATCAACCTCTCTCACACAGAGTTGGGGCTGTTTTCACCACAGAGGACATGAATGCTAATTTATGGTCGACCATATGGAGACAGCGACAGCATCGTTGGTAGGCGACCAAAGCTCGTAGGGCAGTGAGAGGTTGGCGTTACTGGACTGTGCTGCCATCACGAAACACTCATCTAGTTATTGTTTCTGATGCTTATTAAGCTGCTCGGCAGATGGACAATAATCTGGGCCATGATTAGCATCAGAAGCACTGGCTTGTAACTCATACTTAGCCAGCAGCGCTCATGTGGGGGACATTAGTGGACAAAGGACGTCAATGACCTCAAATGTGGTGCTTTATATCCAGTGCATGTAATACAAAATGAAGAGTTTGAGTGCAACTTCTCCAAGGTCCTCCTGTCTATTCAAGGCACGAGCTGGGCTATTGACAATGTTTACTTATGGAAGTGACATTTGCAACTTTATTTAATTCGGTCAGTTACTGGCTATTGGGATGACCTTTTGCCGGCTTCCCTGACAGAAGCCTATAAACCTCTGAGACTCGCCAGCTTTATAGACATTCAATAATCGCACAGGGCACTATTGATGAAGTTGTTGTGTGCACTACCTATGAAATGAATTGGCCGAGGAGCAGAAACCACAGCAGTGCAGTGCTTGTGTAATCTGATGAAGGTGTTTATGAAATTAGAAATTGATGAAAATGCGGCTCTGGGGTATATCAGACTTTTTGTAAACTCATTTCGTGTTTACTTTAGATGTAAATAACTCTGCCTTTACGTTTACATTTAGACTTTGGTTGACGGTGGCATGGTGATTGCGTCAGAGAAAGTGATGGATGCATTCTGCTCTTGTCTGGCGGTTGTCTTTTAGAGACACATGGGGCTGCATGCCATTTAAAAACAACCAATCTATCCCTCAGAAAGTTTTGTGACTGAGAAGGATAGATGGATGGAGATTACAGAGAGAGAGAGTCTATTTTTACGCTCATAGGAGATGGATAGAAGTCAGAAATTCCTCCATATGTCTTTGGATTCTTTAGCTGTTTCTGAAAAATATGTCATTCTGCCATCTTTCTTGATCATTTTGTCATCATTTAGAGGCAAAGGAGGAACAAAGCTACTCATCATTTTGCCGTCTATGCCAAAAGCAATAAACTGTAAAATCCCTATACATTTAGACAGATATGCATCTGCTTATAATCTCCTCATTAATTACATTCAGTGCACAATCCAGAATTATGATAATTCTTTGCTATAATTCACTGCAACAAAATTCACTGCAAGCAAATTAAATCGTTAAATGTAAAGAACACAAACAGTGACTTGCATTTGTGCTTCAGCTCAAAGTTTGCAGGGGAATAACATCCATCAAATCGCCAAGATAATTCTCTTTCACAGAAAAACCTGCAGTTGAGAAAATTATAGAGATTTTAGTTCTTAGGGTACAAGGTGATGTTTTGGAAGAGTCTGGAAAGGCATGGGACGTCACTTTAAAGAGCACAAAATGCACTTCTTACAGTGACATTCAGGCTCAGGTGTAGCAAACTGAGCACAGCCATGTATCCACATAAAAGTAAAAGAAATAAAAGAAACACAAGGGGCTCTATTTTCGTGCCTCACTGGAGACGTGCCGCAGGCGCGGTGTAAGTCAGGTCCGCCGAGCCAACAAGGCGTTCTCAAGCACAATTTGGTATTTTGGTGATCGGTGCAGCCCGGCATAAGTATCCCCCCTCCCTTACTCAGCTCCTCCCAGCGGCGTAAGTCATAAGGAGGGAGGAGAGAGGGCGTGGAGTGGATTAAACACAGCCGAAACCTGTATTGACCAATAACATCAGCTCCTCTCCTCGCCTTTAAATCTGCCACTGGTGTGGCAAGGTGTATTATTATTTCCGTGAAGTAGTCAAAGTCAAAGAGATCAAGAGATGTCTGATGACAGCAATGCCACACGATGGCGACAGAAGGCAGCCCCTCAACAAGTGTCACTGTAAGCGCTGCAGAGGGCGTCCCTCACACTGTCTCATATAAGCACAGATGGATTTGGTGTGTGTAAGTTTGGATCCACTAGTAAGACAAACACCCTTCCCACAAAAAAAGACACTCACATAAAGTTGCACATATTCAAACCTCACGTCACAAAGGTGGGTTGTGCGCACAGATTACATCATAAATTCCAAAAATGGCATTAAAATCGGGAGCATCTGTGTGTAAATGACGCATCGTGCTCTGTGGCCTGGCTCTTTCTTTCATAGATGTTGGCATATAAAATAGATTTGGCTCACAAAACTGAATATTATAATATTTGTATGTAGGCTTAAAGTAGATAACGCATCTGAGCACTGAAACAAATCATCTGCTCAGCCGCTGCAGCAGCAGCTGCAGCAGGACGGAGAGAGGACACAGAGACATGTCCAGGTCGAGCTGCGCGAGAAATAAGAGGAAGAGGAAGAAAGAAAAGGAGGGAGATGAATTACATATCTGTTTAACTTCATCATGTGTGTCTATTTACTAGATATTTGATTTAATTTAATGCGGTTTCAGCTGTGTTGATTCGGTCAGGTTGTGTGTCCAAACGCGTGCCAAACGCACTCATCAGATCAGATATAGATCAGAATATATCGATATAGATCTAAATGTATGTGCTGACTCAGATTAACAGTTGTTGATGATTATTTATTACACTGAAATGTGCCTGACACTGTGGAAACCTGCCGGTGAGGCATCGGTGACGTATGCCGATACACCGCAGGTCTACCAAAATACCACTAGACCAGCTGTGCTCCGCCTGCGCTGAACGCTGACCAGGTTTGAATCGGCGAGCTTTCAGCGCACTTTATACGCCACCGGCGAGAATGAAAATGTCACTGCGGCAGCTGATTCTGTCGACACGTTCCTCTGCCACGCCACCACGCCCAGCATGGCGGACCTCGGTGCGTCTCAGTTCATGAAAATACCAAACTGGCTGTACGCCGGGCTCCGCTAGACAAAAATACCACTGCGGCGGACACAATAATAGAGCCCAAGGTCTTTATTTACAGTTTGCTCATGTTCATGCATACATGCAAAGATATCACCAGTGGGCTGACCAAGCTTTTGTAATAAACCTGCAACAGCTCACATGTCCTCTATACACTCAACCTGCACAGATGGTTGTGTTGCGGTTCACTTGGCGCTCAGCCCCCCCTTCAGACTTCTGCAGTTATAGGATTTTATTAGAAATCACACATGGAAAAATAACATATTGACCTCAGACAGCTTTCAAAAGGCAGTGGGCTTAGTCAAGTTATATAAAGAAGTAAATGGGTATAGAATAGTAAATTTCATCAGACATCACATGCCACAGTGCCCCTTCCATCTGATCTGAGCGCCCTGCCCCAAGGGTGCAATAACAGTTTATTACACCTATCTTCACTTTATGACCCCTCCAACCCTCAGCCGCATTGCCCTCAAGCCCTCGCTAACTGTTATTGAAAACACCCAGGTCTGCCGTATATCATTCCTGAGCAGCACGTTATGCTATGCAATGGAGTTAATCACCAGCAGCTCATACGGGTATTGTCCTGCTGAGCCACGGTGGGAGTAGTCCCACTTATCTAATATCTGCTTAGATGTGGAAGTGTTAAAACACAATCCCATTCGTCTTTACAAGCCTGCGCTGCCTTGAGGCTAAATCCTCCTCTTTCCCATATGTATCTGTGGAGTAATGACGGTGAGTAAAAAGAAAATGGAACTGAAAGATTTCGCAAGCGAGTGCCTGTGTGAAGATAAAGGGTAAATGAGTTTGGCCTTGTTTATTGCTTGCCGAGAGGGTATAATGCAAACATTCAGGTTGGATTGAGGGGAATATGTGGGATAAGAAGTAAAGCATAGTGTTGTAGTCTATAGGAGGATCTTGAATTGAATTGCAATGTGCCTATAAAGATCTTTCAGGGTAGAGGTGTTCAGAGAGAGAGAGAGAGGTAACAGCTCATGGGTGACAGGGTGACAAGAGTAAGGGAAAGACCTGTCACCCCTCTGTCACACTGATGGCTCCTCTGTCATCAAGAGGGTGCAGGTGGAAGAAACTGTGCAGCAATGGCCATTCAAATGACACTTAATCATAACGCTTCAGAAGGACAGATGTCAGTGTCCAAATCTGCACAGTGGCTGTCGTTTATCCAGGTGAACGCATTTGAAGATTCAACAAAACATCAGGAACAGCAGTTTTTCTTTGAATTTGTTTGAAAGCTTTTTGGTTCTTCTCTGTCTCCAGACCAAGTAGCTGAGAATTAAAGCAAAAATACTGTAGACAAATTTTGATGTAGCCCAAGATTTAGATAAACCACTAACAAAACACTACTCTTTGTAAAATGGGTAAATATAATTAAAAAGAAATGCATGGACATCTAAGAAACTACTTTTGTAGCAAACAAAAAAGAAGAAATCTCAATTGTTCCTACTTTTCCCACATAAAATTGTCAAATACAGGGTCCTACGTTTACAAATTCCCTCTCCCCACCTGAAAATGAGAAACTGATAATATTATGAAATATAATATAAAAGTTTTAAAGGGATGTGTAGAATAATACAGCCAGTCAGTTAAAGGCACAATCACTTTGCATCCTGCAGTCCTCAGTTAACTTTTTGAAACCACTTAATACATTTCACATCCATAGATTTGACTTAAATAATATTGGTTTTTATCAGCCTACAAAACTTGTCAAAAAAATCTGTACACTCTCTAAATTTGATTTATGATAAAAAAAATAAAAAAAAACTCCTGTGAAGAACTCTAGGTTTATGTCAATTTTGGTGCCACCTGTGGACAAGAAGTATTTACTTAGCTTATCCTTCATATGCTTTAGTAATTTCATTGGACAAAGAATCTAATCTTGCAGACCTTTAACAGTCAACTGTATCATTTGTTGTGACTGTTTTATGTGGAAACTGTAAAAATGAATCAGCTGCTCAGCAGTGGCACTGGTTACAAGCATAAGAAATTAGGATGTACGAATCATCACTCTTGTCACTGATGGTTTAGATGTTCTCAAAAGGCTTCAGTACAAATTTCAGTCTGTTTCATACATGAGCTCCATATCACTGTTTACTTTTTCATTACCTGGTTTTCTTCTTCCTGTGTTCCTTTTATTGTTCATTTTAGAGCTTTCTTCCAGATGTTACATTTATAACAAAACTTGTTTTTGTCTGTCAAAGTACATAAAATTCTGCAGTTCCATGAGTGGCCACTTGGGGTCAGCTTCAAAAGTGAGTCAGTGCCCCATAGGCACCATTTAAACATTGCCACTATAACACCAATTAAGATGGGGATGCTTCATCCACATAAAGACAGGGACCTCTAAATCTCAAGACTGGTAGTGTTAACATTACCTTTTACTGTGATTTTCCTCCAACTGCCCTTACCAGCAATGTGTGCTGTTTTGCATAGAGTCAACTAACTCACCATCATGGGTCATCCTTGATCTTATAAATTAAAAACTACCATAACAAATAGAAACTCATTCTGTTTGCCGTTCTGTTTTGTCTTAATCGACGTTGACCAGTTTATCAATCAGCTATTGGTGCTGATTGTACGAGTCTGAAAACTTGGCATTTGCTAGCTGCTTTCGCCTCTTCAGTGTTGCCCTTCAGTCAAAAGATGGGTACTTATGGCTTTAGAAATCCTAAATGGTTGAAGCCAGTACACCCACCATGCAATCGACAAACCAGTGGGTGGCTCTATTTATTTTTCTGCCATACTTAGGACATAGACTCAAGAATTATGAGCTCTGTCTGACTCTGTGTTCATGTATTTCTGTGCATATGTGTGTATGTGTGTGTGTTTTCATGCTAGAGCAGCTAGCAGCAGCTGATTGGGCAGATGGTTCGTGTCGTCATGTGAGGGGGGCAAGGTGTGTGATGGGCAGCAATGGGTCTGTTTAATTACTTGTCAACTGAGCAGCCCAGTCAGCGGCTAAAGAGCCTCTCTGAGCTCAGTATGGCCCGAGGGGTGATGTGAGGTGGACCATGGGTGCAGCAGGGTCTAGTGACTTTCTATTCTTACATGACCAGGCCAGCTGGGTAGGTCTATATTTGCAGGGTCATAGTTATATTCTATTGAATGAAGGATATTGTAGCATACAAACAGTTTTGCTTCTATATAAGATGTAATTCTTTTTAAAACTCTGTTCAATTGAATAAAAATAATAAAAAAAAAACACTTAAACTAACAGTGTTGTGTTTATATCCCATTAGGAAGTATTAGAAATAAATATAATATATCTTCTTTTCTAGTATGTGCTGGTACAGAGAACAAGCTGAGCACGCTGTCAGACCTGGAACAGCAGTACCGCACCCTGAGGAAGTACTACGAGAGCTGTGAAGTGGTCATGGGCAACCTGGAGATCACAAGCATCGACCGCAGTCGGGACCTCACCTTCCTCAGAGTAAGTGTTGGGCTAACATGACTGTAGATTGTGTAAGTACATACATGTACATAACATGTCAGTAGTGGAGACAGAAAGGGTATGCAAAGGATAATCTGTCATTTTGCAAGCATGTTTAATTTCATGTGCTTGATTCGTTTATAAAACCAATGTTCTTATTTGAACTTTGCTTTAATTTTGAGTATCACCTCCTATCAGAGATTGGTAATTACGGTATGGTATTATGGTAATTATTGTACTTTCCAATAGATAAGAGAACCATCGCAACATCCTGGTCTCCTTTGATCCTAGTTTCTCTGAGTGATTGTCTAAATCTGGACAAAAAAAGTTTCTGTCTCTGAACTTTTCATAATTCTTCTCTAATCTGAACACGTTTTCTGCAGAAGGGCTTGGGATCCTTTTTCAACCAATCAGCACTCAGATAAGTGTCCAAATAGCCTGGGATAAGAAGTGAGAGAAGTTCTTCTGATCAAGTCTAATCAGACCTTGTGTCTTCTGAGCCTGAGCATTAACTGATTGTACGCTCGTGCCATTGTGGTGTGAGGTACAGAATAATCAAATTCAAGTAACTTGATCTGGGTAATCTTCCCTTTTTGATTAAGCAGGAATTACAAGCAAAGGAGGAAAAGTGGCATAGCATTGGACATGAACCTAAACCTCTCAGAGAACAAATCTGAGATGATCTGATGTATTTGAGCAGGTTTTAGAAGGCATCTCATTCCTGAACTTTACATTGAAACTTACTTCACCAGGCTTTTCAGGGAGAGGAAGAACCTGAAGGAGAACTGCTTACATTCGTTCTTACCTCCATTACATTTTGATAGACACGTGCATACTCACACAAAACACAGTGTCAAGCTATGATTCCTTCAGGGGACAGAGTGGTAATAATGTGGTAATGAGAGGTCAGACAAGGCAAGGGAAGTTACTATGGTGAAGATTTGCAGGAAAGAGAGGCAAAAAAGCCAATCGTAATATGTTTGGGTGAAACCAGCTGCTAATGTTGACCCTTGTTGGCCTTTACCTCTCAAGAACATCACTCTAGACCGTCTCAGCTGTACTCTGTGCTGCCCACACCATCAAACTGCAATTAATTCAAGTCTATGGAGGGGGGTTGTATTGCCCCCCTGGTGTTGTGCTAAAGTGCTGACTGCATAAAGGCCCAAGACTGTCAAGCTACAGAGACTGTGCAGAAAAAAAAAAAAAAAAAAAAAAAAAAACAATCAAAGCAAGCTGTTTATATATATATATATATATATTTTTTTCTCATAACAGCAATTATTTCAAGTTAATGTGAAAGAAAATGATTTGTTTGCATCAGGTTGAAGTAATGGAGTCGCTTGTTTTCTGTTTGTATGGACCACAATACCATGATTGATCAAAGCAGCAGAGTCATTAGATGTTGTACATAGTGTAGAGCAACACTGACAACATCCCCCAGGATGCAAAACAAAAACCAAGATGATATTAAGAAAGAGAAAGCAATGGATTGTAATGTGCTACCATTAGACCCCTGCAGGGGTAATAGGCCCTGCTGACTCCGATAAGAAATAAAAAAGGAAGGTAGAAAGGGAGAGCTGTAAAAAAAACAAAGTG